CCCCCCCCCCCCCCCCCCATTTTAAAATAAAAGCCGCACACACATGATTTAGAGGTATACGTGATGCAGCTCAGCCAATCAAATATGGGTATTCTGATAAGTTTCCTGATTCGAGTGACATTTACACACACCGCGACACAAGAGGGAGAGACGAGGAAAGACATGGCAGAGCAGGACAATAGTTATGTAAGCTGTAAAAGATAAAACATAGGACAATCTCCAAATGAGAAAGATTGCCAGAGAGATCAGAGTCTCTCTCTCTCACTCACTCACTCACTCATCCTCTCTCTCTCTCTGTCTGTGTCTCTCTCTTAGTCATTCAGGTCTTAGAGATTTTAAGAGGACTCCCCCCCCATTTTAAAGTAAAGGCCCCACAAAATCAATTCTAACTGAAATGCTTGTGATGAAGCCTGTCATTTAATAACCTGTTTATGTTTATCTAACATTATGATTATGTCTCCTCTCCCCCCGCCCACACCCCATTTCAAAATAAAAGCCCCAAAGAGTGAATTCTAACTGAAATGCTTGTGATGAAGCCTGTCATTTAATAACCTCTGTTTATGTGTGTCAAACATTAAGATTATGTCTCCTCTCCCCCCCACCCTTTCAAAATAAAAGCCTCATGGATTAACTGTATTTAAACATTAAGCTCAAAATTAGGCTTTTTTGTTGAAATAATGAATGCTCTTACTAATACTGCGACAACTACTGCTACTAATATTTCTAGTATCACTACTACTACTACTACTTCTACTGCAACTTATGCTGTTGCTACTATTACTACTTCTACTGATACCATCACTATTATTTCTACCACTACTGCTGTTACTACCACTACCACTACTATTATTACTTATACCACAACTGCTACTACTGCTATTCCTGCTACTACTACAGCTATTAGTACGACTGCTACTAGTACTACTACTACTTCAAAAACTGACTTTACTATTACTACTACTTATTCTACTACTACTTCTGTTATATTAAATACTACGACCACTACTACAGCTATTACTACGACTACTGATACTACTTATTCTTCTAATTACTAATACTTCGACAACTTCTACTACTACTGCTACTACAAATATCACTACTGCTACAACTAGTACTTATTCAAATGCTACTAATACTTCTACTGCTAATAATACTTCTACAACAACTACAACTTCTACTACTACTACAACAAATATCACTACCACTGAAATTTCTTTAAGCTACAGAAACCGTTCGAATATCAAAATGTTCAGCTCTTTCAGGAGAGGGGTGATATGACTTCATATTTGTAATCTTTCAACTTTTTGAATTATTAAGCTTTTTGCAATTGTTTTTAAATTGGATATCTATTTTCAGCAATGTTTTTGCAATTCATTTCAGCTTTCAGCATTCCAACGCATTTTCAGCAGGAAATGCATTTTCTAGTTACATAATGACTTTCTATAGGGGTGGACAAAAATTGTAGGAAGTATTTCAGCCACTGGTCGCTACAAAATGTCTATAGCACATGATTTCAGTTTGTATAAAGATGACACAAATGAGATACAAAGTGTTAATTAGTGATAGAAAAAAAATAAGTATATTTCCCACAATGTTGATATATTCAATAACAAAGCTGGATTGTTTAAAGCATCGTCACCCATGATGTTTAAATGTAAGCTAATGCCGACACTGTATATTGGTTCAGCTGTTCGTATTCTGTGACTGTACCGACTCTGTGGCAGACTGGACAATGTAAGGTGTGTTCTTTAAGGCATGTTAGCTTACATGGAAATGCTGCTCCATCACTTGGATCTTGCCTTGATCTGGACACTTCTTCAAAGCATGCTCTGCAAACTGGAAAAGGATCTCTACCATCTGCACACACAGGAAGTGTTACATGTTCAATGTTGGAGTTCAATGTCCACCACAGCTTCAATACAGCAGGCAGCGGTTTCCTATTCTTACCTTGTCACCTACAACTCCCTTCCTTTTCAATGGATCTCCGAACAGGCCTGGAATAAACGCACGTCACACATTCTTCTCATATCAGAACAACTGATTTTTACTTTCATCACTCTATATTCATAAATCATACATGTTGCATGCTGAAGTGCACTAATTGATATTCATGAGGAACATGTACTGACATTGTGTTGAATGTATGACTTCTAGATAAGAGACTCAAAAAAAGAATGAAGTAACCAATCAAACCGCCGATAACTGGACCCTATAAAATATCGACAAAATCTCTGTTACGTCACCCTGAGATTTCTGAGGACCCGTTGTGCAGCTCAAAGTGCGTGGCTCCAGCCGTCGCCATCTTGGCAGTGATGACAGAGCCTAACTTTTGGCTAACTAGAAAAGTGGGCAAACGTCGAGGAGCTGAGGCGGCCCGGGTGATACAGCAGAGAGGACATTTAGCAGCAAGTGACAATACGGCACCCACCTGTCACTCAGAGCAGCCAAGCTCTTAACTATGCATAACTTCAAGGCTTAATATTATTTAAACGGGTGAGTTGTATAAAAATCTCCCCCGTACAGTTGGAATGAACGGTGATATTAGCTGAAGAGACCAAAAAATGTTCTTAACTTGTTTATTTCTGCTGTAAAGTTTTGACATGGTCTATGGAGATTGAGCCAGTCTCAAATGGCCATTTCATGATCTGTACAGACCTTTATAGTCGCACAGTAAAACGAGAGGCAGACTTCACACCACTCCTTTTAGCTACTCCCCGGGCACCTATCATTGACAGCCCACTGCTCCCTATATACAGGGATGGGTCAAACACAGAAGGCAAATTTCGTGTATGTGTATATGTATATGACAATAAAAATGGTTTCTTCTTCTTCTTCTTCTACTCCCATCAGGCAGCAACTTCAGAACACCTCCAGACAAAAACAGAACTTACAAAAACTCTTGCATTCCTACTGCAAATAGACCGTCACTATACTTTTTAATGCAGCTTTGCACAACAGCTCTTATTAATTTATGGAATTGTGTTCAAATGTAAGTTCATTTATTTTATGAGTGTATGTTTTTGTGTTGTTTGTGAGCACTAAGACAATTTTCTATTATTATATGATATTATGTTTGAATTTTGAATCATGATTAAAGCAAAGATAGGACCTTGAATAAAGATTTTTTTAGTCAAACTACTGTTTATAAGAAATAAATATTTATGCTCAATTGCAAAATATTTTGAGCATATGCACCACTGAAGCAGAATATTAACTGAAACAATAACATGGATGCTGAAACACAGTGTCCGAATCTTGTTCAGGATCTTGTTTTCAGTGTTTGGTTACATGGTGCATAATTCAGAACAAATCCTTTTACCACATTCCTTGATCAAAGGACCACAAAGTCATCAGTAAATAGAAGAGGAACCAGCAGTGATGAACAAACTGATATACAGGCTGCTGGATGTGTGACATGCGTTATACCCACCAACCACAGCTTTAGCAGTTCCCTCATGGAAGGACCAGGCCAGAGAGAGAGCCTCAACGAAATGCTCCTGCTTCAGCAGGCAGTCTATACGCTGGACACACGGACAGAGACAAAGACAGACATGGATTAAGTGCAAAGCAAGCAGTTGTTGGTCTACTGATGTAAACCAAATGTTAGAGTTAATAATTATGTGCCAGTTTCTGCCAATGTTACTGCAGTGGTGAGTTATTTGCAACATGAAATCGCTGCAGGTGACGGGGTGTATAGGAAATATGAATATTTGTCACCCCCAATTGTAATTTGTAATATGTAATTGAAAGTGACATTATTTAAAGACAGTTATAGACTCATACATACCTCTCTCCAATTTCTTAGAGCCATAATGTGAGCTGACTGCAAGACAAGAGAATATCGCACTTAACGGACGATTATGAAAACCCAACTGCAGACTCAAACAAGAGACACTTTTTATTTTAACACACACAAAAACATGACATATTTCTAAGTAGACTTTATCAAATGCTATATAAATGCTTTTTGCATCTAGTGTAATAAGTGAGAGCATTATTGTAATTTACATTAATTAAGTGGAAATGTTTTAATTTCAATTCTAAAAACTTGTCATAAATTGTAAATAGTATCAAATGACTACATTTTTCTATTACTACTACTAGGAGTGGCTTTGTAAAATTCTGATATATTCTCATTCTGAGACATAGTTCAATTCACAGGTGATTTAAAACCTTTGATGATATAACCATTATATCCTTTTGATAAACTTTATGCAGTATTGTGGTTTAACTTGTGTCTTCACAGTCGTCATCAGTGTTGGACTGTTATCATATAATGATTAACTACATGAGAAGGGTGAATCCCACGGATCTATTTTAGGGCCTTTACTTTCCTCTCTCTGTATTAATGAACACCTCTGAAACACATCGTCATTCTTAAAATGTAGTTTCTAATGATATTTTTTGATTCGTCTTAAGGCGTCATCGCATTCATCATTGTTTCATGTATGATCCACTTAACTTGTTACCACTTTCACTCTTTTTTTCACTGGTTCTTTGTTTTCAAATGCATTTACTTAACTTATCCTTTATACTTAAAAGAGCTTTTAGTTCCATTTAGATCAACACACTCACTTAGACACTCAACACCCCTTTTTCCATTGTGCCAAGAATCTTTAACGACATTGGGAGACGGGCTTTTAAGTTCAAAGCACCATCAGATTGGAATAGTCTCCCTAACTCGATCGATTACTTGCTTGTTGACCTCAAATGTTCTTGTGATTGTTTTTGTAACAGTAACATATTTCATGGATGAATTCTGGATACAAATGTATACTGTGAATGACATCGTATGGCCCAGATAGGCCCTTATTTACTACTGCCCTGTTTCATCATTTTGATTTAGTCGGTGGATTTCTCTGTCAGGGATGGTACTGCATATATTAGAGTCAAGTCAAGTTACAATTACTTAGATTAAACCAGATATTGACAGTCTGTGACTGTCTTGCCATAGTTCTTATGGCAAGAACCAGCCATAATACTACATATATTTGACTTTGCTCTGTTTTCTATCTAGGAATCTATCTTTCATTCTCTCACTATAGCATTGGGCTCAGTGATTAGCCCTTGTCCATTTATTGCTACCTTTTAACAAACAACACAAAACTCATGTCCTTCTCCACTTAGCCAGATGTTTGATGTGTGATTTAATGAACAACTTTCATCAAAGAAAAGATTAATATTTGAGGGATGACTAGGCAGACACATGCCTATTTGTTTAGGAACCACGTACTGTATATCTCACCTCCCTTCTCTGAGACATCAGTCTGTTATTTTTGTTATTGTTATCATAATTACTTGTATTTTGTATACTTTATCATACTACCAGAGTTGTTTTTTGTTGTTATTTGGTCTGTGTCGTGATTTTTGTGCATGTTTTGCTGTTGATTTGCTTTGAGACTTTGAGCTAAGCCAGGATCTTGTCAGACTCTGGCTAAGACGTTAGAATGGTGTCTTTTTACTATTTACAACAAGCCATAGCTGTTACACACATACAACACAGTACCTTGGTACCCAAATAGACAATCTGTCCTGCGTAGCTCGAGACTGACTGGTAGCAGGCCTTTTCTCCAACTAAAGCCTAAAAAACAGACACACTGTTAGACACACACAGAAATGCAGTCCAGAAGACTAGAAGATCAAAATGTCAGTATCCTATAAAGAGAGAAATGGATGGATCCCGACTTTGTTGCTAATTTGACAGTCGACTGAGAGGAGAATTTTGCACAAGTGTGTTTTCAGTTTTTGGAGGGTACTACTGCATATGTGAAAAAAGTTCTACAGAGCCTTGTGCCTTCAGGGTTAGGGTTACTCTCATTTCAATTTCTCTTAGACCATCAAACTTGAGAACAGATATGGATGGATTTCACCTTGAGGCTCGGATTCTGCCCAGAATCATCATTCGGGTTCTTCAGAGAGGACCCTTTTTTGAAGAAAGGGGGGGGGGGGGTTCAAGGGTTCTTTGTAAGAAAAAGTACTGGTTGGAACCATTACACCACAGAAATGTTGTCTGTAGGTCCTCTCATAAGGGGTTTTGGGTGGAAGCTTTCACAGATGGTTCTAGGTATAAGTCTTTATGTTGGGTTCCTGTTAGAGCCCTCTGAATGGGTTCCAGGTGGAACAAGCCAAATAACTCGATATGGTTCTAGTTAGCACCTTTGTTTCTAAGAGTGTATAAGAACGGCAACGTAGCTCAAGCTTTTATTCCGATACTGTGCTCATGTGCTCGTACTCGTAAAACTACTCCGATACAACTGCAACCAGCACCACTACGGCAACGTGACGCCAGCTGCAGTGTATGTGCAGGCACCACATTGGGCAGTAAGTCCCCAGTAACTCTCCACCACATCAATCAGTTTAGCTGTGAGGTTGTCTGCCTGTCACTCTGTCATGGTTTCCACCAGTGTATTGCAAGCCTGGCGCTACGTTAGCAAGTGCCTGGTCGAGAGAGAGAGGGTATGTGTGACAATGAGTATGAAGTCAGCAGTAAAGTCACAATTGGGAGTGTAGCAGTGTGTAGAGTTTATTTGTCTAATGTTACAATGTCAACAACAGCTTCATGTTGTACATTATATTTGTTACAGTCAGAAACTGAGGAATGTCTAATGAAAATAAAACATGTTCTGTTTATTGTTAGAACTGTAATGGTACTATTAAGTACTTATATCGCTACTCCAGTGGCGGGCCGTCAGGGCCTGCAAGGCCTTCTCTGCTGGCCTAAACAGAATCACAAAGCTATATCTATTTTATAATTTAATAATTTTTCTTAAATACACTACATGTATTATAATTTATAAAAATATTTTTCCCATTATCTTATTTTCTCATTGCACAGCTCCTGTCTTCCTCAGTTGCTCTGCTTCCAGTGCAGCTTGTTTTAAGTAGAGCTTTCATCCAATCAGATTTCACCTCTGTGTCTCTAGGTAAGAACAGAGGCAGAGGCCTGCACACTCTCACCTGCAGCCAGTGCAGATTAAAGTAAATGGAGACGATATTGTTGATCGTCATAGTGTTCAACCAATCAGATCTTTAGTTTGACATGTTGGGCGTATTCTTTGACGTATCAGAGCCTGCGAGCCGGCCTATAATGACGTCAGCATTACGTGCCGCTCAGTGTCCATGTGCAGCTCTGAAACTTAACAGCAGAGGCTGTCGGGTAGTGAATCACATCACGTGATGCAGCTCAGCCAATCAAATATGGGCATTCTGACTGAGTGAGATCAGATGTACCACACACCATGAGACAGGAGACTGAGACGAGGAAAGACATTGCAGAGCAGTACATTCAAGTTGTGAAAGTAAAATCCTATGATAATCTCTTAACTGATTTAATGAGCCATTCGCAGTTTCACTGAACCGGCGGTGTGTACTTAGACTTGCATGGCTTAATCTTAATTGTCATTAAGGAATGATGGCGGATCCCACAGCCAGACCAGCTGAGAACATTATATTTCCCTGAATTTAGGCTTTTGCATTTTCTAAATGCTCTAGCATTATTCAAACGACTCGTACCGAACGGTTTAATACGAAGACGTACATAGTTACAGCCTTAAAAATAAATAATAGCTGTGGCGCGATAATGTGGTTATAAGGTGGTATTTCAGCTGCAGGACAGCAGTGAAGGCCCAGGTATAAAATGCACGGCCCGCCACTGCGCTTCTCTGTAGTGGCAAGTACCCAAATGTTAGTACTTGATGTGAAAAAAGTGCTATCGGTACGTACCTATTTTGAACTTTATTTATGATCAATTACTTCTTACCTTTCAGATCCAATTCATTAACACTATCGTTATAAAATGAAGACTGTTCTAGAACCTTCATTGTAAATTGACCTCTGACCCTGACCCGATAAATGTGAAGTTGGACCTCTGATCCTGTTGCCCACCGGCTAACCCCTCACCAAAGCCTGGGAGACATTCCCTCCAGTCGCCAGCGATTTGAAATGTCGGCTGTTATAGACCAGTTGGACCTGCTCCAAGTCCAGAGTCTCCAAAACTTCCTGACTGGGCCGGTCCACGACCTGCAGCTTTTCATGGCTGTCTACTAGGACCAGTGTACGACTGTTGATCCACTGCAGAGACATGGAGACAGGAGGAGAACAAGTCATTTACTTACAGTAAATAAACACATTTGCCTTTATTGATGTGCCTTAATGCCTTACCCAGGCATCAAGGTGAAAAAAAAAAATCTGAAAACTCTACTCGATTGTTGGACTTGAAGTTAGGTACTTACACTTAGGCTAATGATGTCACAGCTTAGGTGGAGTTGTTTCTGTTTGATGACATGGATGGTCCCCGTCTCCTCTTTCTTCACCTGAAGAAACAACCATAGCACAGTGGAGAACATTAAAACACTAAAAACCTGTCACTAACAACTGACTATTACTCTTAGAAAACACTGTTGAAGCAGTTTAGGGTGTAGACATCTGGGAAATATTACATTACATCTTCTACTCTAATCTTACAAACGGACCTATCAGTCTCTTATTTGGGCCTTCAAGTCAGTTAGTATAAGTTAATGTTTAGTTAATCCGAGCTCATCTCTCTCCCTGACAAGCTAACAGGCTTTTGTCCATGAAAACATGCAGATGCTGCATATTTGTATTGTACCACTAATATAATGCAACTGTCGTCTTATTCTAATAGACAAACTGTCTATGGTTTTAGGATCTTAAATATAAAAGGTGTGTTGAATAGTAGAAGTAAAAGATAGCCCCTAATTTACAGAAACATTTTTAAGAAAAAGCTAAACTTCTTTTGTGTATATTGTGTATTATGCTACTTTGAAGTTAACAGGAAGTTGAGCAGATACCAGGAGGAAGTGGACTGTATCTCCTTTACAAAAAGCCAGGATCGGGTTGACCATCTTCTGAACAGGAACAAACTGCCAGGCCAGCTGAGGAACACTGGCCGGATCAGACTGGTGAGAGACAACGCATCACATCACATCAGCGATTATTTCTTAATTAGTGTCATAAATTAATGTTCCAAATGCTCATTGTAAATAAGGCTGAATATTTTCCACTGTGCGAGACACACAGATTTTTACCCATCATTAATTTTATCATTTAACACCTATGCTTTTCCTACTGTGACATGATGTCTTTAGTGAAAAAGGTATATTAAAAGTTTCATGGTGGAGGAGAAAACTGCAGAAGAAGAGACCATTGTTGTGGTGAAACTCAGAGCCCTTGGTGGCTGAGAAGTTACATCAAATGGCACTTAACCGCAAGGTGGGCGACCGTGGCGCATGGGGGAGAGAGGGTCGTCCACTAACCGCAAGGTGGGCGGTTCGATCCTTGGCTACCACGTGTCCTGTGGCGAAGTGTCCCTGAGCAAGACACTGAACCCCTAACTGCTCCCCTGGCGCTTCTCAGCAGCCCACTGCTTCCTGTATACTAGGAATGGGTGCAGAGAATAAATTTCCCCACTGCGGGACTAATTATTATTAATTACAGCCAGCAACCCTTGTTGCATGACGTACACCCCTCTCTCCTCCTCGTTTCCTGTCTACTTCTTATCTGCCAAACTGTCCAATAAGGAAAATATTCTTTAAAAAAATAGTTTGAGACACAAATCATGGTTAATTACCGTTACAACACTGAAGATATTTATAATGAGAACTAGCAGGTTTCACAGAAGCTCACAGAAAGTAATTGAAATAAGAGAGATGCTTGAATGTGTGAACACTTCTTAATTGTGCTGTGTTCCAGTGATATCAGACAGTAAGGAAATATCAAAACAACTTCAATTTCCATTCCTGCACAAAATATATAAATTCAAGCACTTTCAACTACCAATGTCTATTTAAAAAAAAAAATGGTCTTGATTTTTTCCTCAAATTCACAAACTTACAAATCTTAAGGAATTCAATGGTGAGATGAATCTTTTAATCCACGGCCCTTACTTACTGTGCATTCAATAATTTACGATAACTGATAACCTCAGGACGGAAAAGGGTGTTAAGATAGAATTGAGGCCTTTACAAACCGGGAGCGTTTATTTTTTTCGTGTGATTCATTGGTAGTTCAATTTACTATTTCTGTAAAATCCATCCCAACCTTTTATTGAAAAACTGCTACAACTGTTGCAAATTCACATTGCTGCAGGTATCTCGAAATAATTTTTATGCAAAATATTCACAGGCAGATATTTTGCAATTCTATGTCATTTATTTGTCTCGCCCCTGGTGTGTAAAGGTATCTAAATATGACATTGTATCAATGAATCTGGGCCAACGTGCACACATTAACAACATGCAGACAAATATACAGACCTTGCTGTAGGGAAAAGTCATCCAGACTTTCAGCGAAGGCTTTAGTCCAATGACCAGAATCTGGTGATAGAAAATCAAAAGGCAGAAACATCACAAACTTTACACACACTTGAGTGACAGTATGTCAGTTCACACCTGGCATTAGAATGCGTCTCCAGATCTTGTGTTTTGAATGATTTCATTCTAGCAGTTAGCTAGCTATAGACTGAGAAAAAATGATTGAATTCACTGTGCCACTCAAAGTCTAAAGGCGTCTACCGGCAACTTTTACGGCATGCATGTTACTCAATATGAGTTGATGTCATGACTCAATCGACACACCTTACATGTCAATATGTCAACTTTGTCCATTCTATTTGTTCTTACAAACATGATAAAAATGAAACTCTCTCTCATTTCATTCATTGGATTCTGATATTCAGTTATATGCCATTTATTATCTAATTTATTACATTATATTATAAATGTAATTTAAATTTATCGCCAAAGTTGCTGTCAGTGAATATTTCTTCAGAGCAGAAACTAAAGATCAATGTATTATAAGACTGTTTAATGTTCTTTCATTTTGTATATTTAATAACCTCCTCAACTGAGGTGGTCCCCCAAATTTAATGAGTGCAAGATTTAATTTTTAAAAGTAGTAATTACTGCCTGTGTTTGCATACCTTAGTGAGAGAGGCCATAGCCAGCAGAGAGTACTGTGTGATGGGATGGTCTCTGAAGTCTGGAGGAGCACGCAGCGGTTCAATACAGCAGACCTCCCCTTTAGAACCACTGAAGAGACATCGAGAGTCACAGGACCGCATCCCCATCACCCTCCTGAGAGTAAAGAGAGTCGGACATGGACTGCAATCATGATCTGTGCACGGGACTGTGTACATGGTCCTCCCACAAGGGCCAAGCTCTTTTTGCAGTCTGCTCGGAAACATGTGACATTTTTGGACGTGTGTGCGCTGACAGAGCTAACAGCGTTTAGAGGGGGAACCGGGACGTGGGTGCTACGCTTCCGTGGCGACGCCGTCGGTCAGGACGGCGTTATTAGCTGTAACCGCCGTATGAGAGCAGTGCAGCTAACCAGTGGAGCACGCCAACATGCACTAACATGCACTAAAAACACGCATGTCTGGCCCGGCTATGTCAACAAAGCATGGAGGAACTTGGATTACAAAACACACAGATGGAGAGCGACTTCATTCTCTGCTCAGGTAGACATTACTACACTATATCTTTACATAGCTAATAGTTGTTTGATGCTATGTTAATGCTCTGAACTGCTTGTAGTTCAATGCCATTTATCCCATGATACACAAATCATCTGACAATGGCTCCTATCTGGTCGCATTACTTCAAACAGTGGCCATCCATCACGATGCCGGCAAGTTAGTTTCACTTACACCCTCATATTTATATTGCAAATTTATCCCATTTGAGGCCGGTGACTATTGCATTTAGATATCAATTGACGTGCGTTTACTTTCTTCACTGAACAAGAAAAAAATTCAAAAACAAAGCTCAGCTTTGGGAAGGGAAGAGATATGGGACAAGATGAGGAGACTGAGAGCAAAAGTAGAGAAGGTGATGGAGATGAGGAGCAGTTACTGCCCACTGAGCCCAGAACAGGATTAGCATTATGCTGTTCAACACAAACTGTTTGATCCAATTCAAACAGTGTAATTACCACAGAATATATATGTTGTTTGGTTTATACAGCTGACTCTATGGGCTCAATTTAACAACACAAACAATTAATAGCATAATTATAGTATTATTGTAAAACCATATCATTATCATTATGCTTATGTGCTGTTTGAGACACATTTCTATGATTCAAATCAAAACTGGCTTGTGTGTGTGTCAAACTTTGCAAACTCAAACAAAAGATGATATCAAGAAAGGTGAGTATAATGTTTTGTGAATTGTTACTAATACACATTGGCAAAACAGAGACAAGTGAGGATTCACAGAGAAAGGGACAGGCAGTGAATACGGAGGGTGAAAGAGAACAGTAGTGCAGATTTGCTTTTACCTGAACACATAGGTCAAACATCTCCTATATTTTCAGATTGTAGTTTGGATCTTTCAGTGCAACATTTAACCATTTAATATTCTCATGTATGACTGCTTGACCCATTGACATGGTTTTAAAAATATTGTTATCCAATTTCTGCTCTCCACTCATCTTGAAATGCACATATTTAGATCAGAGAAATCCACACTTTATCATGGGGGTAAGCTTTGGACCTCAGTAACAGTCACTGAGTCAGACTAGAGCAAATAATTGTAACAGAAATCAGTTCACAGGCTGTTGTAGGCAACCAAGGAAGTTATGAAAGTCCTCAGTTATTAAGTTATGTTACAATCCCAATATCCCACATTGGCAACACAAAAGGATTAATACATGTAAATTGTTATATATAGTAGTACCTGAAAGCCAGCTCGAAAACTGATCCTCCACTGTCATTGCACACTGCAAGAGTTGGGTCATCTGTGAACTAAATACACAAAAAACGAGGAATTAAGAGTATCAGGGATCCAACTCATGTAAGACCAATTTCTGAGTGTGTGTGACAAGCAAATTTGGTTCATTGTTTTGTTTGTGTATGGGGAAAGACTGTAGGCACTGAACCATACAGCCATGCTTCCCTAAAGAGAGGTGGTTGAATGGATGAAAGTGTGTGTGTGTGTGTGTGTGTGTACCTTCACATGCAGTATAGCTGTCCCTGGAGGGTGGGCATCAGTGATTGTTCTCAGGAGCTTCCCACTGGCTAGATCCCACATTGTGATCTAATCATTCAGACAGATAGACGGACAGACAGACGGAGCAAGACAGATAAACAAAAGGGTTAGGTTTAAGACAATTCTCTATACTGGCAATTACAATGGCTGAAATAAATACTGCTGTTAGGTTTGTAACTTTGATCCATATGCAGTGCTGAAATGGTGGGTCATTTAATTGAAAAAAAAAATTAATTTAATTGGCATTGATCATTTTTAACTATTTATTTTGTAAACACGAATTAACTGTTATTGTCACACATTGTACATAGCAAAGCACACAGTGAAACAGTGACAGCCTCTGCATTTAACTCATTCTAGTATTATGAGCAGTGGGCAGCTACTATACAGCACAGAGTAAGCAGTATGGGGGTTTAGTGCCTTGCTCAAGGGCACCTAGGCAGTGCCCAGGAGAACTGGCATCTATCCAGGTACCAGTCCACACTTGAGCAGACGGTTCCTCCAGTTCCCAAGTCAAGTTCATATGGACTGAGATACTGCTGCCCCCAACTTTGCCATTGGCCAATTCACTGACACAATAACTATGAAGTATGAACAAAATGTTTTTGGTCAGTTATTATCTTTTTGCAGACATGCTATAGAGTTCTGATGTCCCATGAAACAATTGTGACAATTGCACTTACAGCCTACAAGACTGTTTCAAGAAATGAGCCAAAGCAACTGAGAAAAACTGTAAAAGAGAAAAGAAACTGCCCCGAAGAACTATTTGTTCCAACTTTAACAGTGTCATGTGTCCACCCTTTTTTGAACTCTAATGAACGCCCAGTCAACAAGATTGTATGTGATTGTACATATGCGTGTCTGAGTATATACCTGTCCTTTGGCGAACCCGCAGAGAAGTCGGGAGCAATCGTGGTTGATGCTGAGGGCAGAGACAGCTCCAAACTCTGCCCCGGTTGCCTTGGTACCCAGACAGAGCCGAAGAGCCTGATTAGTATCTGGAGAGGAAGATGAAGGGCATGTTTAACTGTTGAAGCATGGGACAGACTTAGAAAAGGTGTGGATGGTAAAAGTAATGTAAAAAAAGACAAATTCAAGGTTTTTACATGTCAACACAAAAACACAACACATTGGCACCAAATGAAAAACTGGAAATGCAAGAAAAACTGCCAATCGCAAATAACCAAATCAAACAACAAAGCATGCACTAAAGTAGCTCGGCCAAACCAAAATGGACATGGGCGGTGATCTCTGAGAGCCAGCCAGGTGTAATACAGAATGAACATTAAGTATGACAGGGCCAACTGACAGGGTGTCCATACCTTTTCCTGCCCAGGCATCATGTCAGCAATGTAAAGAGACATGGGTCAGCCCTGCTGAGACCGCAGCCCCGATCAAACCCCAGCAAAAACCCAAACATCACAGCATGAAATTAAGACATTCATTTTGTATCTGTGGAGACCAACAGCTCTTTGCATATTTTGACAATTTCCCATGAAAGTTATAACAATCCTATAAAGATATAAAAACTGCCAAACATATTTTCATGCTCACTTTCATGCTTTCAACTTAACCAGGTAAGGAGCCGTTTTTTTTGTTGGTCATACCAGACTTCTTCACACTCCTGGTTCTGCAGCTCAACAACATTCCTCATGATGAGAGAGAGAGAACCATTGATAACCATCGACAGTAGTGACGCACGGGTCGACCCACAGGTCGGATGGGTTAAGGTGAGCTTACTAGAAAGTGTCATGATTTCGAGTGGGCAAGTCAAAAATGACAAAGCAGTATTCAATAACTTACAGAAACATTGCTTGCAGTAGTTCACAGTGCAAAATCAAATGCAACATGTACTGTAAAATTAAAGTGTAGTTCTTGCTCAGCTAATTTGAATAAGACGTATAAGGCCCACCCCCCCGTCCTTACACAGAGAGGACTGGTTGTACGGGGAGATGGCAGCTGTACTTGTCCTCATCAAAGCGAAGCTGGATCAGTCTCGTACTGAAAGTGCTCCCCTGTTTGACCAGCAGATAGTTAAGAGGATGGGAGGTGTTTCCCATGATGCACAACAGTTTGTGCAGCATCCTCTTCTCCACCACCTCCATCGGCTCCCAGAACAGAGCTAGCCTTTCTGATCACTTTGTTTTGGTCGCTGGCTGTGATGCCACTGCCCCAACGAATACGATTGTACTTACAACTACAGGCTGGTAAAAAATCTGGCTCTGTGTGTTTGTTTGTTCTGGTCTGTATGAATGAATGTGCTTGAGATGTGCTTCTTGTGTAGTCTGTCCTCTTTCTACGTTACACGGTAGAGGTCATGTGGCTCAGTCTCCATCTGTTTGGTGACACCTGGAAGCTGCTTGACATTGTCTATGTTATTAATATTATGTTGTTTATTTTGTGCACACAACATCTACTGCATATCGGTCTGTCCTGGGAGAGAGATCCCTCCTCTTTTGCTCTACCTGAGGTTTCTTCCATGTTTCCCCATTAAAAGGGTTTTTTTGGGGGGGGGGGGGGATTTTCCTTCAAAAAGTAACTTTAACCTTAATTCAATCATCACATACCTACAGGTACCTACATGAAAGCAGTGGGGTGTGGTGGAGCCCCCGGGGAGCAACTTCACATTTGGAGCCTGGGATCGAACTGCCAACCTTGTAATTAAAGGACAACCCGCTCAACACTGAGCCACAGCCGCCCAAATAAATATATAATATACATAAATTGGACCTGATTGGCCACCAAGTCCCTGTACTCCCACTGCTGTCCATTATTAATACACCCAATAACTGGAGAGTCATCCGATGAGTCAGAGTTCAGAAAATAAGTGAAATCAAGCACAGAGAAATACTTGTATAGAATATTTGTGTGTGAATTAATCATTCTGCTCACTGACTTTTATCAGTGGAGCGAGGTCTAAAGATTCTATCAAAGCGTGTCTTTATTATGGAGAAGTTTCCGTTATAACGCAGCTTGTGGCTGTGAGGAGCAGTTTAAAGATGTTGTTGGTGACCATGATTGGAAAACTAACGCATGGTGTTAGATGCACTTTTACCATCAATATTCATTCACTCAGCCGTTCACTGAGTCCTGATTAAAGACCACACACTACAGTCATGGATCAGGGACAGTTACTTAACCATGATGGGTCAGCTGATATAACAGCAGAATCATGTCTTTGTTATACTGACTGCATCGTCTCTACATTGAAAGAGATAGAAATGCTTTAAGTTAAGTTAAGAATGGTTTGGCTGACTATGAAAGAGATTACTTTGACATTAAAATATGGCTTTGGATTATTTAGTTTAGACTATTAGTATTTCTGATTACAGATATTGGGCATCAGTACTTGTGCCCTGAAAAAAAACATGCATACTGAAACTGCTACATGTACACAGGCTGCTGGAGCTCTGACGCATTCTCCATTTCAATTCACTGATTACCGCTACTGCAAATACTACTCATATAACGGATATGACTCTTTTAACAAGACTAATTATTTTATTGATAGAACTGCTGCAAACTCCTTCCATCATCATGGCTAAAGTATTTTTAAAGAAATCAAATCACAAGTCCTTCTACTAAGGAACTATATTATGTGTTTTTGGTTGTCTTGGCTCTTGCTATCCAAAAGGGTGTTATCTTATGGCAACTACTGGTCACTAAGCAGTCTCATTTCATGGTCAGTCAATTCATTAGCGTATTGCTCCTCCTCATACTCAATTTTGTAGAGTTACCCAGTGAGCATGGCAGGCCACTCAGTCCTTACCCTCCTGGGGACGCCTTGTACAAACAATGGATACCCTTTTTAAAAGGTTCAAACAAAAGAAGGTCCAAATAAAAGCTAACGTTGATGTAATCACTACGATCCAATCATTGCATGGTGATAAGGTGTTGGCGAGGTCCAGGAACAGAGAGGGGGGAGCTGATACTGGACAGGAGATAAGGAGGGAGTCAACTGGTGCCTGAAGGTCCCGATTACCTGAGTCAATAAAACCTGGTGTGAGCAGCTCAAAGTGTAATGTGACTTGACCACCACATCCTGCCTTAAACCTGGACCAACTCTTTCAGCTCCAACAACTGGTTTTAGCTTCTTTTTTTTTTACTTTGCGGATCATAAAAAGGTAAGTACTCCTGTGACTTTTAGATAGAAGAAGTTATTCCAGCTCAGCGTGTGGGCTGATGTTGCTAATATTGTTGTAAGTTTCATGAGGTCTATTTCCTTCTTCTGCCAAAGCAGTAGCTGATCTTACTGAGGTCCCGAACATTATAAGTGTCCACATAAAACATTAATACAAGCAAGAGTCAAATACAAACAAACGGTTAATACTATCAATAGATTGCTCTGATTAGCACATATAATATACAGAAAATAAAGCAAAGAGTGTGCCAAACAACTACACATTGATGACGCAGTACGTTCTACAAAAGACATGGACAGAGCGGTCTTAGCTCTTGGGAAAACAAATTGCTGTCTATACGCAAACCTGGGGATAACGATGTTTGACCAGCGTGCTCTCAAAGACCAGAAAAAGGATTCTGATATATTTTAACATGGGAATGTAATCTGGCTTCAACTGAGAGCCCCGACAGTTTTGTGCGCACATGTACACACAATCAACTAAAGAGCATATAGTCTGACTAACTGGATGTACACTGTAGTATAAGAATGCTATTGGTTGCCTATTTCAGCCGCCATTGTCCTGCTTATCTGCTAGTTTTTTTGGGGCACCATCACTGCATCCTGTGCTTAGCGCCGCCGAAGACAATTGAGATTCTTATTCTGATTCTAAACCAGAATGATATTTGTAGCCAGACCTTTCTTTGGCGCTAAAACATCGTGTGGCCTGACTAGGCAAGAGTAAAGTGCATGTAAACTCTCAGTTGGCCCTGAGAGCTCAACACACTGCAAATTAACACAGAAGTTTATAATGCAGCCTTATTTGTCATCTTAAGCGCACACGGTTTGTAAATTATGCCTTTGACTTTAGATTTTTAGCAAATCACACCAAAGCTCTCTACAAAGACAAAATGTCACTCTGAAATGATGTTGTGTTGTCTCTAGGTCACAGCCAGCCTCCTCCCGGCCGCCACTCCACACTTCATCACAATGCCTCATCGCATTTGCTCCGTTGAGATTAACAACAACTCTGGCTGCTACACTCTCTCCAACCCAAGGTTATGCATTGCTTTTGCTCATGTCTATTTCATAAGGTATTGAGAGTACATATACACCTGACATTAGCAGTTTCCTGGTTGTATATTGTAAGAGCAGTACCAAACACTAGCTTGAAAGAAAACATACACAGTGCAAAAAGATGTACAGGGAAGTAGCAAGGGGACACTAAAACCTGATTAACACGCCTGGACATCTGATTTACTAAAGTCATCTACTCATCAATAGTGTTGCCAACCTTCACTCATCACTGATGTGTTCATCAGTTTTTAGTTTTAGAGCTGCATTGCTATCTTAGAGTCAAGTTGTGTCAATTTAATCTATGCAGTCCAAAAAATTAGCCTTAAAAAGCCTTTACAATCCATACAGCATACGACTCCCTCTATCCCTCCACCAGGACAGACAGACGTGTAATCAATGTTGTTTGAACAGTATAGACAGAGACAGGACAATACCAGGTAGATAGATGGAGTTGATTCACTTGCAGGTGCCACCACCTCAAACTACATTGTTCCCATTAGTAAAACTGACCTGACTTAAGTGACTTTACCAGGTACTTTTATTGGGTCGAGGTTCTAAGCAAGCTGAGGCGATACTAGAAGGTGGAGTTACAACACTGCAGATCAGACCACCGATTGGTCAGAGTGAATAGTCACATGGACACAATCGCGCCACTTTTAAGAAGCCAAACTAGTATCAATTGTGGCCAATAGTTCCAATGCACGGACATTTTTTCTACATATTGTAGACAATAGCGTGCTTCCAGATTTGGGTTTGAGCTTTTCTGTTTCAACATTACAATGATCTCCTGCCCAAAGCCAGGTCCATAAAAACATGGTTTTCCCACTTTAGTGTAGAAGAACTTGTCAGAGCTCTGACCCCAAACGCATCCAACACCTTTGGGATGGAACGCAGAGTGCAGGGGCTGACCTCACTTTGGGTTCTTGTAGCTGGATGGAATGACATGACACCACTAAATCTATGGAATGATTTGGAGAAGGTTTGTGAAAGACCCTGTCCCAAATGTTTTGTCCCTGTGTTCAGGGTGTTCACTGAGAGCGGCTGCTGTGAGGTCCCTCTGCCACCCATGGTGGGTCCCTACTCAAATGGCAGTGCATTGTTCAACAAGACCACTGGCAGTGCGACCGGTGCCGTCAGCGTCTTCACCTACGACCTTTTCAACGCCGACCTGAACTACTACAGTCACTCCATGGCTGTCATGTTCTCCGTGCCCTACGATCGAAACCTCTACTCCAACTGGTTTGCTGTGGGGATCTTTGACAGAGGAAACAACTGCGACTACGATCTTTATGATGTCATGTACAATGGAAGTGAAAATAATTTTGTAAGAGCAAAGGCTGATGGCTCCTGCATTTCTTATGAGGGCAACTATGATGTTATTGTCAGTGCCTCCATGTCAGACTCAGGTGAAGCAGTCCTTAGGGTGGATATCAGTGATGCTGGCATGTATTAAGGCAAAGGAAGCCAGATCCTATCCTAACCAGATGATCACAGTAATTGTAATAAAATATTTCAATATAAGTAAAGCTCAATCAACTGGTCACTAGCTGCAGAGGTGCTTTTTAATCAATATAGTTAACATATGAGTTATACATGATTGTAGTCTAAAAAATGTTGATTTTTGGTGTGATTAAAAAAAAGTTGATGCCTAAATAAAAAATACTTTTTGTGTCCTTCAGATCACGTCTTCATGAAAATGGTCATAAATGTATTGTGTTCTCTCTGACACAATGTAAATGAAGCAAATATAATGAATTTATTTTGTACCCATACATAGTCAATTAGCTCTTTGATCTGGCGACAGCCAGACGTTTCCCATCATGCCCTGTGGTCATGCAGTTGGTGAAGAGCAACTGTGGCGCATGGCTCTAAAAACTGCGGCCACCTCGATCTCGTGTGGTGATCGTTTACCACGTGCGCATGTTGTCAGAGCAAGTCGGGATCAAGTCGGACACAAATCTAACCAGCATGCATTGTGCACCGATCGCCGGTGATCGTTTCTGATCAGGACTGGCTCATGTCCAACGAGCCTACAGTTAGTAAGTTCAAAACACATAAACACCGGGATATTTGTGTGATTTTAACAGCTGTCTATGCAGATGACGCTTCACTTAAAGCAGCACGCGTCTCACAGATTCAGTGTGGATTGATACATTTAATATATTGGAAGCGTATTTGTTTTGTAAAATTCCCCAACTGATGGACATCAAAAACCCTTCTCAAAACATTTTCAGTGGGGAGTGTTTAAGCTGAATGAGGAAAAATTCAACCGTAATGATGGCAGAGATCAGAGAGAGAGACACCGTGGCTTAACAGCAAGCATTTAATTTTACCATGCAAGCGAACTACATACCTATCAGGTGTGTGCTCCAGATCAGACTGGAAACATAACCACTTAAGAGATGGGTGTGTGTCGTAAAGTTACATGCTATCTTCTGTACTTTTTAAACAGAAAATACGATTAATATTGTAATATTTACTGTAAATGACTTACAATATATATATTTCTTCTGAGTACAGAATTCAGATGAAATTATCCAGATCTTACGGGGATCCTTAGCATCCATGGGGCCCATAGAGCAAGCACACTAGCGTTTGCTTTAGCCCCACCTACCAGCCCTCAGTCTAGCCTCGTTCTCATTCACAGGAACAGAGGAAGGAAAATAACTGTTAGTGCATTTTACAACTTTTAGGACATAATGATTTAAATAAGGGCTATTCATGTATTTGTATTGAGAGGTTGAATCACCTCAAAAACATTCCCCACTGATTTGCAGACGTCTTTTTCACAATGAATGTTTTTTGAGCCCCATGGAGTCACTTGACGGACCATGAATGTAATTCCTCTATTTGGCCACTATGTAAAATTTGCTTGGCACTCTTCCTGGGGCCTTTAAGTATAGGATAGTATAGGATTTGTATTTCTCCACCTGGATATGAACGCTCTGCCATTTCTCCTCTACCCTTCCAGCTGTAACATGCGTCACTCAGTGCTGACCATCAGATTCCCCCGCAAACACACAAAGATCTGCATTTATTTTGACAGACTGTTGAGTTACAAAGAATATCGTACATTCACATTCATTTTTGTTGAGCTTCAGATGACCTGGCGACAGCAATTCCCATAACCATAGTAACAGACTCAAGCCTAAGCACAACGAGACAGCAGATGGAGAGACGCTGTGCTGCTGCCAGAGTTGACTCTGAGCAGCGAGTCGTTAAAAGGTCTGAAAAGTCCAACGCTGTTCATAAAATATTTGGGAATGTAGCCTCGGACGCCCACACCATTCTGTCTGAAGGGCCTGTCTTTTTTTGGCCCATAATTTCTCCGCGCCTTTCTTGCTGTCTTATCCAATATGGCACTCTAGTTTTTTATACGCTCTGTTTAATGAAGGCACTGAGTCCAGATTGGGAGGGGTTTAAAGATGTGATTGGGCCAGCCCAGTGTCAATTAAGAATCTAATAGGCTGATCTAGCCTACCTGACAATCATGCCATCCCAAAAGACAGGTCAGCCCACCATGGAAGTGCCCGGTCATCAGATGGCCAGTCCCGCCCTGATTTCAATAGAATTATGCTTGGAAGAGGGTGCTCAGTGGAAGGCACACTGCCAAGTGTGAGGCTTTGAGACCACAAGCTTTTGAGGATCTACAAGAAGCAAAAGGGTGCAACTATCCAAATCTAGGTGTTTAATACCTTCATTCAGCCTCAAAGCTGTGATCACTGACATTAGTAAGTCTAAAAAGGTACTGAATATGGGTGTTACTACAAACTGAGGGCAGTCATTTCAGTTTGTTATCATTAAAACCATTTGGTGCACAATTAGAACATTTCAGACTTTAACACCCCCTAGAGGTAGTATCTAAAATGACCCTGATGCAGACAGTAAGGCACACCACTGCTTTGGCTATGCATGATTGTGATAACAAGAAGTAACCGGGAACTGAACTTAATCAATGTCATCTAAACTTTTTCTGTGACATTTTCATTGTAAAAATGTGAAAATATAATTTACACCACTGTGTGTATAAAAGGAGCATAATCAAATTTGGACTCACCGAAGACCAGAGCCAGACCATGAGACGTTCCTACAGCAATCACACCCGACACGGTCTGAACAAAAAGAATAGACAATTTAGAAGACATAATCCGCAATACATAGAGCAGACATAATCCGCAATACATAGAGCAGACAATCATCTTGACATAGTACGTTACCAAATGTTCCTCTACACTAATACCACCTCTCTTTGTTCAGTTAAGTTCATTGTTGGAAAACAAAATACTCACTATAGCAGTTGGCAGTCCAGCATCCACTTTGTCCTGAAGAAAATATGCAAGTGTTTTTATTATGCTTGAATACATCAATGCATTAGTCTACTGCAACAAATGTACAATTCTGAAGCTAGTAGTAAAATACAGAATTCAGTTTAAAAAAAAAAACAAAAAAAAAAAACAGACAAATAGAATGACTTTCATCAAATATAAACATGAATTATGAATGCATTCATGATTTTGGGATGCTTTATCATTTCATTTTGTTAACATCTTCACATCTAAACAATGTACTGAAGCTGCACTCTAATCAACTAGAAAAAACACCTCAGTCATGTATGTTATGGTTTACATCCATGTCTGTCCAAAATGTCATCACTTAATTTGATCCTATTAGACATATTTGTGAAATTGTCATAATTATGAATCACTGATTTGAGGCCAAAAATGTGTTTGTGAGATCACAGTGGCCACCAACTTCTTCTCAGTTCATCCTAAATCCAAATGGACATTTGTAGCAAATTCCCTTCAAAAGTTCCCGAGATACATCATGACAACCGGGCGGACAGACAATCCAAAAACATAACGCCTCTGGTGTCGGCATGGAGGCATTAAAACACTTAAATTAAGGCAGTCCTTTTTTGTCAAAGACTGAGTCCTTTCTCTCTATATATGTGTGTGATTGTGTATGTGTGTGTGTGTTTGCTGTTCATCTTACAGCAGCAGAAACGATCTGTGCAGAGATGCCCTTCAGCAGGCTGTGTCGAAGAACAGATCCATGAACGGTCGCATTCAGATCGACTGTCCTCCTCTTCCTTCACACGTGTACATGTCCACACACAGACGCACGCAAACACATGTACACAGATCACACACAGACACACAGACACACACACACCAAAGACAGTTTCTATGTTATACTTGTACATACTACAAGAAGCAATGCACCAAAAGTAATGTAGGTGTGTGTGTGTGTGTTCATGCCTTTTGAGGTGTGCTGGGTCTCCACTGTCAGAGCTGGCCAGAGAGGAGGTGTCACATGAGTGAGCATCCATGTTGTCTGTGTTTAGCATGCAAGTATCCTCCAACACAAATGGTTCCTCCTCATCCTCAAGCTGCACACAGGACAATAGTAAAAAATAAACACTTCTTAGCTAGGCAAAGGACAACAAAACAAACACACCTAAGCTAGAAGGTTCTCCTACATCCACAGTGGAGGGGATCCACAACCAAATATGTTTATCTGATACACGACTACTTTCTGTAAGAACCTTCTACCTGCCGAGTGAATTCCTTCTAATATGCCTGACTGCTGCCGAAGGTTTCTTCTCAATATCACAAATGACTTCAATCTGTTTTACTGGATGGCCAAAACTTTATCCTGGCTGATTTCAACCACTTTAACTGCAAAAAGATGCTGTTTTTAATCAGAGTATGACATGTTGTACTGGTGGAGTAAGTGTTGTGGAAATGTACATTATACTGAATTTATCAAGACAGCAGGAAGTGATCAGTTTTCAGGGAGGATTCTTACTATGGTATGATGGGAAATAGAATTAAAGTCTGTAAAAGACCTGTTTCCAATACAGCCCTGGTTCTTTGGAGAGGTGGGGCAGCTTCTAAATGTTGATCTTATTTTCAAAAAGTTGTCGTTATTCTGTTGACAGTGCAGTATAGGGTAGTAGTCATAGAGTACTTACCTCATTAAGGATGCTCTCCAGTGTGGGAGGTGTGTCTACTTGGGGTATGTCGAACTCCTTATCATCGATCTGAGAACAGAAATATTACAAAAACACGCAGGGTTAGAAAGCATTATTTGTTTCTTTGTGCTTTCTTTATCAAAAATCAACATTTATCAACATTCCCGGGGATGATCCCATGCAGACCCCTTACAGAGAAGCCGAAACAGAGTCCAAATCTTGGCAGAGCCCTGTGAATAGCTGTGTTTCCACTGAGCAGCTAACTAGCCTTTATTAACTGTCAAAGACTTCACCTTTGTTATTTCAGTGAAAATGAAAACATGCATGTGAGGATGTGCTGTATGTAGAAGTGTCATATATATACGTACAAGTATGAAAAATAGTTTTGACAGCTGGAAAAAAATATTGCATGCTGGTATGTGATGCAAAACATACAATATAATTGACATGTCAATATTGATGAAGTCAATCAACTACAAACATAGCAGTGGGCTTATTCATAAAAAATGATGTCATCCAAAGCAACAGGGTCCACCTGACCAACCTCAGCGGCTCTGTGAACAGGTAAGAGAAAAGTCCTAGTTAGGAACCTTCAGGGACATTTAGCAGTAGTCCTGGTGGTAAGATGACATCATGTGTGAATACTCTCCCAGATCAGAGGTGAAATCACCTGTGGTGGTGATCCATGATGCACAGAGGCGTATAGGAAATGCTGCCAACCTATTAGTTTAACTCAGACTGTCACAGTCTTACTGGTACAATTGCAGATAGTATGTATACACTCGGAATTATCATATGTTGTGAATCACCTCTCATTAATAACAAACAATATGCTTGAAATCACTTGGAAACAACAACCGTTTTAGTAAGTTTATTTCTGTTTTTGGGCGTGTAAAAACACAAGGGGAAGTGACGGCGCGTGAACGCACCACTGACGGGACAGTTGCACAATTAAAACTATACCAAACTTGTGAAAATAAGTGGAAGAAAAGGCTTTATTCTTTCACTGTCTGAAGCTAGTGCCAACATTTCTGGTTTGAATAAATGTTTCGCTACGTCTTGACATGAGCTGCGCCGCAAACCATGTGCCAAAACAATAACGTTGCATGATCACGTGATAAATTCAGACTTTAGGCCGTTGTAATAGACTAACGTCAGTCTGTTCATAAATGTGTTGATATAGTCACAAAAGTCAACCTTGGGACCTTGGGTAACAATAGTGGTTTCAGCTGAAGCCGGTGTCCATACGGCATTTCGCTTTACGTTAGTACAGTTAAATAACACGACAGCGCAGAAATTCAACCATACTATTCTATGGGAGAATCCAACATGCGTAGCTGGGCTTCATTTGGAATGTCACGAGCTAGTGTTTGGTTGATTATTAGCAAAATCGTGTTTTCCCCATTTGACACAGAGGAAATAATCTTGTTAACCATCTTGGTATATAGACGATGGTCAAACAACAGACTGCTGCGGAGGACTTGAGTGAGTTCATTCTCGCTCAAGTCTTCGCCATGACACCAGGATATGTATAAAGCCTCTCACCGCGTCCATCTCCATCAGGTTGAGCTGGGAGGAAGCAGAGAGTAAGCTGCGGGCGTCCGGAGACTCCGACATCGCTGTGTTTACATGCACAGAAAGGGCTCGCCTTGTCTTTCTCTGCGGCTGCTTCTTCTTCTTCTTCTTCTACTACTACCATCACAACCACTTCTTCTTCTTCTTTGGTTTTATGGCGGATAGCAACCCGCGTTAATGTGCATTACCGCCACCCACTATGTTGGAGGGTGGAACAGAGTTATCTATCCCCTTTTCCAAACAAACATGGAAAACAAACCGGAAAAACACTGGCCACTACATTCTCTTGAGCAGCCCAGTTTCAGACATTAAAATTGACTCCCTAACCTGATGTCAGATATTTTTTTCTCAGTTCATCCACTCCAAGCATTCTGAAATCTTTCTGAAGAATGTTTCTCGTTCTCTACTCCACTGATCCTTCTACTTGACAGTGTTCACATAATCCTGAGGGATGTTTACTCAATAAATGCAGTGTTTCATTAAGCTTCTACTTCTATGAACCTCCTACTCTCAGCCTTGTTAAGACGTCCTACTCCTCTTTAGCGCTCCTTTTAGCTGTCCTCACTTTGCCCAATTCTCGCTTGAGAAGGTGCCGCCTATGTTTCCTGCACTGCCACTGCCACTCTTTAACGATGTTGCTTTTGATAATTCAATTTGCTTCAGATTTGCTGTGTTTCAGGGCCTATTTTGCTAAAGCCTCCACAATTTCATTGACCTTAACCCTTCTGTGAGCTGGTATCCACAGAAATGCTATCAAAATATTCATATTTTTAAATATGTTTCATATATCTCATTAACAATATCCTACCTACTGTGAAATGTAAATGATTGCAATGGCATTAATGGAGAACACGAATCTGTACAAAGAATTACCTTTTTAATTTGTTTATCTATCTACTGTAATGCTGTTGAAATTGCCATCATCTCAACCGTGTATACAGATGATTAAATGTTCTTATTTTAACAGAAGTTGCAAGGCTGGTATACTGAAAGCAAACCCTGTATTCCCTGTATTATGATCCTTGGATCAATTTATACTGTGGAATAAGTTTTATATATTCTGTTTGTAGTCTATATATCAACCAAGACTGCAACATTTTTACCTGCACTTTATCCAGAATATAAAATGGTTTCACACTGAGGGAAACTGTGGTTTTTCTGGTAGGAACTACACTAATAACACATTCTTGTTAAATTGTTCAGAATAAAGTTTCTAAACTACAGAATTCACAAACTGTCTGAAAACATACTGCTATTTTTGCAAAATTATGAAATAATATCAGTGTAACGTGTAGGCTGTGATGATACTCAGGATCATGGCAGTCCCTAAACAGCGGCAACACTGTAAAATGGTCAAATATATTTTGATAATAGAGGGCACATAAAAGTGCTCCAAGTCATTTTAAAACATTCATTTTGAAACACCAAGCACTAATGAGCATTGTTGTTCATTACCACAACAACTATAATCTTTTTGTAGAAATCTTATGATGGAGCCTCTAATTAATTACGAGGAGGAGTTTGAAGGTATTTCCCATCTAGGCTTGACACACAATTTTTTGTTATATGCAGATGATTTGTTACTTTATGTTTATAATCCTGTGTTCTCTTTTCCGGCAGGGTTGCACATTTCAATTTGGCAAATTCTCAGGATACAGACTTAACCTTAATGAAAGTGAGTTGCTACCAGTTAATCACCTGAGCGAGGATTTCCTACACCCATCCCTTCTCTTCAGATGGGAAGATGATGGGTTTAAATACCTCTGAACTTGTAACACTTTATATTATTCACTCATTCCAGTTTCTCAATTATGAGATTTTCTGCTTTTATATAGTTTATATTATTGTAAAATGTTGGGGTTTTGGACTGTTGGTTGAGTAAAATATCCCATCTTTTTGTGATTTAGAAAATTGAGAGTATTTTCATTTATTTTCGGACATCTGTAGATTAAACAATGAATCAAGGAAATAATGTGTAGAATAATTGATACTGAAGATATTGATAGTTGCCATTGATTTGTGTTTTGTTGGCTTTGTTCTTTAGCACAGCGGTCTGGAGAAAAGCAAGTCCTCACTGTTCTCCAGTCAAACCACACCAGTGCGGTTATGCTGCTCAGAAAAAACAAAAAATGAACTTAACATTATTATTACATAATTTCCAATTTTGGGTTAAAATATTGCAGGGGATCAAGCCCAACCGTTTCAGCGCTAAAACCAAGAGGTACTGTAATATCTGAAACTAAAGAATGACTTCAAATCCTACACATACCTCATATTGACACATTGACTGACTTTTGGAACTTTATGTAAGTACAATTGTGAGCTATCTGTACTTGTGTTTTCATTTTATGCTACTATATTCTTCTACTGCGCTACATTTCTGAAAGAGATGCTGATATTACTCCATATATTTATCTGACAACTGCAGCTGTAGTGGAATGCATAGTACAATGTGATGACTATTTTATTATTTTCCTTTTTATTCTTTAAGGATATTTAGCTGTTATTACTGTATAGTAATCTTTTTAATAATAATTTTGAATGTCTTTAAAATTAAACTTAAACTTAGGTTATCCACATGAACCAGTGACAGAGTTTACTTACTAAATGTGAAGTTGTTTATTCATGTGTGTACCATAACATTGTGGGTCTGTTATTTGAAAAATAAGAAAAGGAATGAAGAAAGGAAAGAAGAAGGGAAGGAGACAAGGACGCCCCCAGACAGTGTTGGGTCGCGGCCTGCTGTATTTCTTCGACTCCGTTCACCTCCATTCACACAGTAAATAAAAGCATGGAGGCTCTGACTCTCGGGATCTAATACGGAACAGCGGGGGGTAAAGACACCGCCGCATGCGCTCTCCCTTTCACCGAAACACACAAGGAAGCGGGTCAGCGGCGAACGCTTTGTCAGTTGGATTTAACTCGTTTTACGTGGAAGAGAGGATTGTAGTTGGAGACGGGAGCGGGGCAGCCCGCCGTGCTGAGCATGAAGCGGACGGCTGTAGTGGCCAGGCACAATGGCCTCGTCTCTCCGCTGGGAAACAACAACTCCGGGGCTTCGAGCATCGTCTCACCACCACAGCCGAGAGCCACTAGTATCTCCGCTTCTGCCGACGGTGGTGTCTGCGGTGGGATGGACGGCCTGCTGGATTTCTCCAAAGGCCCTATCGTCAAAACTGAGCTGGTCTGTAAATGGATTGACCGAACTTCTTCGAGACAGATGCTTGGGCGGACGGGGACATCCGTCTGCGACCAAACTTTCAGCTCCATGCACGAGCTGGTGGACCACGTCACCACCGAGCATGTAGCAGCGGGGCTCGAGACCCTCAGTCATGTCTGCATGTGGGACGAGTGTATGCGCGGCGGGAAGGCGTTCAAAGCCAAATACAAACTCATTAACCACATTCGCGTGCACACCGGGGAGAAGCCTTTTGCATGCGCATTTCCTAACTGCGGCAAGATGTTCGCACGCTCCGAGAACCTCAAGATCCACACGCGCACGCACACTGGTAGGGTTTCATGATTGTGTGACTACAAACAAAGCGCTGAGATACAGTCTTTATGGTGTTTAAATCCGTGTCATCCGCCAAGACAGCAGCCCCCTGACAGAGACGGGGAATAAAGAGGTTAATATATATTGTTCCCAGTCTGCTAGGAATCCCCTCCATGTTTACGTAGGCTCAGTTCAGTACCCTATTATATCCGGCCTCCATTGCTTCCTTGTTTCCTAGAGGAATCATGGGTTGAATCTGCAGCTTAGGAGTCATGCAAGGTGACAGGAAGCAGGACAAAGCAGCTGGATTGTGAGAGAGAGAAAGGGACAAGTACCCGATCAAATTGATTCGATGTACACAACAGAATAGTGTGATGAGACTTACACGTGCCTAGTTATTCCAGTCTGCATAGAAACACAGTTTGCAGGAATTCTATTGTTTTTCTCAACTACCCAGAATCAGACAATCACCCAAGCTTATTTGATGCCTGTGTATGTGGTATTAAGTAAAACCAGTCAGCAGTTATTTAAAAAAGCTTAATTTAACTCAGTCAGTGAGACAGTGCTGCTCTCTATTTTGACACCCTTTGTGAATGGATTATAAACTTTAACTAACGCATTAGTTAATGGTTAATAAATTATTTACTAATGCTTTATAGATCAAGTATAACTCAGCAATAAGAGCAACTCTTGGGTTGCCATGTTGCTGAACAGTCCCTTATTTTTTAAGTATTATTAGGACCACCAAACTACAGCCTCCATAAAATTGAATCAACAATTCTCTCAAAATATAACAATAACGGAACATCAGAACCTTTATGCATAAGTATTTATTGCAGAGCTATAGAATTAAACTGCAATAGCTCAGGGAGACATAAATAGACTGCCAATTAAATATATGTTTAGGTAAATACATTTTTAGCTCTATTGGATGTCTTCGGGGTCAGGAAATACTGCAGAGTTTAAAGTAGCTCCAAAAAGCAGTGATTATTTTCTGATATATTTTCTATTAACAAACCACCACAAAACAAACATCACACAGTGACCACTATAACTGATCCATTTTAGGTCCAGGTTGCAATACTAGTATGGTACATACATACCCAGAGAAAACTGTACACTCACATAAATGTGATGTGAGAGTATGATACATTATCATTACATGGGAATATAGAAACACTTCCATTACAGTTGACGTGATGTAACAAATGACAACGAAGAGAGATAGATGGAAAAAATAAATACATTAAGACAATGAAGTAAAATTCAAACAAGGTCGAACAAAAACATAGAAATCAGAGACTTAAACTGTCAGACTTAAACCCACACGTTTGACCTGTAATTGATAAAATATTTGTTAAGTCTTCGACCAATATATTGAGAACAATTATTTAATGTATTTCTTCTTTGCAAACCTTTAACAACAAAGATGCTATATTATTGTATAATCATCCGGATTTAAACCAACAGAATTCAAGTAGTTCTAATGACCCAAAAATTAAAGCTGCAAGCAACAATGAGCAGGTTTCAGGGTTTCATGTATTCTAAACACATATTGCAATGACGTTTGTGTGTTTTGAAATTTATTTGTCAAATCTTAATGTCATTTGTAAGAAGACTTACTTTACTTACTTTTGAAAACAGTATTCTGTGTGTTCTTAAAATACTCAAAACATGTTCACCACGATGCATTCAAAAATGGTATCATTCATTCACAGCAAGTATGAAAAACTTCCTCAATAACGGAGGACCCTAGAAAATAATATTACCCTCTGGAGATTTATTCAATCACCAAGTTCCTTTTTTCTCTCTAAAGAGAAGTCGGTGCAATAGGCTGAAATTTCTGGAATACAACTTGTAATAAGCCATACGCACATGGATGTATTTATGCTTTATTTGATGTGAACGAAGCCTAATGTGCTTGTTCAGGACATGGTGCAGGCTATCTCCACTGACTTTAATCAAGATGCTCATGAGAACTTCAGTTGTGATCCAATATGTGATAGACCAAGCCCACAAAAAATATGAAACCTTCAGGTTTTATTGAATACCGTCCCCCAGAGCATGTTGACCAAAGTTGTTGAAATTCTGTGCAACAGGTTTAGAGATACACATTGTGGGTCGGCTCAAAATGCTTTGGTCCGCCTACCACACAATGCATGAAGATATCTACCAAGATTTTGGATGATTGGACAAATGAGTTATGGCCATTTTCCTGCTAAGCCCCGCCCTTTGCAGATACTTTTTATTGATGGCTGCAATGTTTTTAAACCAGTCTTGCCCAACTGTAATGCGTCTGTGTATCTCCTTTATACATTTGGTGTTGATACATTTGAAATCCAGTGGAAGTAGAAAAGTAGATGGCATGCTTCTAAAGATTATGCAAATGAGCCAAAAATATATCAAGGTGGCCTTTATTGTTGAAGAGAGGTTTTCTTTTACAGCAAATTGAGTTGGATATGTGTGAAATTTTAAGTTAAGGACTCAGTGTGGGTGTTCCAGCCTTTCAAAGTCTTTGTTTTCTTTGTATTTGTACATCGTTTCCATGTTACGGGGCAAAGTATCATGTCTCTTGCCCGTTCCAGCTCACAACAAATTGAGCAACGAGATAACACAACAAATAACTAGAGCAGCGTTTCCCAAACTTTTTAGGCCATGCACCCCCTTCTACATCCCAACCGGGTTCACGCACCCCCAATCCCCCACACCTTAAAAAAAAAAAAATCAACAGAGCCTATTTATAGCCGCATAACAATCGGACCAATGAGAGAACAGTTTGCTCGCGCGTGGCGTTTGTTTACAAGATTTAGTCTGCTGTTAAATGTGGCAGTGTGAACACAAACCGAACAAAGGGGCAACTGCAACATTGTATCATATTAATCCCTGAATCGGAACAAAGCAAACGAACTACGGGTGTGAAAACTCCCTGAAACACTGCAACAAAGTTTCAATATATTTCAGTTACACAAGGCGTCACTTTTAAAGAGCAATAAGGATGGCGAGGACACACGCACAGGCTCAGAGGCAGATTGCATCACATTAAATTTACAATTAACCATACATAGCGGTTACATTAATCTGAATCGAATTACAATAAAGTTCGTCTTCGGCGATTGTGTGCGGTAGCCCCTTTCTTGCTATTCTGTAACTGACCAGATATGAAGCCCGCAGTGCGTTTTTTGTAGACCATGTCTGAGACTGCAGTTGTTTTTGGCTGTTTTGTAACTCCTCCTATTTCGATATAAAAAATGTAAGGGAATTTCGACTTGCACTGGCATGCTTGGTGTACAGGTGGCGACGTAAATAAGAGGGCTTCAGACAGCTGTTAGCCAGAAACTCACTGCACACCACACACTGTGGCTTTGGGCAATCTGCATTGCCAATCCAAGTGAAGCCCAGACCAGATACCTTTCATCATATTTCCTCTTTTTTTTCCCAGTCTGATGCTCACTCTCGTTTCCTCTTTTTCACCTTGACTCCGCGATGGGCCTATGTGCTCCCGATTTGTCTGTGCTATCCCTTCCTCCTTTTCGGTCTCCTCCGTCTCATCTTTCTCTGACTCCGGCTCGATTTCTTCTCCCGGTCTCTCCCCAGTGCACCTCTCCGTTCCTCTCGCCTCCGATTCCTCTCTCTCTCTCTCTGTCCCTCTCCTCTTTTATGACTGATAGCTTCAGATGTTCCACCTGACAGTTTCCCCGATTTCAGCCAGTTTAGCATATTTGCATGAACGTTGCTGTTAGCTGACGTTATAGCTGCACAAGCTAGGCTAGCTAGTGTGTACGTAAAAGACAGTCTGGTGCATTTATTTATTAAATTGTAAGTTTTTAAATTTAAATGTTACAAAGGGAATTTTTATAATTCATGTTTTTGTGAAAAATCCCACTTACATTTTTAAAAATTATATTTAATATCAATTATTACACCATTAGACCACCATTACATTTTTCCTCTCGCGCACCCCCTGGAGGCAGCTCGCGCACCGGGGTGCGCGCACCACACTTTGGGAATCCCTGAACTAGAGGATGCGATTCCTGCAGAAAATGCGCGTGAATGCTGACAGCTGAGATGGAATGGCAAAGCACTGCTGAAAATGCAGAAATCTTAAAGCCCAGATGCATTGCCCTGCACTGCTGAAAAACCTGGAAGCTGAAATCTAAACTGGCAGAAATTAAAGCTGAACTGAATTGCTTAAAAATGAAAAAAAATGTAAGAGCTAAAGTACGTTGCTTCTGCTAGCTTTGAACGCCAATTATTATTAATATAGTAATTATTATAAAACGTCAAATAATTTGTTGCCTTGGAGTTCAAATAATAATGTAGGGAGGATTTCTTTATGTACTATACAGAGCTGCACTCATGTCACTGGTTGACACTATTAATATTGTCAGTTTTCCAATATACTGTATAGGCCATCCCCTATTACACAGAATATCAACAGAAAAGTGGCAAACCTCTTTCCCTTTTTATAAGCCTACCTCTCACCTCTTGCAAGGCAAATCATTTAACTTATATTTGTACAGGACCGTTTTTCAATGCAAAAGCATATTCCAATATAATTTCTTTCTTTAATTTCAGTATGGTATTTCCATTCAATCCCATACAGTACACCATATTGTTAACCCACACCAATGTTACCGCGTTGTCTTTGTGTTATGGCAATAAGTGACTTTACTTGTAATATACAAACTATACATTATTTTGCTCTGTAATTAATGTCTGAACAGTCTTAGTGAAATAACAATTTTTTGGATACTAAAGGAACATTTACATATAGAATTTCTCAAGAATCCTCAAGATTTAATTTTAATTCTTTTACCTGAACAAAGCCCCACATTCAATGAATAAGAGTTCCTTTTGGCACAATACATTCAACGCACCATAGGTCAAATCACAGTCAGTGCCATATGTGTGGGTGTTAGAGAAAAGTTGGTGTCCCTTCAAGTGTACCATTAATTACTGGCCCATTCTAGAGTGTGATAACAGTGAGTGGGATGTTTGTGTTGCAGGTGAGAAGCCATTCCAGTGTGAGTTCTGCGAGCGACGCTTCGCCAACAGCAGCGACCGGAAGAAGCACTCACAGGTCCACACAGCCTCGAAGCCCTACGACTGCAAGGCCCTGGGCTGCACCAAGTCCTACACCCACCCCAGCTCCTTGCGCAAACACATGAAGGTTCACGTCAAGTCGTCACCTACCTCTGAACCCCGGGACGTGTACGACACCATCCCTCATCAACTCCAACAACCTCATCAAGCTCTCCTAGAGCCCCTCAACCTTAAAATGAACCGCCTCTCTCCATCATTTGCCAATGGAAACACTCATTTTCCTCTTCTGTCCAATCACGCATTGGATATCAGCTCAGCCAGCGAAGTTGACCATAAGCTGCTTCTGCGGAGTTCATCTCCAATGGCGATGCCTCTGGATCTCTCTCTGTCAGGCCTGAAGAGTCAGCTGGCCCAGAGGCAGCAGAGTGGTAGGACCCGGCGAAGGAGCCAGCGCTCAGTCAACCCAGCCTTACCTCAGTTGTCTAACATTAAGGAGTGGTATGTCTGTACCAGGAGTACAGCACCGCATTTTCCTCTACTTCACCCAGACCACATCAAATCAGAACCTAGTGATGACGAGGAGTATGTTACGTAGGATGGAGGGACTGGGGAATTTGGACTTGAAGAACATATATTGTCAGGCCAGGGATGCTCTGTGGAATCATAGTTGCTGTACATTTCCAGAACCAGCAGAGTTGTGGTTCAACATCAGTGGCCCCTCTGAGATGGAGCAGGCTGTGATCAGATGGAGACTTTTTTACTCTGTCATCACTATCTGTGGACTAGTGTCACTATCTGTGGACCAAAAATCAGTGGCTCAAATGTTGCCGGAAGGGACAAGAGGAATTCCATCATAATGGTTTGACAAAAAACTGCAAGTTATCCAATCGGTGTCAGCTAGATAACCTGGACTAACAAAGGGGAGAACGTTGTACAAATGGACCAGGGGGTGTTGGGTTCTGCTCTGCTTGCTGTTAAAGAATATGAAGACGGTGTGTGTACATGATGACCTCTCTAGGAAGACATATTATTGACCAGTTTATCTAAGAGCTCCACCTAGATGAAGCAATTTCAAGGGCTACATTGACACTGATGGAAAGTGGTTAATGTTAACCTGAGCTACTGATGGCACTGTACACATGGTCCACAACAGCAGGCACATGGTGTGGATGTGAGGGTGGGACTGTTATGGCCTCAGTATGTTTTTAACAAACTAGTTTGTACAACTTCAGATAGTTACAAAAAGCAGCTGATTCTACTGTCGAAAACCGGGGTTCCAGATGTTGTTAGGTGATCCGACAAGCACTTTGTTTGAAGCAAACTGAGGCCTTTACTTACAAACCGTTGGTAGTAACTTGTTTTCTGTAATCACAGTCTAATCTGACAAAGTAGCCAGCAGTAAAACTGTAGTTTAAAGACAGTTGGGCTGATCCTTCTTTGTACTGATCATCAAGTGTCTCCTTATCCTCTTCAACCCTATGGACCTCTCTCAGTGGGTTAATCACCTGTATCTGTTTACACTCCATGTGCAATTTAGTGAAGACCACAAGGTTTCCAAAATGACTATATGTCATACACATATTTCTTTAACATGAAACTATATTAAATGATGCACAAGGCATCCAGTATTTTCCCTTTGATCAAATGGTGCCGCCATAAAAAGTGGATTTGAAAATTGACTCAATGTAAGCATCATTGAATATAGGAAATAAGCAGAATGTATTGTGTAAGATTGTGTTACAGCTTGGAAAAAATGTTTTATGTCTGTTTTGAACTTACTGCATTGAGAACAATTTAAATGGTGAATAAGTAACTTATACCAATGTACATTATCCATCCACAAGTAGCTCCTTTCAAGCTGGATTTGAACCTGGGATGTGAGAAAACCTACTTGAAGCAGATTGTTTAAAGTACAAAGTAAAGGTCTTACAACCTGGGTAAAACTGAAAGTGAGCACACCTGAAATGTGTCTAATAATCCCTCGTTGCACAGGAAAACTGGGTGCACAACTACACTAAGTACAGTAGGGCAAAGTGATGGATGTTCACAAGGGATAGTTTGGAAAATGATTTTAACGTTCATCTTTGTTTTCTCTTCCAAGTAAGTTTGTCTAACAAGGCGTTCGTTTAAAACCTTTTTACTCTTTTTTTTCCCAAGCTATTAACATGTACATTATTAATACTGACAGATGATGGACAAAACTGCACCCAAGTTGAATGAAACAGGAATTTCACTTAAAACAGTATGAGTGATTTGAAAATTGTGAGTCTCAATTTCATTCAGGTTTACTAACGACAAAGCTATTGAGTGAGTAATCAATCTGAAAGCTGAGAGTGGAGACAGTACATGTGCGATTATAAGTACAGAACAGAACTTTAAAAACAGAATTGTGTCGTTGAAGTTTTGATTCTTAAGCAATAATCTCTATGAGTGAGCGACTACTCACACCCAGATTATGAAGTTTGTATTACTATTACACAGTCAGCACGGCACCACCTCACTGCTAGAAGGTCTCGGACTCCCCACAGTCCAAACACAGCCTTTAGGTCTGATTAATTGGAAACTGGTAAATGTGAGTGTGAATGATTGTCTGTCCATATGTGTCCTGTGCTAGACTGGTAACCAGAACTGGTGCACCATGCCTCTCTCACGAGTTGTGATAGGCTCCAGCTCTCTGTGATCCTGCTCCGGATAAGCTGGTATAGATACAGATGGGTGGATGTACCTGGTCTGCGACCACAAACTAAGAGCAGAATAAAATCCATTGCATTTGATCTGGATGTGAGTTGTCATCAAGTTAGATGCTGCCTTTTAAATACCATCAGGCCACTTCCCAGTGTGCTCCACTGGCTTTTTTGTTAAAAACACATTAAAAGTACCTGTGGGAAACTAAGGTACTTGCTAACTAAGGTTAAGGGCCCCCTCGTGATATCAAGTGCTCAGAAGCTCTCAGCTAATAAATACTAGTAGTTCTAAACTTGCCCAAATTAGGTTGTTGCTTTCAAATCTTCTGTGATCTGTCCCCAGATTGATTCAATTTGTCTTCTACACAATCATTTCAGCTCACGAAAGAGCAGACATATCAGAGTTAATGATCATTGAATAGCACATCTCTGTGTTCCTTTTCTGCACTTTTATGAGAGAGAGGCTGTGTGATGCAGTATAACACCTGATCTCAAGTCATTGAAGGCTTCTAGTTCAGACACCCACTGAACCAAACGTTCCGTCTGTAAAAAATGTTCATAGATTCAACGCAGCAGATAAAATGCAAGATGAAGACAGCTAACAAAAACTCCTGTGAGATTAACCTTTTCTTTCCCACCCCAACCCTCTGGTTTAGCAACACTAAGTGAGTAAACAAGTGAATAAGAAATGAAATTAGAACCAACAAACGTTCATGCTTTTGCAATAAAGTAATGTCAGTGTTTTTATCAACCATTTTTGTCGACTTTACTAATGGATTTTTGTAAATGACTCTCTGGAAAAAGGTGAAACACATTCCTACAGCCTCTGTCTGTCGCGATTATTAACAAGGCTCTCTCTAGGCTTAAAAAGAACAAGGCTTAAATGATGAGTTAAGTGTGAAGCTAAAAGATTTGATGCAAAATCTGACCACAGAACAGCTAAAATTCATATGCCTGGATGCCAGTCTCACTTGGCGCCAGCAGAACATGAAAGCTCATTCTTGACCTTGGATATTATCTAACCATTATCTGTAATGGCTCGCGTTCTGGGCAGTTTAGAGTCACTAATTAACCTAACCGGCATGGCTGTATAGACCGTGGGAGGAAGCGGCATGGTTAAAACCCATGCTGACACCAGGAACATGCAGACTCGACACAGACGTTCAAACCTCAACACTCTTGCTGTGAGGTGACAGTGCTAACCACTGCACCGCTGTGCAGCCCTTTGAAACACTAGTTTGACAAAATAAACCCTCCAAGCCCACTTTCTAACCATAAGACTATCTGATGTTCTGGAAAATGAACATCAAAGTAAGTTGCCTACAATATTTCTGAACCATTAGCTGAACTGTAGGTGATAACTGTTGGGCTTGCTAGACAGATACTTGCTTCCAACCACATAATTCAGGCCAACTAAATGAATCGGTGGCCTGGTGCTAGGTTAAATGATGAATTGACGTCAGGCATGAATCGGATCAATAGCCTGGTTTAAAGTTTGCATAGAACATACACATTTTCTAATTAGGAGGCATCTTCAATCTGCATTTCCCAACACAGTGTGTGAGATTGTTTTACACCAAACCTGATGACCCGTGTCCATCTGTTTAAACAAGAAAAGACATGAGACACAAGTCAGGCAGTGTCTCAGTGATAAGAAGGTTAAAAGACAGTTCACAAACACACTGAATGAGTGGTTTACGAGTTAACAAGTCAATGTATTTAAAAAATAATAATTATTGAAAATACTTTGTAGCCCACATTACTGGTTGGAGGCACTAGCAAGTTTCTGATAGGTTACGGAGATTAACGGTCCACCGGTTTACAGCATGAGACACATGCAGTCCTCACAGAGCAATACAAATAACTCCTATAGTGAATTTCTCATTGAATCTCAGGAAATGTGGCTCCGCCCCCTCAGCTCCGCAGCTTCTTGACGGGTGCCGAACTAGTACCGCTCGCCTGCCACAGCTGACGCTTGCCGCTGAAGTGCCACAGACTGCCGCTGAGTGCCACAGAGTGCCAGTGCCACAAGAGGGATCTCGCTGTCTCTCAGATTTTCTGGTGGGATTGTGCAAGCGTACACTTTTATGTGACATGTGAATTTCTGACTTTCTGATGTCTGTGGAATGCAGCATTTAAGAGAGTATTAACAGTATTAAATTTACTGTGGCTTCGTAAATCAGTAGTTCTTGACCTGAGGGGCAGGACCCTCACAATGGGTCACAAGATAAATCTGCATGGTCATGAGATGACTAACAGCAGAGAAAAACAAACAGTAACATGTTTCTGCAATGCAAAGTTATGTTTGCAGACTTTCTTTCAGTCTTAGCTTTGTTCTTTTTTTCCATTACTGGATATTTTTTACTTTTTTGGGACTCTTAAAACCAATCAAATAAAGCAAGAGAAACAAATACAGTTTTAACTGTGTAGAGACACTATTGGAGCAATACAATGTCTCTGACTCCAGAGAGCAAAGTGTCCCCACATGCATCTATTAGGATTATTTGTTTTGCTACCATGGTCAATTTAGTCTGAAGGAGGAGAAGTCAAATGGAAATTTACAATGTTAAAAGAGAATTATTGTGCTAATTTTCAGGTTCATATATTTTAATTGACAACGAATCAGTTTAATCAAATATGGAGGAAACAATTGATTACTCTGAACATCTGACACTGAGTTTAACTTGAGATGTACCAACAACTTGTTTCTGGTGAAAAAAGTAACATAACCTTGTGTTTCTTGTAATGCAAAGAGAAACTACATGACTGCAACAGGAGAGACCAAGGGCTGTTGATAGTATTACAATATATATGTTACAATGTAACAGGGCCACAACAGTCACTAATACTAGTAGGGGCGGCCCAGAGGAAGAGCGGATCATCTTCCATGGGTGTGAATATGAATTAGCTGAGTGGCACATTGCATGGTAGCCTCTGTCGTCATGAATGAGTGTGAATGGGTGAATGAAGTCATGTAAAGCCCTTTGAGTGGTCGGAAGACAAGAAAGGTGCTTTACAAACTATTGTGCATTCTGACACACATTTATTTTTTAAAATCTTGACAGGCTTAAATTTGAAATTGTATTCAGGGCTACAAAACCAATATGAATGAGATTTAAAATGTATCTTTTTTTTTGGCATTTAAAAAAAAAAGCTAATATTGGCATTTTTCTCAGGAGAAAGGTTTTGGAAAAATGTAGTCAGAATGGAACAATGATTTTGAACAGGCATTGCCCACTTAACCTTCCTTAAACTGCCCCAGGGAGGAGAGGGAGGAGAGTTTAGGTGGAAGTTTAGCTAACCCAGCTAGGACCTGAGGCTACTCCACTACCCAGCATGCTCCTGGCTGTCTGATGTCCAGTCGCAGAAAATTAAAATGGATGAAAGCAGCGGGAGGTCGGTGACTGTTGAGCCCACATCTTCACAGAGACCTGGATCCATCGTTCATCCCGGATCAAGCTCCACTTTACGGGCGGACAGCAGGACACAGTTAAAGATGATGGACAATGTTTTTTTGTTTTTTCCTCATGTTTAATTTTTAATGTGAAGATGTCGGCCATATTATCTGCCCAGCGAATTGTTTTTGTTGCTGCTGTTTACATTCCTTATGATGCAAATTTTAAAAATGCACAACAGGAATGCACCACTGTTTTTTTGTTTGTTTTGTTTGTCATGTGTTTGTTGTTTTACTGAATTTTATTGTGCATCTTATGTTGCATAATTGCAATAAATGATCCTTGAATCCTTTGACTTTAAGATTAAAAAATATGAATCTATACCCTTTATAACAGGACTTTAGTCCCTAAAATGCCACTATTATAATACAAAGCAGTAGGCTTCACATTTTGAGTTAACTTATTCTTCCAAAAATAATCGCCCCACATTAAATTCAATGAATCTTGTTTCTTGACAGAAACTCCATATCCCACCAGAAAAAAACCCTTCTATTTTTGCAGGTATGTCAAATTAAGCTTTTCAATAAAGTTGAGAGGAAAAAAAAGTTGAATGGCCTTGACGCCTCTCTCTCAACCACTCAGGTCTCTGTAAATTACGTCATCACGTCGGTGTGTGTCGTTGTCCGTCACAGTTTGGCAACATGGCGGCGCACAGGCTCCCTCCATCACTGAACAGACTGCTGTTAGCTGTAAAGGTGAGCTGCTCAAAGTGACCGCGCAGAGCGCGAGCTCCTTGAACATTGACAGTTGTGTGTTTACTATCAGCACGCGACGTACATAACAAATGTCGGCATAGTCCATGACCTGCTAAAGTCCACTACCGAGAAGACAGTCCTTGATGGAACATGCATAATGATAACACAGACCTAGAACTTTAGATGAGGTAAAACGAAATACAGCCACGCTGCTGACGTTGTTGAAAAGTTGTTTGTTTAAAGCTTAACTTGAAGTAAATAAAGGTGTGTGGCATTTCTTTAGTCAGAAAGAGAATGACGTTAAATCAGGTGTGACTTTGACGTTATCTCGCGCAGACGCGCTGTGCTCCAAACGGGTGTATAAACTATGTCATGGTATGATGGAACATTTCTTCTATCCTGTTGAATCCATTGTTATTGCATTTTAGTTGCCTTCGCAAGACCCCGCTGGACTGCGTTAATGGGTCCAGACTGCGACTGCAAAGTTTTTTTTTTTTTGACTGTGTCCTCTAAGGTCACAGCCCGCTAGGAGCCCCCCCAAGCCAAAATGATCGTAACCTGGTAAATGTGGCTACTTGTTTTTGGTAAAATTTAGCAGCCAAAGTAAATCTAAATGGTTTACACTCAGAATCCTTTTATGGATTTTTCGTTCTAACACTGAGCCTGCATACTGACGAAGGCATACGTCTGAGCTTTTTTGCACGTTATTTTCTACATTGTAAACGAATAAAGGATCTTTAAATGGTTTAAAAACTACATCTGTACTGATCTCTACAAACCACTTTGCTTCTGTCTTGATATGAGTTGGTCATTTCCTCAAGGCTTGTGCATCAGAAGGCCTCACTCACAATTTTTTTCACTCATAAAGAAAATCGTATTTCTTTCTTTGTCACTCCAACAAGCCCTATTGCATAACCGATCAGGTGGTGCAGTGCAACCTTACAATTGGTCTTTGCTTCAGACTTGCTTATCTTGTCTAATCTCTGTGATGGACATATATAATAATAACTCTAGGATATTTCAAGGATCTGCTGGTAGATTTTTCATATTGGACAGAAATCAGTGGAAAACAATGGATTCCTGTGTCCTGACATCGCCAGGCCAAATTTGTCTGAAACTTTCCAAGGGGTGTTATCAACGGGCATAGACCAAGATGCTTCTGGGCACATTAGAGTACAGAGATGATGTATGTTTGTTTGTCATCCCTGCACTTTTTTACAATCAAAATGATTATGATACTTGCATGTTTTGTTCAGCAAGATAATCTGGTAATACGCCACTTTCATGATTTTTATAAGTGTAAAGGCGATTGCCAGAAGTAAAAAGGTTATGTTTAGCTATAAACAAACTACACCACGGTCACATGATTTTACATCGTTACTAAATTAATGGCGGACTGGTGTTCTAGTGACTAGATTTAGTCTCATTGTCTCATAATCTCATCACTTGTTAAGTGACTGCCTTTTTTATGACACGTAAAAGTTTCAAAATTCACGAGTGGGGTATTTGCCGTCGCATCTCATGTCATAGAAAAAAAAACTTTCAAATCTGCTAAACTTGTGTTAATGACAGACCTTATTTTCAGGCATCTAACCAAAAACCCATTCAGAAAACCTCTTGGCTTGATGAGGGAACCGGAAGTTAAAAAGAAGGCAATTCATTTTGGGGTTTTAGGACTCATTCCTCAGCGCTCTATTGAATAGACCTACAACCAATTAAATCAAAGAAACGTAGAGTAGTGCGGAGCGATGGGAAAATGCAAACCGACTACTACAGCATGCAGAGATGATAATCTGTGATGTTGCAGTGTCAACATGTCTATGAGTGAGTGTTGCCGTTTTTCGCAGCAGAATTTGAAGACAGAAGATGTTTTTACTTTGCCAGGGAACCAGTCAAATCATTGAGCTTATGTTTCATTTGCTCTGCAACAGTTTCACATCAACTGTAACCATCTTGGTTGTTTTTGCGAAAATGCCTGAACAGTGTTCCTCTGTACAGTCATTGTCTCAAACACACCCCATATTAGTTAAACTGGTCAGATTTGCTGGAAATCTGTCCAAAGTGGACCAGACACATCTGACCGAGCAAATAAGCCATGAGCTCACAGCTCTGTCTGGTTCACAGGCAAGGATATCTGGAATGGTAGATATGGTTTTAAAATTATCAGTTCTATTGTTAGGTCGTTGTGGTTTGTAGTAACTGCGGCAAAAAGTGCAAACCCACTGTTAAAATAGTTTTAAGGCCACTGTGTGCTGAGTTAAGTTCATAAATAACTTTTACCAATAAAACTTGTAGAAGCAGCAGGGGTCTATAGCCATTAAATTGCAGTAAGCTGCATGTCTTTGCGCACACTTGAAGCAGCATGCGCCTTGATTAATGATTGAGGTTAAGTCTTCCAACACAGAATGAGATCAAACAAAGGCTCGAGACTGACCATTGTATAATTATTCATTGTTTCAATTTGCTTTACATTTAACCAGAAAATAAATCTTGATGTACCATTGCCCGGTCTGATCCTGCTGAAAATACAGATGATTTTCTTGCAACACATTTTACTTTGACATAGAAATTAAAAAAGGAATTAATACACCAAATTCCTCAGAAATGCAGTTGATTTAATCGTATAACCTAAGTGATCTTAACAGTGAATTAAATGAAATGATACAGTAGCCTAATATTGTGTATCTCTATGTGTTTTGCAGTATGCGTCATTCCGGACCAGATGCTGTGCAGTGCACCCTAACGCTCAATACTCCACTGTCTACAGTCCCAATGAAACGGTAAGGCCTTCTCCCTGTTTGACTGTAACCATTGATGTATTCAACAAGCAGATGTTGACACTGAGGAAAAATGTACAAATAGTTGTATGGCAAGATGTGGGTGGATATTGGTAAGTACGGGTGTCATTTTTGAAACAAAATGCCCTGCTCAGGAGTTAGACGGTAAAGAAAGTGTTATTCATGACAAATAGGAGTGACCTCCTTGATGTGTCAATGATCAACAATCCGTCTGCTGTTTCCCTCCACAGACTTTTGATAAGATTCTTATTGCCAACAGAGGAGAGATTGCCTGCAGGGTAAGATTGGCTGACACAAATATATGTACTGTAAATGAAATCCAACTCAAACTGTTATTGGTTTACAGTTGAAGACATACACTCACTGGAGCTTGATCCCACACCACCGCAGATGAAGCACTCAGTAGTGCAGAGTTTTGAACACTTTTGATCACAAGCTGTGCTTTTGCTGCTTTTTTTTTCTGCTTTTGTTCTTAGCAACCAGTAGCCATCAATATAAATCACTGCACTGTATTTGGCATTGATCCTTGAGTGAAGTGTTAATGTTGAGTGTTTTCCATCAGGTGATGAAGACCTGTCACAAGATGGGCATCCAGACTGTAGCTGTTCACAGTGATGTCGACTCCAGTGCTGTGAGTCACCATCTGGGTTCATTCTTGCCAGCATCTACTCCTTTTTAAGCCTGGGTGTTTGTGGACTGAAAACTGAGTTTAAAATGTCTTGATTTGATTTTTGGTTTGTGACTCATAAACAGACAATGGGACTAGGTGGTAGCTTTGTTCTAAGTGTGTCTTCATCTCCCTTTCTACTGCTAAGCTAACATCTGAATTCAACTTCTCGGTGTATGTGTGTGTCTAGGTTCATGTAAAGATGGCCGATGAAGCAGTGTGTGTTGGCCCCGCCCCTACCAGTAAGAGCTACTTGAACATGGATGCCATCATGGATGCCGTCAGAGTGACTGGAGCACAAGCTGTAAGCTTTTTACATGGCTCTTCCTACATTATGTGACTGTGGTAAACAGCATGCATGCAGTACATTTTGTGTACTTGATACACATGCTCATCAAGATAACGATGACACACAGAGCTGTGTCAAGAGGTTCACTTAATGCACCGTTAGCAGCTTACCTGTGTGTATACTATCTCTCGGCAATCTGGTGAGATGTTGGTGGTGCCAAATACTTCTCTCCATTTTTTTATTTATAGAATACAACCATGATTTTATGAGCTAGAAGCTATAACTTTGTGTTTATTTTTTCCCTATAAAGGTTCATCCTGGCTATGGGTTTCTCTCTGAAAACAAAGAGTTTGCAAAGCGACTCGTGAGTATTACACAGAATCGGGCACACACTTATTTTCAGATAGATACACACACACACACACACACACACACACACACACACACACATATATGGACACTGGGTTTGTCTCTTCTTGGACTTGGGGATTTGGAGACTTGCATTACTTTGGAGAGTAAGCGTGGTGAGATTATATTATAGTGACGTAGCTCGGCTATACCTTTGTAAACATGGTGACTCTGTCATTACAATGTAAGCAGTAGCTTTTTGAGTTGTAACAAGTGTACCGTGCTTTGATGCACTTAAAGTGTATTTTATGAAGGCAAATCACTGTCAAGATCCATGCGCGCGCGAAAATCAAAAACAGCCGCGCACGTATTTTACTTTGACGAGCGCTTTTACGTCACTCCGCTTTTACGTCACTTGCGCGAGCAGAATTCACTACGCAAAAACTTTAACCCGCTCGCTCGAGAGTCTTTTACCTGCTCCCTCGCGAGCAGTTTTTTTTTTTGACAGTAAGTGGGCGGACCCAGTCACCATTGTATCTCTACATCTAATTGGTTACAATCCTCGTCTTGGGATAGACAGGATATCACTCTGACACAGAAGCTCGTTCTGATAGAGGTGGTTTTCAATCCGCCACTAAAGACTACTCCACTACATCTCAGGGTGTTCTACATTTGTCTGACAGGTTTTGTAAACTTTTCAGACTGTAGAGGCTGATCAAATACAAATTATGTTAATAGAGTTGTTAAATACAATAATTAAAAATGTGTTAAAGTCAAGTTGCTCAGATTGGTTTAAATTCACTCCATCATTCTATTACAGACAATGTGTGTTTGATACTCAAACCTCTTGTGACAAACAGCTCAAAGAAACTCTTTGATCTTAATTGATTAAAACATGATGTGATCATATTTAATCATAGTGTTGTGTTTACAGAAGAGATTTAATATAGTTGTATATAATATGAGCAACAATTTGGACCTGCTCAAAGATCTGGAGCCAAGATTAGGGACCACTGTTTGTATATTAACTGTTAAATCACTGACTGAGTAATTAGTGGATGAAAAAGTATTCAGATCCTTCACTGCAGTAAACGTACTAACCATATTGATGAAACAATAATCCACTACGAATAAAATACCTGCATTCAAAACCTTAGTCAATGTTATTATCAGCAAAATGTACTTTAAGTGCAGAAAGTAAAAGTACCCATGCAGTAAAATGTACATTATTTTCCCCTGACCTGCAATCTGAAAATCCCCCCCCCCCCTATCGTCTGTGTCAGAGTGATATCCGGTTTATCCCAAGACGAGGATTGTAACCAATTAGATGTAGAGATACAATGGCGACTGGGTCCGCCCACTTACTGTCAAAAAGAAAAACTACTCGCGAGCGAGCGGGTTGAAGCTTCGCGAGCGACTTTTGCTCGCGCGAGAGTGAATTCTGCTAGCACGAGACGATATTTTGCTCGCGGAGTGATGTAAAAGCGCTCGTCAAAGTAAAATACGTGCGCGGCTGTTTGATTTTCGCGCGCGCATGGATCTCATTTGCGCTCTCGGATTTTGACAGTGATTTGCCTTCATAGTATTTACTGAAGCTGTCATGCTAACTGTGGGTAATAATGGGTATTTGAACAGCTCCTATATATTTTCACAAATATATAGCAGCAGTTGAGTATAGAAGTTCATTTTTGACCTTGGGATCAGCACGTGTGACAACTCGATCTCAGCTCAAGGTCCATCACAGTTATTATGTTGGAAACTACACCTCCAGTCAGATCATCACTTTTTATTCATATTGAATGCGTAAAATAAAAGTTTATGCATTCGTGTTTCAAGGAATAGTTTTAGCATTTTTGACTCTAGCACAGTGTAGCTGTACTACACAGAGACATGAGATTGATATTGAACTTTTCATTTCACTCTCTTAAACAAAAGCACATATGTATTTACCAAAATGCTGAGCTATTGCTTGAAATGACCAGGCTCAAATTTTACTTTCAATTCCAATAGTAGTAACTAAAATATGGTTAAAAAAAAACAGTATTCTGTTTCATCTTTTTTTAGGAAGGTGGATGATAGATTTATACATGCAAACATGGTGTGAGGCTAGTAGAGTTAGCTGACATTCATACACTGATGGCTGCAACGCAAAGGGCCACCTGCTCTTCAGGAACTTATCTAATGCTCATTCACACGCACACGCATGGCACAGCCTTCGAGAGCAATTTTGGGGTTTCAATATCTTGCCCAAGGATACTTTGGCATGCAGACTGGAGGAGCTGGGGATCGAACTTCTGATTCGTGAACAACACGCTCTGTCTCCTGAGCCACAAAAATCAGACATGGTAACTAACTTTCATGGTGTTATTGTTTTGTTGCTAGGCAACAGAGGGCGTGGCATTCATTGGTCCAGACACTCATGCTATCCAGGCAATGGGAGATAAAATTGAGAGCAAGCTGATCGCTAAGACTGCTAAGGTCAACACCATCCCAGGATACGATGGAGTCGTCAAGGTTCGGACACACACACATATATACACAGAGAAATGCATGTATGCAGCAAGAACAAGTGCAGGAGAGGAATGTTCATCGCCACTCATTCATTCATTTGTAAAAATCCGTATTATTGTTTATGGACAGTAATGGGCAATACCAAAAGTATGGTTAACTGTGTCCTGTATCAACAATAATACATTTTGTCTTTTAACCCATACACAAAACATTTTTTTACCAGAAACAACAAATTTAGAAAAACACCAACAGTCATCACATGCTAATAACATGTTTAATGTAGATGAGAGTCCCAAACAAGACGAGTTCCTGTTTCCTGACTAATCCACTGTGCAAGTCCAGTGTTAATATTATATTATATTTCAGTATTCTACATCTCCTCACAACCTGAGTGATCCAATAGAACAACATTACACAATGACAGTTTAATCTAGACACATGAGTGCTTCATATTTGAAACCATCAAGATAAGTTTTACTCATAGAACGTTGACGAGCCAGTTCAAAGCAGGGATGAGACCATAGTTGTCAGTAATGCTTTGGTTCATCTTCAGTAACCATAAGCCTCTCTCTTTGTCAGACTGCTGAGGAAGCTGTGAAGATCTCACAGGACATTGGTATGTCATCACTTCTCCACACATTGGCAGTGTAAAATGTGTGTGTGTGTGTGTGTGTGTGTGTGTGCGTGTACATATGTATGTGTGTGTGTGTACATATGTATGTGTGTGTGTGTACATATGTATGTGTGTGTGTGTACATATGTGTGTGTGTACATATGTGTGTGTGTACATATGTATATGTGTGTGTGTACATATGTATGTATGTGTGTGTGTGTACATATGTATGTGTGTGTGTGTACATATGTATGTGTGTGTGTGTGTACATATGTAAGTGTGTGTGTGTGTACATATGTATGTGTGTGTGTGTGTGTACATATGTATGTATACATGTGTGTGTGTACATATGTATGTATACATGTGTGTGTGTATGTATACATATGTATGTGTGTGTATGTATACATATGTATGTGTGTGTATGTATACATATGTATGTGTGTGTATGTATACATATGTATGTGTGTGTATGTATACATGTGTATGTATGTGTGTATGTATACATGTGTATGTGTGTGTGTGTATGTATACATGTGTATGTGTGTGTGTGTATGTATACGTGTGTGTGTGTGTGTGTGTATGTGTGTGTGTGTGTGTATACGTGTGTGTGTCTGTATGTATACGTGTGTATGTATACGTGTGTGTGTCTGTGTATGTATACGTGTGTATGTGTGTGTGTGTCTGTGTATGTATACGTGTGTATGTGTGTGTGTGTCTATGTATGTATACGTGTGTATGTGTATGTATACGTGTATACGTGTGTATGTGTATGTATACGTGTGTGTGTGTGTGTGTATACGTGTGTGTGTGTTTGTGTGTATGTATACGTGTGTGTGTGTGTGTGTGTGTGTGTATGTGTATGTATACGTGTGTGTGTATACGTATGTATACGTGTGTATGTATACGTATGTATGTGTATAAAATTGCTCCTGTAGTTGTGCCTACAGTGTAGAATTGTGATAGAATCTGAATTGTAAGTCGCTTTGGATAAAAGCCTCTGCTAATGTATATGTACTGTATGTGTAGATGTACTGTATGTGTAGATGTACTGTATGTATGTATGTATGTATATACAGGTGCATCTCAATGAATTAGAATATCATCGAAAAGTTAATTTATTTCAGTAATTCAATTCAAAAGTGAAACTCATATATTATATAGATTCATTACACACAGGGTGATATATTTCAAGTGTTTATTTCTTTTGATTTTAATGATTATGGCTTACAGCTAATGAAAACCCCAAATTCAGTATCTCAGAAAATTAGAATATTACATAAGACCAATTTAAAAAAAGGATTTTTAATACAGAAATGTTGGCCTACTGAAAAGTATGTACAGTATGCACTCAATACTTGGTCGGGGCTCCTTTTGCATGAATTACTGCATCAATGCGGCGTGGCACGGAGGCGATCAGCCTGTGGCCCTGCTGAGGTGTTACGGAAGCCCAGGTTGCTTTGATAGGGGCCTTCAGCTCGTCTGCATTGTTTGGTCTGGTGCCTCTCATCTTCCTCTTGACAATACCCCATAGATTCTCTCTGGGGTTTAGGTCAGGCCAATCAAGCACGGTGATACCGTGGACATTAAACCAGGTATTGGTACTTTTGGCAGCGTGGGCAGGTGCCACTTGATGCAGTGCACCAGCTCCACCTTTTCTCCTCCAAACATACCTCTTGTTATTGTAGCCAAGTGATTTCAACCTGGTTTATTTCCCATAAATGTGGACATTGTGTCATGCTACCTTCTACAACAGAGGTGGCGAGTGCAAAGCCTCACATAGCTTTTTAAATATACATGGCTTTTATATGAATAATTCCAAACGCTTGTCTTTAAGTCCGACCGAAAGTAAACCCAGAAAGAAGCTGTCTAAAATGGCCATTATATTAAACTGCACAGGGATCTACATTATGTGCAACTTGCACATCGATTTGTTTACATGTATGAGGCAGTGGAAAGCCTTCCATTTACCATGCGTTTGTGCTAGAGACATGGTACCAGACGAGTTCCTGTAATATTCTGAATTGCAGGAATAAAATGGCAAGATACACACATTGCAACTTTCATTGACTAATTTTACCGCTGAATGATAGAGACTCCTATTGTGGCTAACTTCTCTCATTTTTTCTGTGACAAAGAAGTACATTTCCCAATCATTCTTTTAGGGATAAAGGTTGTAGAAATCATTAAAATACCGAAACTGCTATTACATAAATGTCCCTTACAAATAGATTTAAGCTTTGGATTCAAACTGGAACTCTATTGGCAAATATTACAGCTGTCTGACACTAGCTTATTCTGCATTGTTGGATGTATTTTTGTTGACTGTCTAGTAGCCTACTTTGATGTTCATGTCACATCTTATTGCTGGAGGTACTTCTGGTCAAATGTATGTGGTTAAAAGAAGGTGAACATGCACCTTTACAGTTGTGGTGATGCTTTATCTTTGTGTTGTTGCTATAGGCTATCCCGTGATGATCAAAGCATCTGCAGGAGGAGGAGGGAAAGGAATGAGGGTTTCTTGGAATGATGAGGAGACTAGGTTTTGTTTACCTCTATTTCTGTCAATCTACCTAACATTTACTTCTTTTTGACAACTTTATTCATGATAATGCTTAAAGAAAAAGATGGGGAGTTAACCTACTTCTACAATTACTGTGTGTGCTACTAGAATGAGTTAAACTACTAAAGCTCAGATACTACTGCAAAACCTTCTATTTAAAATAATAGCACAATGACAACAACCAAATACAATAACTTCTCCTGCAGCTTATTTTTGACTTTAACTGTTGATTGAAATTCTTCTAATTCAACAACTTCAGTTTACTCTCCTTATGCTATTTCTACAGTTACATCTTCATCAACTCCCTGCGGCTTCACTGTTTAGTCCTGATTCCAAGACCTCAGCTAATTTTCTTTCTTACTGCTGTTATTAGTAGAGACCTTGTTTCTATGTCTACTTTATACTACTACAGACCACTGGAAAGACTGATGTTTGTATTTGCGACCTTTATTTCTGATGCAACTTTTGTGTGTATGTGTTCTGTTACAGGGAAGGCTTCCGGTTCTCTTCCCAGGAGGCAGCATCCAGCTTTGGAGACGACAGGCTGCTCATTGAGAAGTTCATAGACAACCCCAGACACATTGAGATACAGGTATAACACACATGCACACAGATGTCTGATATTCAATATTGACAATCTGTCAATCTGAGTGTGATCAGGATGTATAGTTTGAATTATTACACTTCATTGACATGAATGTCAATAAATGTAAAACTTGCTGTTTCAAAAAAGCTATTGTAACAAAAAAGTCAAAAGATAAAAATGACTCAATAAATTCCTATCGCCTGTCCTTCCCCAGAGAGAACCATAGAATGCTGTTTGTGTTGTAGGTACTGGCAGATAGACATGGTAATGCTCTGTGGTTGAATGAGAGAGAATGCTCCATCCAGAGGAGGAACCAGAAGGTGGTGGAAGAAGCCCCCAGGTTAGTGAGAAACTGTATTTGCTCTTTTGCCTTTAAACAAAAAAATGATGTTTACGTTTTTTGGGTTGTCCATCCATCGGTAGGTCCATCCCATTCTCATGAACATGAAATTTGGCACAAACGTCCACTTGGACTCAACGATGAACTGATTCGATTTTGGTGGTCAAAGGTCACTGTGACCTCACAATACATGTTTTTGGCCACAACTCAAGAATTCATATGGTAATTATGACAATTACACACCTATATGACCGATAGGATGAAATGATGAAGTCATGACATTTTTGGCACCTTGTATGGTGGTCCCTGTTGTGAATGGGTGAATGATGTAGTGTTAAAGCGCTTTGAGTGGTCGGAAGACTAGAAAAGGCACTGTACAAGTACAGTCCATTTACCATTTTCTTTACCTCTGCACCTGCGAAAGCCACGGCTGGAGGCACTATGTTTTCAGGTTGTACGTACATCTGTCCGTCCGCCCCATTCTTGTGAAAGCAATATTAGTTATTTTCCTGGTTTTAAAGGCTGCATTACAGTAAAGTGATGTTTTTTTCTGAACAATACTTTTCTAGTTCTACAATTATTTGTCCTTGCTCACTTTGTGACTATATCAACATTACTGATTATTATTTATCAAAAATATTATTTGTGGAAATATCTGTAAATATTATAATATTTTGTAAAAGCACCAATAGTCAACAATATCAAGTTAATTACAAAAATATTTTAATATTTGCTTTTCTCCATATTGCCCAGCCCTAGATTAGATAGTAGGATTATGAAGCTATATGTCTGAGGCTCGTCTATCTGCATGAATGTGTGTGGTTTAGAGAACTAAAGCAGCTGCATAGGGTTAAGGTTAACACATTATCTTCTAGTAGTTTGATAAAGGTGACTTCCAATCATTCAGAGCTGAATTCCTATCTGTTTACTTGAATTTCAGTTCATCTGTTTTAATTCCCTTTATGTTCTCTAATATATGGCTGAGTCATTAAGATTGATATATGAATATGTGCATTTCAGGGTTTCCACACCTAATATGATTAACTTCTGTCTTTTACAGGATGTAGGTGTATTAGTGTGTAACTACTATATCATTTAGACAGAAGACCTTTTCATTGTTAGCCAGTGCATTCACATTCATTGCAACAGGAAATACAAAGTGCCCATTTAGAATGTTAATGTTGAGTTTGAAAGGTTTTATAGCAAATGCCTAAAAACACTTGGTAACATCCTTAAGTGACTCGCCAGCATTGTTCGGTATGTGGTGAATTTTTTTTTAAAAGTATTAGTTTTATTTGTTAAGGTGAATCAGAATTAAAATGTAAATGTTTTGCATATGAAATAGTAAGCTGACGCCCTAGCCTAGGCCTAAAAGGGTGATTGTTCGACAATGTTATTTAATTTTGTAAGTCTTCTGCATCTACCTCGTACATCATTGCAGCAGGACATCGTGGCAGCCCGGCCACCCATACAATATTCAGCATTAAGATTCTTACATTTGTGAGTTTTCAGTATGTATCTAAATAAGATGGGTTTGTTGAATGTTAGACTCGCCATTTGCACCACTGAGGTGAGTCTGAGTGTCTAGTGTTGTGTCCTCTCCAGTACTTTCCTGGACCCAGTGACACGGCGGGCGATGGGTGAGCAGGCAGTGCTGCTGGCCAAGGCTGTGCAGTACTCCTCTGCTGGCACCGTGGAGTTCCTGGTGGATTCTAAAAAGAACTTCTTCTTCCTGGAGATGAACACACGACTACAGGTGTGTCTGTGTGTGTGTGTGTGTGTGTGCGCGCATGCATGCGCAATTCCAGAGGGGAATTAGAGCACAATCCTAACTGCAGCTGTGACTGTGCATCTCTGCGCCATGGGAGGGCCACGAGGTATTGTGCATTCTGGTGTCACCAGAATGACTGTTAAATTCTCTTCCTGAATACGTGCTAAAAGATGAGCAATCAGAGGAGCTGTGGGAAATGCGTAAAGGAGATCTCCAGGCCAAGGTCGGTGAGAGAATGCATCCACTCTTAGTGGAGGGTGGTCTCGTGTATTTATGGAGGAGCACAGTGAACATTTTGCATTCTCTTATGAGGCAAACAGATCCACCTTCCCAATCCTGTCCCACAACATCTGGACCACGTGTGGCACTCATTTTTTCACTCATTTATGGGGCAGACCCACATGAGACATTAAGTCTGCAGCACAGTATTGTGGGAACCTGGCTCCAACCACAGAACACCAATATGGTTTTCCAATATGCCAGGTCTGACTGCAGTGCGGGAAGGATGGTCAGCATTTGCCACCTTTTGTATGTTTCTCATGTGGAGTCCAGGGGGACCACCACATGGCTTGTGGACTTCGTACCTAGCAGGAGCATCAATGAGAGTGCTGTGTTCATATTCTCACCGAAGGAACCTGCAGCTGAAGTCAGTCTGCCGAGCTCTACACCTTCTAGTGGTAATTGAGTTTAGATAAAGATGGTGTGTTTAGAAGAGCTTAACAAGTAACATCCGTCGGCCAACTTGTGTGACCATTGACAGTGAAGCTGAGACAGGAGACAAGGGTAGATCGAGGGCCATGACATTGAATTATACCGTGGACGATGTCTTTATGTGGAATACCCTGTAGCCATTCAGCTACTAGGCCGCTTCAAAATGATCATTTTTATTGCACTGTTTTGAATGACATTTAATGTGAAGTTAGCCAGTATATTTCCCATAACCCTGATGCCCAAACACATTTCACAATGTACATAATAGGGAGATGTATAATATTATTTTCATGTATATTTTTGGGCCATTGTGTGGCTTATATTATAGAGACGGTAAAGAGATGACAGGAATTGAGTGTAGAGAGAGCTGGGGAACAACATGCAACAAAGGTTCCCAGCTGTGCCCCAAGAGAATAACAAACTTAAGTTATATTTACAAGCTTTTCCGGAGCTTTCAGCCACATCTCAAGTCATCATCAGTGCATGGAGTTTGACTAGACAATCTTTAACTAAATTCATGAGAACTGAGCAAACTGCTGATCTGCTGATGAAGACTTTAAGTTGTGCCAGTAAGGGTTCCTAGGGTTTCATGCTTAACAAGCACACTACAAATGTGCTTCTAGAAACTGTATCTTCTGTGTTTAACCTTTGATCCCAGGTGGAGCATCCGATTACAGAGTGTATTACTGGCCTGGACCTGGTTGAGCAGATGATCAGGGTTGCCAAGGGTTATCAACTGCAGCACAAACAGAAAGATATCCCAATAAACTGCTGGGCCATTGAGAGTCGAGTCTACGCTGAGGTCTGTGCAAGATGTAATAATTGTGGTGTTTGTAGAAGACATCTTGTTAACAATCTATCCATGTCTAAAATGTATTATTGGCTTACTTATGTTGTGTTATGAACTGCTTGTAACAGAGTCAAATTATAGTTATAAGCATAAATATTCATAATGCTCTTTTAGCAATAATCATTACACATCGTAAAGCATTTTATAATGACTTATTAGGTGACATATTATATGTAAATATTAAATGGACTTGCACTTGTATAGCGCTTTTCTAGTCTCACGTCCCATTGATGTGACATGGACTAGTGAAGCCGGGGACCGCCAATCCTCTGATTGAAGGACGACCCGCTCTACTACTGAGCCACAGTTGCCCACAAGTCCCACGATACGTCATACATGTTTTTGCAAGGATCATGGTGTATTATAATTCATATAGCTGTAATATATTATAAACTTCCCATAATGCATTATAACAATGCATTATAATGTCATAAGTGACTAAGTGGTCCTAGTTTGCTTTATTATAAAATGATGGCAATAGATACTTGCAAAAAAATGTCAGTAAGTGACCAGCAATTATGAAGTACTTTGATTAATGTTAGATAACATTATGAAGGGGGATTAAATAAAATGATTTCCATTTTAAACCTTTGTTTGTGCAACATTCTGCTTGAGCTACTGCTGTGAGTGAAACCTGTAGCTTTAGTGTTTTCCATTTGTCCACCGTTATTCTTGTTTGTTCCGTTAGGATCCTTACAAGTCTTTTGGTCTTCCCTCCATTGGACGACTGTCTCAATATCAAGAGCCACTCAACCTCAGCAATGTAAGTGTGTGTGTGCGTGCGTGAGTGAGACACAGGACTTAAAGCTTGACAGGGCAAGATGTTTGTGTAACAGACCACCACAGCCTACACAACAAATAAGAGGTGCATCAGAGAAGAGCTCTCAACCCTCTCTCAGATACTGTAGTTTGAAGTTTTACCTTATTTCTTTTTCAAATGATATCCTCCTCACACACAATCCACTCAGACTCCCTGAGTGACTGGCAAGTGTCCTGCCAATATTTACTCGTCTGCTCCTTGCTCTGTCAGGTCCGTGTAGACAGTGGAATCGAGGAGGGAAGTGACATCAGCATCTACTATGATCCCATGATCTCTAAGGTCAGTGATGTATTGAATGTATAATGCTTTTGTAAATAATGTGTTCCTTATTTTAGGAACAGATGGTCACAACAAGAAAGTAGATTACAGAATTCCACAAGGGTTTGTGGTGCAATCATTTCCTCTGGTATCTATCTATAGTTGGTTACCTATGGAGCTACGCGAGCTGAAGCTCTTGCCAGGATGGAGGACGCTCTGGATAACTATGTTATCAGAGGTACACAACAGATTTTCACAATAAATGTCAGCTCAGACACACTTAAATTGGACATTAGCCTATTTTTCTTTCCGTAAAAAGTTTGGTGATCTTCTCTCCAGGTGTGACCCACAACATTCCCCTCCTGCGGGAAATCATCACCCACCCCCGGTTTATCTCTGGTGACATCAGCACCAACTTCCTGCCGGAGGTTTACCCCGATGGCTTTAAGGGTCACCAGCTGGAGGAAGACCAACGCAGGGAGCTGTTGGCCACCGCAGCAGCGCTCTACATCACTGCTCAGCTCCGTTCACAGAAGGTCCTGGGTAACCTGAGGTGAGGACACCAGCAAGCTCGATGTCGTTGGGGCTACAAGGGCACAACACGCTCGTTACAACCATTTCCTGAAAAATGCAGTGTATTCATAGAGCCTCACCACATTATCAACATAGTGGAAAATAAAATGTTGAAGTTAAAAAAGCTGCATATTTGGCTGACCAATTGTGCATGCTGTCTGGTACTGTTGCAGGGCTCCACTCTTACTTTTATTTACTTATATTTTAGGGGCATTTAAGTAAAATAAATTAGGGACACAGTCATTTTATTTTGAGAAATAATAACACATCTGCATTTAACAATACAAATACCATATGCACAAGATGCAGAAGCAAATGTATTTAGATAAGAGATTACTAAAAAGTAAAAAATATAGGGTGTACTTGGGACCCAACAAAGGACAGAATTGCATTGTGCTTCTCTTTACTTTTACCTTTCGGAGCCATATGGCTCCATTTGTGTTATGGGAACCAGGAAAACACTCACAATTGTACAGTTGTGTTACAGAGTGGAGCTCCTTTCCTCAACAGTTATCTTAGTGCAAACACTGGCTGCAGAGAGTATGGAAACCGCTATGTACAAGTTTTGTCTGCCAGTCAAGTTACTCGGTGGAGTTTTGCACATTCTTGAGTGCTCGCACTACACAGCTGCCCTGTGTTGGCTGTAGTAGACAGTTGAATTAGCAGCAGATGCAGTTGGTGCAAGATGTCAAACTGGCAAATCAGTAGATAGTCCACTTTTTGTTTTTATTATGTCTTTAGAAATAATCAAGATTTTACTTATTGAAGATAGTGGAATATTTTGTCTGGATTTTGCTGACAAGCGAAATTGTTCAACACCACCCAGAAACTAGAAACAAGTGGTAACATAGTCAAGTACTAAGTCATTTTGACTATAATTATTAAATAACACAGAATATGATTATGGTTTCTCTTGAACACTGGAATTAATTTATTAGGCTCCATGTTTCAGGTTCAATTTAAATGATAATGATAATTGATGGTAACTCATCAAACCCGACACTCAGGAATGATCAGCCTCACGTGACTGAATGAAATGATGATAAATGATGTAAAAAGTTTCTTCTCTCCAGCTCTCTCTGACTTTAATTGTTTCCATAATAAAAGTTATTGAGGTTGATATCAGATTATGAAAAGACAAATCTTTCTAATAAATGAAGAAAGTTGTTTGTGGTCCTTTTTGTTGTTCAGACTACAATAAACACATTGAAACCAGATGGTGAATCAGAAAACTAATCAAATATAAAACTAGAGTTTAATCTCTGATCTGTCTTCACTCTGGTATGAAAGTGATGTTGAGAACAATCCGATCAATCCGATCAGCTGCAGCGTCCAATCAAATAACTGATGAACAATGAGGGGGTGTGTCGGCCGTTAAAATGCTTCCTGGAAGGCTGATCTTGTGCGTCCTCGCTCATGGCTCCTCAGAGATCCCTCCTCGCTCCTCAGAGCAGAAATAAGAGCTTGGCGCAGAACAACTTCCAGTTCAAGCGAGGATTGAGGAAATGACAAATAAGAGACTTGGGATGTACACACAGAATGCCACGTATAAGGTGTCATTCAACTAGATGACACTGGTGTGTGTGTTTTGCAGGGTGTTTTCCACTCCTGTGGAATGTAGCCATTGGGAGCTTTGTGTGGAGCTGGACGAGGGACGCCATTCTGTGGATGTGACCAAATCAGGAAACATTTATACTGTGAGTATTTAATGTCTTTCTATGAACAAATGAGGTATATCAATATCTTTGGCCGACAACAGAGTGTCCCTGAAGCATTAGAATCAGCTCTACTGGAAAAATAGGAAAAAAAACATCAAGCTTTGATGCATTAGCATCAAGTATGTAAATTAAAACAGACCCTGTGTAGATTTGCAACAGGATGTCACTGTCTCTGGGTGATGAGTCTGAGCCTTCGCAGCCATGAGGACACTTACGAACAAAATAATCTGTGTTTGTCTCTGTAGGTGGAGGTGGATGGAGGTAAGGTGGAAGTCAATGGACAGTGGAACCTGGCCTCCCCACTGCTGCCACTCACCATCAACGGCACACACAGGATGCTACAGGTAACACACACAGGTTCAGGTTGTTGAATTCTATAATTTTATCATATCGTTTTTACTTCACACTAACCACACAGTGAGAGCTAAAAAAATCACCAGGGATTACAAAATTCTCGACGCTACAGAAGCAGGGCAACTGATATTTTGTTTTTTATTTTAGTGTCTGTCCAGAGATGCTTCAGGAGAGATTGTCCTACAGTACCTGGGCACAGTGGTAACGTTGCATGTCTACACAGATCTGCAACTACACAATCACACTTTATACAATAGCCCGCTTGGATAGATTGAGAACTAGAGACAGCAGCCTGTGTGATAGTGTAGTGTGAGCTCCCACATAGAGAAGAAACGTGGTAATTTTGACCTTAAAGTAGGTCATTGGATCCAGAAGTCCAACAGATAAGATATTACTTATAAATAGAAGTATTTTAACTAAACATTTCCAGTGCTTTATTTTATATACAGTCAGAGAATATCACAAAAGATAAATACATGTACTTTGCTTGCAGTATTCTGTACTTTTTATTGATGGACAATCGAAGCAAACCTTAATTAACATGAATAAATTCTCCAAGAAACCCATGGTTGTAATTATATGTAAGAACTGAATTCCCAAATAAATGTTCAATGCCCTAACCAACACTCGGGTGACATCACTTTCACTTGAGGACATTTATCAGACTTTCTCTGCTGCCACAAAAGGGTCAAGTCTTCTTTATTGAACTTGTTTTTATTGTGTAAACTGTAGCACTGTAATAAACTCAATTTAGTTCCCTGTATACTGAATATTGTGTATTGAAAGAAAGACAATAAATTCTACCTTTTCCTCGCCAAGACCTGTAAACACTCCCTGCTGTTTTGGCTTCACTTTAATATATAGCATTTCCCCTTGATCAGTACAAGAAACCTCTTTCCTGTGTTTCTTATACTGGGTATTTTTATGTAGTTTAAGGTTCGCGTTCTGTCAAAGTTGGCTGCTGAGTTAAACTCCTACATGCCAGAAAAAGTTCCAGAAGACACCAGCAGCCTCCTGCGTTCACCGATGCCAGGCACAGTGGTGGCTGTGTCCGTCAAGCCTGGAGATACGGTAACACATCCCAACATGTAGAGATTTACTTCACACCTGCAGACAAGATCTACGGCAATTCTTAAGTCATGTCACTGCCTGGGAAATCTTTATCCACTTAACCTGATATTACAGGAGAGACTCAACAAACTGAAATTCCTAGTTGCAGACTATTTTATAGACATACTGATGCAACAGCATACAGTGACATTTTAGACAATAGTGTTTCTCAGCAGTTTGGATTTGTCCCTGTCCTGTTTCAACATGCACAGAGCCAACTTCATAAAGAAATGGTTTTCCCAGTTGAAAAAACGCTGAAATACTGACCTTATCACCCAATATCAGTATTGTCCCTCACTAAGGTTGTTGCAGCCAAAACGCCAGTCCTCTCCTTCATTTGAATGTGGGTAGTGCTTTATGACTGCGGTGGTGGGGACAGCAGGATAGCGGAAAAAAAATGCAGCACCTTGCTGCGAAAATTTGAAACGGAATTAACTTTCAGAGAACCTGATGTCATGCTGCGGCGGCTGATCATATAACTGGCGATCAATGGCCCAATGAAATTGAGTGTCACTCATTTGGGCCATTTAAGTGACACTCTCACACCGCTGCACAATCTTGCGCTAATCGCCGCAACGGCTGATTTGGTGTGAATGCTCTTTTGGCTGAATGGGAACAAATCCTACAGTCAGTTTCCAAAATATAGTGGAAAGTCTGAAACCAGAAGAGTTGAGGTCATCATTGCAGCAAACTCATGGTTTTGGAGTGACAAGTTTAACTTTTACATATGGGTGGTATTTTCTTGTGTCCATCTGCTTCTATGTAGTACATGTGCTGCAATACGTAACCTCTGCCCCCTTGGTCAGCCAAATCTAAGTTGAGTGAGCAGTGGTTGTTTGTAATGTAGGTGCCATGATAAGCTTTTGATTCAGTTATGTTTTATTGTACTGAGAGACAAACTGCGAACATTATAGGATGGACTCCAATGTGTGTGTGTGTGTGTGTGTGTGTGTGTGTGTGTGTGTGTGTGTGTGTGCGCGCGCGCGTGCAGGTTGCAGAGGGTCAGGAGATCTGTGTGATCGAAGCCATGAAGATGCAGAACAGTTTGACTGCTGCCAGGCAAGCAAAGGTAACAATATAAAAACACTGGCAGTGGAGCTACTGTTGTTGTCGTCAGTGACTAGTTTACAGATTTGAATAATGACCCAGTCCACAATTGCTGGTGCAGTTATTGGGAGCATTATTGATAAATAATCATGGAGGTCATAGGCACATGTTTATTAAATTGAAAACAAGGAAAATAATAATATTCTGTATGTATGGGCCTTTAGAGTTTTCATTTTTAACTGTGCATTTGCCCTCCAGGTTAAGAGTGTCCACTGTAAGCCAGGGGAGACGGTGGGAGAGGGAGACCTGCTGGTAGAGCTTGAATAAAACACAACCTTTGACGTGTGACAGCAGCATCTGGATGAGCCTTACTCCCCTCTGTGTCCACGGCGGTAGACCCACCTTGGCAAAAAGGACTGGACAATAACAGATGCTTGATTAATGTTGCCAGTGGTCAGTCTGCGGAGTGGCCTCCAGCACAGTTTAGCTTCCCTGTTGGTGACTCAGCTGAGCTCTATCAACAGTGTTTGTGTCTGTTAGTCTCTCCACATGTCAGACTCATTCATGTTGCTTGTTTAGATGCAGCTGTCTCGAAAAAAACTCTTGTAAATCTTTCCATTCTGCTTCTATGTGTTTTCTCAACCTGATTGCTAGTTTTGTTACCTTCAGTTCAGTTCCCCCGTATAATTCTTTTCTTCTTCCATTTAACCCGTATGCTGTGTTTTCTTGCAGCTGGTTTTGGTTTATTTGCCAAGGTTTTGAGATAACTACATCTGAAATGTCTGCTACCACTCCAATGCACTGGATATGGACCTTTTGTTTATAGGCTGCTAATGAGTTTTTTAAATGTAACTTTTCCTTGATATGAGCACTAAAAATAAAGTTCCATTCACCTTCATTGTATTGTATTGGAATGGAGGCAGAAATCTCTTTATCTTAAAACCTCACCGAAAGAAAACAACTATAGCTCAAGGTAAGAAGGAGAAATGTCTGCTGTAATTTAGTTGAAGTGACTTTTTGAAAAATCACTGTAACCAATAAAGTGCTCCTTCTTTTCAATATATAGTCACTTAGATGGAATTACAGTCTGGCTACATACAGAAACAACAGTTTAAAAAAAAAAGAGATTCCTCAAAATGACTAATGGAGAGTATATGATGCTGATGGGAATAAATAACTCTTCAGGCTGTGGATGACAGGACTTGGACACTTACAGATGGGTGACAAATTAAATGAAAAACCTGAATAATTAAATCTAGAAACTCAAGAGGGTCTGGTCAAGAGGTATCCTTAATATTCTGTGCAGGGTTGTGCGTCCATGGTTTGCATCCACTTCACAGTTAATCACCTGATCATTCTGTTGTTCTGTCTGCTCATGATGGGTTTTGATTGCCCGTTTGCCTTTGCTGACTGCTTACTTATTGCTGACTGTTTGATTACATTGTAACCTTGGTTTTCTGATTGAAGAGTTTCTCCCGTCACTACATATTTGACGTGTACGATGAATAAAACCCCAGTGGTCAGGTAACATGGAATCTCCTTTTCGACACACTGGTTACCGGGCCATCCCCTACAGTTTACCTATAAAACGCCTGCTGGCATGGAATGACTGAAGTTCTCCTGCCACAGCCCACCTATACATAAAAGTTGTGTAAATGTACAGCTCTTAGCTTCTTTAGGTAATAAAGTTCTATTATTTCTGTTTTCAGATTTTTCAGCATCGTCTGAAATGTCTTTGCATTTTAATGCTTCTGTATTTTCAGCAACGCTTTGCAATTTCAGCTGTCAGCATTCACTCACACTTTCTGCAGGAAATGCAATTTATATTCCTTCCGTACATTTTTGGACTTTAACTAGTTCTGCATACTTTCAGCTACAGAAACCATTTAAATATCAAAATATTCAACTCCTTAAGGACATTAGTGCTATATTGTTTCATTAAAACTTCAAAGGAGTGTGAACACTTTTATTTCATAGGAATTGTATATTAACTGCAAAAGCAAGATTATCTGAGCTGGTGCTCATCTAGTTTTAAAGAGATGTACAGCAGGTAGAATAAGTATTAAGAATAAGAACACGTCACCATTTTTCTCAGTAAATATATTTCTAAAGGTGCCATTGACGTGAAATTTTGACCAGATGTCGATAACAACCCAAGTAATCCATACATACAAAGAAAACCAAACAAATAAGTCCATAAATTAGGTTATGTGTAATAAAATTGAATGACAGGGAAAAAACACATGAAGAAAGGGAGGTGCAAAAAGGCATGGAAAGCCAAGACACCAGCAGAAATCTATCAGTAATTAGAAAGCAATCCTGCCCCTTGTCAGTGCAAATTAATATCAGTTGGTTCAGTCCCAATTGATGGCCTATAAAAAGGTGTCTTATTACCAAGGTGTCACAACAAACATCTCATGATGGGTAAAAGCAAAGAGCTCTCTCAAGACCTTTGCAATCTTATTGTTGCAAACAGGAGGATTTCTAAACTTCTGAATGTTCCAGTGAGCACTGTTGGGACCATAATCCGGAAGTGGAAAGAACATCATTTCACCATAAACCGGCCACGACCAGGTGCTCCTCACAAGATTTCTGACAAGAGAGAAAATAATTATCAGAAGAGTTGTCCAAGAGCCAAGGACCACTTGTGGAGAGCTTCAGAAAGACCTGGAATTAGCAGGTACAATAGTTTCAAAGAAAACAATAAGTAATGCACTCAACCGGCATGGCCTGTATGCACGCTCACCACGCAAGACTCCATTGCTGAAGAAAAAGCATGTTGAAGATCGTTTAAAGTTTGCTGCACAACATTTCGACAAGCCTGTGAAATACTGGGAGAATAAAGTCTGGTCAGATGAGACCAAAATTGAACTCTTTGGATACCTTAATACACACCATGTTTGGAGGTCAAATGGCACTGCACATCGTCCCAAAAACACCATACCAACAGTGAAGTTTGGAGGTGGGAACATCATGGTGTGGGGCTGTTGTTCAGCATACAGCACTGGCAAACTTCATATAATTGAAGGATGAATGGAAAAATGTACCGAGACATTCTTGATAAAAATCTGCTGCCATCTACCAGGATGATGAAGATGAAACGAGGGTGGACATTTCAGCAAGACAATGATCCCAAACACACAGCCAAGGAAACTCAACTGGTTTCAGAAAAAGAAAATAAAGCTGCTAGAATGGCCCAGACGATCAGCTGACTTGAATCCAACAGACAATCTATGGAAAGAACTAAAGATCAGAGTTCATAGAAGAGGCCCGCGGAACCTTGGAAGATTTGAAGACTGTTTGTGTGGAAGAATGGGCCAAAATCCCACCTGAGCAATGCATGCAACTAGTTTCTCCATACAGGAGGCGTCTTGAAGCCGTCATTACCAACAAAGGCTTTTGTACGAAGTATTAAATATATTTCAGTAAGCGTGTTCAATACTTTTTCCCTGTGTCATTCCATTTTCTTAACCATAACTTAATTTCTGAACTTATTTCTTTGGTTCTCTTTATATGTATGGATTACTTGGGTTGTTACCGACATCTGGTGAAAGTTTCACGTCAATAGCACCTTTAGAAATATATTTACTGATAAAAATGGTGACGTGTTCAATACTTATTTTACCTACTGTATGTTATATTTTAGGACATAAAGAATCATGGTCCTGATATTTTTCCACTAAATTTGTTTAAACTGCTTCTAATCTCAGAAAAACTATTCGTAACTTTTTCAACACTATTGGAATTAGTTTGAGGACAAGCACATGCCTTGGAAGCAGCCTCTCCACCGTCACTCGTATGTGCCCCCAGGGAGGCACCATGGTCATCACCTGAACAGATGGAACATTTTAAATGAACTTACTTTGACAAATACAGTAAAAAAAAAAACTAAAAAAAACCCCTATATACCAAGTCCCATCTGTGTCTCACTTGTAGTCTTCAAAAACGCCACACAAAGCAAGATGAAAGGCTTTCATACAAGTGCCTTTAGAATCTGTGGGACAATCTAGGACCTAGATTGTTCCACACATGCACAGCCAGGGTCTGAACATTTCCAGCTTTAATCGCACACATGCTATAGTTATGACCCCGTGCAGGACAGCTGGAAAAGGCTTGCTGACATGCAGGAGTTCAGAAGCAACTTCTCAGTGGTGGTACATGAAGAGCGTCTTTATGCTATTGGTGGAGAACACCAACCTAGACAGCGTTGCAATGTACAGCCCAATGTTCATCTCGGGTTTTAAAAACATCTTTAACTAGTAGTGAGGTGTTTGATGCAAAGGAAGCCAAAAATAGTTTTACAACAACATATTTGTTTCATTTTGACATTTCAACAATCCTCCAAAATGTTTAAACTTTACATGAGTAATTTCTGAAAGGAAGAACAGATTGAGACCAGACACGCGTCCCTGAATTTAAAAAAAAAAAAAAAAAGGGAAACAAAAAAAAAAAAAAAAAAAAAAAAAAAAAAAAAAAAAAACGGCATCTCATTCTATTCTAAAATCTACAATGTTGGAAAGATGAGGAACCCACTGAAGACACCTTTGTATTTTTCCACCCTTCCACAGGATGACGTTGACGGTCTCTCCGACATTCAGCTCAAGGATTACCGTGTTGCTGGTGGTGTCACTGTTATCTGAGCCGGTGAATTCCCAGGTGCTCACTTGGCAATTCCTGTTCTTCACCAGGATGGCTCCTGAAGTGTGACCGTTGTAGCCAAAAAGTCATGAATGAACAGTGGTAGACGCCTTTCAGTCGAGCAGTGAAGATGCCTGTTGAAGAGGAGAATGCAATGACATCAATAAGTTATAAAAACATTTGTCTTTACTTGGTTCTCAATACATTTTTCTACTCAACGGAAACACAAATAACCATCATCTTCTCAGTTAGATGATAAGATGGATACCACTCTTATGTCTGCATGTTAAAAATGAAGATAAAGCCATGCAGCTGGTTAGCATAACGATTACAAACTGGGGGAAACAATTAGCCACCTTTATTCTGAAAGTAACAAAATCACCTACCAACACATCCTAAAGCTTGATGGACTTATAGGCAACTTGTGGAAACGCTTCAGAGGCCGTGGAAGGAAGATTTTGCAATGTTCTGACCATATTACTAAACCAATGTTTCCCAGATGATACCCAGCAATATGGAGGATGCATTCCATTTTATTAAAGATGCATACTTTCATATCTGTTAATCATTGGTCAGTTTTCTGAAGGTCATGCATCTAGAACATACCGGTTTTACAGTTGTAAGCGAAGCCAACGTTTGTGAAGACTGTTATAGAAGAGAATATTGTTGGTGCCGTTTGTGCCGGGTCCAGTGAACGTATCGTTGTATTCGATTATAGTTGCAGAAAAGGCCACGTTGGCATTGACTGAAGAAAGAAATGCAAACATTGTTAAATTCAGTTGTGAGAGTTTGGCATCTTGAACCATTACTTACTATACTTTCCCTTACCTTCTGCTTTAAGGCGCATCACCTCTAATGAGAGTTCACTTCCTTCAGTTCCGAGTTCTGCAGGAAAAAAAAAAAAAAAAAAAAGTGGCAATGTTACTTTAAACATACAATTTTACATTCCACATTTATGAAAAAGCAGCTCAGTATCTATTTGAGGTACAAGTTGCAAAGCTTTTGTTAAGGGATTGGACCATCTTGTCGCTCTTGAGGCCATCAATGTCAACCTTCTGCTGGTCCACTACAGTTTTCCGCTGTTCATCAACATTCCTGAATCCATCAACTTCAGCCTTTTGATCATTCAGTTTTGTGCTGAAAGCTCGAGTCATTATCAAAAGGACATTTTTGCAGTCAACTCATGAAAACATTTATTAAAAATTGTTTTTTTTTTAAAGATAATACAGACTTTTAAAGACTTACCTCCGCTGTCATTTTGTATTTCCGTCAGGTTTGCTTCAAGTTGCGTCTCCGTGGCATTCAGTAGGGCTTTGACTTTGACTTCAAGCTCCCGGGCTGTCGAGTTAAGGTGGGAGAGTTCCTTCTTGTGTAGAGTCAGCAGTTTCTGTGCCCCAGTTTCTGACTCCAGATTTTCAAGTTTCTCTTCCTTAATTGCCTCTCAGTTGTATCAAGTATCTCCTCAAACTCACTGATGTTTCCCCCCCCCCCGACTCTCTCCCCGTGTTTGACCAGTTCTCCAACTTCTCTCTTGAGGCTGGCAATGTCAACTTCCTGTTCCTCCAGCTTTGTCTTTGCATCTCTCAACTCCATCTCAGTCTGCGACACCATCCTTTCTAGGTCCTTTTGTGCGTTTGAAACATTTGTCACCAACCTTTCAAGCGCACTAATGTTGCCGCTTGCAGAATCAAGCTGCAGTCTGGTCCTACCTTCCATAGCGTCAATCCTCTCTCGCAGCAGCATTTGGTTTTCTTCAAGTTTTGTTTGAACATTATCGAGATGTAAAATGTTTTTGTAATTTGAGCAAAGAGTTGGCGTTTCTTGTCCTTGCTCCGGGTCACACCTCCGTCTGTGTGGGAGTTCTGAGGATGCCGCTCCAACAAAAGCCAGAAGAAAAACCACCACGGTGACCATCTTCAGCGATAAATTAAGGTTCTTTACTTGACCAGTCTGCAAAGTTAGGATTCCTGTGCCACTCTCGTGTGGCAGCTCCTTTTTACCTTTTTTGAGGTGGGCGTGGCAAAGGGTCATCAGCAGAGTGGAAACACCTGAGCTCATCAGCAACACTGGCAATACATGGGCCCTTTGTGCCAGTGCACTCTTTTAAAAACCCTCTTTAGTCTCAGTAGGTCCTTGGCCAAATCCCAATGTCCCCCCTAAATCCTCAAACCCTGAACCCTCAAGGACTTACTGAGGTCACCTGGTAAGTGGGTGAGTGTGAGAGACTGTGAGGGTTTGAGATGGTGGAAATAGGAATGGGACAGCACTTTAGTGTAACATATCACGTTACCATGAAAACGACAAGAAATATAATTGTGTGTATTTATTTTATACTTTGTACTCCCTGATTTGAACGTCTTCAGGCTCTTTCCTCACAAGATGAGAGGTAACTTCATATCATCTATTTACTCGTTTTTGTCAAAACAGCTTCAATGACAAAATCAAATATTTGATGAATAAATAAATAAATATCTTCTGATTTCATGTTTATTTTTTGTTCCATCTTTAACCCTTAATGTTTCTGAGTAAATGTAATATGACAGGCTGAACACACGTGATCCGTCCTCTTTGTTTACCTTTATTTTTTAGTCTCCATGCGTCCACTGGTTACCCCGTGTTTAACGTCACATTGCAATGATTTGTGGGTAATTCCCTTAGGCTAAGTCAGCATACCATGCTGACTTACGGAAAGGGTTCATGAAGGGCTCAAAATGTCTGCCAGAGAGCCTCAAACACTTGATGATTTGACAGTGGGACAGCCCTAAACCCTCACAGACTTCGCGGGAGCGTGCCTCAAAGTCCGTGAGTCCGTAAGGGGGTACATTGGGATTTGGCCCTTGTCTCCTGGCTGAGACACTCATATGTTTTTTGGTTGACATCATGGTTTGTTTCGACGCTATACAAGATTACACACTTTCCACTCATGGACTCACCTGCACTGCTGAAATTACTGATTTCACATGCCGCTGTTAGTTTAAGCTTGCCATTTATGTTGCCTTTAAGTTAAGTTAATAATTTGCTTTGTGAGTCTCACTCGTCACTGTCGGTTTGTGACGAGGGTGCAACAAGAGCTTTCTTACATTCTAGGGAATGTCCCTCACCACTTAAACCACCAAACCTCTCTCTTTGATTTTCTACCATGTGTAGACTTCTCTTACTATTCTGACATGTAATGTAACTCAATCCAAACTTGTGCTGGTTCACGCAACAGCCACGCAATGCAAAAAGGAAAACCATCTTTATGATTATTTTTCCAAGGTAAATGCAGATTCTATATGAAAATACCTGCCCACAAAATTAGCCCCTTTGAGCAAGAAATGGATAGGGGTCTGTGGTTTTCACATAATTATTATGTCATGCGGTGCTCAAACAAAGAAATCCCATTCTGAACCCCGTATAGTGCACTTTTAATGGAGGCCAATGCGCACGATTTGACAGAACACGACTAGAGACGTAATGCAGCAGAGACATGCCTGAAAGAGATGATCCAAAACAATCAAGAGCAAAATCATTCATTCATTCATAATTGTGTGTAATAAAAAAGAAAGTGTACATAATACTTCAGTCAAATAATGATGTGATACAAGCAGGCCAATAATCTAATAATACAGTGCAGTTTAGTCTGGATAATCCTGATGATCCTGAGGAGAGGTTGGGCCAGGCTGGCATACTGATGTCCGGAGTCCGGTTCCCTTTCATGACCTTTCGAGAGGTCAGGGCCATTAACCTACGCATGGAGAGCTTCGGAAACAAAGAGGTGTAACTCTATGGTTCAGCACTCAAGAAATTTGGTTTCAGCCTTCCAGAAACCCAGGATCAGCCCTGGTTGTGGTCGGGGGAGACCAGCTGAACCTAGATGTGGGACAGCGCATACCAGGCAGGGAACTGTGGCTTGCAAACTCCTTACGCAGTGGTTTAGGTTTGGTGAAAAAGATTGAGTGGAGGAGGCTGGATGAGATGCCAGACAAGCCAAATATCAGGCATGGAGTAGCAGCAATGGTGGGAAAGTTGTATGTATTTGGAGGATGTTACCACTACTGCAAGGATGACATGATGAAATCTGCCTACAGGTAAAAGGACACAACTGGTGCACAAATATCCTCTTCTCACTTTGAATAACCTAGATCGGGGGTCTCAAACTCATTTTCACTGTGGGCCACATCAGCATCACGGTTTCCCTCAAAGGGCCGGTTGTAAATGTAAGACTGTGTAAATGTAACTTCTCCTAACATATTGGTAAATAACTGTCTCTGCATTTTATTATTGTTTATTCAAGTGTAAAAATATATTTCAGCACGTTATAACAAATCCTTTTAATTTAGGGTTAAGAAACACACATTACTCTATCAAAATATTAAAGAAAATATCAAAGCCAAATATCAAACACAAGTTATTATAATAACTTTGTTCAATGCTTAAAATCCTTTCAAGGGTGCGTTTGCACAATCCCACGTGAAGTATTTCATGTGTTTTAAAGCCACATTTAAAGTAGTCTTCAATGTACTCACAAACCATTTCCATTTCAAATGTACAGTAACCAGCCAAAGAGCTGCTTCTATGACTGTTGTGTTTAAGTATCTCATAATTTTGACTTTCTATCCCGTAATTTCGACGATGGGAATCTTTTTATTATCAAGTCTAACTTTCAAATTTATTTATTTTTGCTGGCGAATTTGCAGGCCACATAAAATGACGTGGCGGGCCGGATTCGGCCCGCGGGCCTTGAGTTTGACACCCCTGCTTAGATAAAGCAAGGGGTGCTAGTCCTTCCTTTCTTTTCAACTGGATTATATTCAACAATTTCCCTCTGCACTGGCTTTCACTCTGGTTTGTTGTATTTAGATAGTCTTTGTGTTAATTTACCTTTTAGTTGTGTAAAATATACTTATTTTTAGTTACAACCTGTGCTGGGCTGTGACAATACCAAATCATCTGCACACTTTGACTCCTGTGTCAGTATCAGTGACATACTCATTTTGTATGTGAGGATATATTACATAATTAAACTCACTGCTGTTGTGATATTTTGGTATGAAGCTGACATTATAAAAATTGACCACTGTTGAACAGCCTCTTAGTTTTTCAATATCTAAGTCCCAATTCTTAAAACGCCTCCATCTTAAATACCTTAAATTTGATTAAGTAGATAAACAATTTTTTTTTTTTTTTTTTAAAAACTCAGACAAAAGTATAATCCAAGGTAATTCCAAACCAACGAGAATGAATGAATTAATCCATGCTTTTCTTTGGCTTCAGGAATATACAATGTCCAGTATGTATAACATAGTTACTTACAAAACACGTTTCAAACACCATGAAGGTAAAAAGGTCGAGGTAAAGCTTCTAATTCATGGCCTGCTTCACATCAATCAGTGCAGTTCTACAGAAAGCCAAGAACAAGAGCAAACCAACTAATGAAAATAAGCCTTACGGCATGAAGGATGTGAGTTTGTCTCAGGTTGGTCAGCTCTAACAAGAATGACTCACACCAATTTCACACTGACAGCAAAGTGAAGAAATGTATTTATTCCTGGCTTGGTACCAAAGCAATAATGTGGCGTGTAATGTTGGGTTGTGAGGGACAATGACTGGTCCAATCATCTTGCCTCAATACCAAACGGGATTAAATTTCTGTCTGTTCCGTCCGTCTCTTAAACTTCACTAATGGCTCAGAATATACATTCGTTTTGTTTTTTACATTTGGTTACACATAGTTCTGAATTTGTTTTTTCAAAACTCATTGAGCAAAACATCAGTTGATAACTTTTTATTGCTTTAACACAAAATGCATTAAAAATCAACATCTTTTTAAATTTCTCAAATTGGTTCACTCATACGCAACCTCCAAATCCGTGAATTTACAGTCCCCTTTGTGCATGCTCGCATACCGTTTGAAAAACAACTTTTCAACTCTTCAAATTAGTCTATAATTTGCTACATTAACATCTAAAAAACAAACAAACAAATATTCATTTCATTCCTGAATTATGAAAGACTTGTGCCCGCTTAGGAAAGGGGTCAGAGCGGACATATGGTGTGACCTGGATGAGAACTTGTGGCCAAATACAGAAGGGTTCACTCAGACTGCTGTATATTCATATCTGAGGCTGTCCTAAGCATGCATGTGTAGTGAACACATTTGTTTTGTACTGCATCACTAGAATGACTTAAGTTTCAGAAAATAAAGCCAAGCATGTTGTTTAAGAGAACTGTGAGAAGTTTTTACAAAGTGAGCTCAGTATAGAGAAATCAATGTGACCAATTGTGAAAAAGTGAAACAAGACAGAACAGGAAGGCAGCAAGGTTCCAGAGACCCTTTTACAACATACGTCCCTCAATCCCTCAGTTTGCATTATTTGCAAGAACAAGTCATTGCTGAGAAACAGGACAGGAGGGTGTATCCTTGACGCAGCAAGACGTGTGTTGCCTTTAATAGAACAGAGGCCGGCACCAAAGTGAGACTGGACTTTGGCTTTCTGTCATCAGCAGGATTCATCAGTCACCCCCCCCCCCCCCCCCACACCTCAGAGAAATGAAAGCTGTTCCACTATAATTTGGAACAGCCCTATTGAGCCATTTTGGTGTTGAAATGTGGATGTAAATACATTTAGGGACACAATATGTTAGCCACAAAATGGTGACAAGTGCATGTTTCAACACAACAGCTCTGAAAAAACAGCTGTTAAGAAGCAAACGCTCACAGCTTTATTTGCCTGACTGCAATTTCCAAATACAGACACACTCTCTGCACAGTCCAGCTGTGGGTCACTGCACTGTGTGAAGGTGGTATGGTATGAACCGACTTTCTGTGTGTCAGATACTGAAAACAGGCTTGTTCAGAATATATGCAGATAGATACTCTATGTTCAAAATTACAACCCAGTCACATGCTCACACGCAAACATTTTGGGCTCACAACGAAAGAAAGTTGTCGTCTGTCGGAGGCACAGTTCTCTCTGCCTGAGGAAATGAGAAAGTAAAGGTTCACATTGTAAAGTTCAGTCCAGTTTGATAGTGCTGAACGTTCCAGAGGTTTATGGGAGAAAACCAATTTCCAGTCAATAGTCTGTTGAGTTTGTATCCTTCAGTCCACTTTGACCACACTGTAGATCTTTGTAACAAACCAGAAACAGGCAAAGAAGCCGATTGCACCTGAGGATAGACAAGATATACTTTTTATTATATCACATCACATTTTTCTTGACCAATGTATACACATGTGAGGATGAGAGGCAGTGGAGCTCCACCAATGAATCAACATTCTTTAGCACTGTAACTCTCAACCTGTTGCAATGTCACGACACTACAAGACTGTTTAATATTACAGCGTTTCTTAGAACTCAGCCGACTTGATCCAAGGCTAGTCCAATGTATTTCTAATTTAGTCGTACTTATTTAAGCGATATGCATTCTTTTCTTTACATTATATCTGATGAATATAAGTGGCAATCGAACACGTTAGTTTGATTGCCTCAGGTCATGTCACTGTTCTGTCAATTATGTTGGATGGCCCCATCACACATAGCGACACTGGAATTGAACCCGGTCACAACAGTTGTACACATTTTCAACTGTAAAAATGATTGAAGTCTGTGCAGATAGAAAAGACTTGATGTCATCTGCCGCTGGATACCGTTTTACTGTAATATATCATCAATCTGTGAAGGACTAATGATCTAGAAATGGCACCTCCATCCTGACAGCACCCTCCACCCTCTAAACTGAGAGCTCTCCTTTTACCCCAATAATCTATTTTGTAGCTGTGTGCAGTAGAAAGATGACAGCCACGACAAACAAAAATGGAAAAATACATCAACCATTATCCTTCCATTCTTTTTCATATACTGTACGTACCTGTGAATAAGAAAAAAATGAGAGCCATAATCATGGTGTATCCAAAGTACAGGATGGTGCTGGCCAGTCCAGTGATTTGCAGCTTAGAGAAGAAGTAATGAATGGCGTAGACCAGGAAATAGACAGCAGTGAAGCCGCTAGTCAGGAAGGAACGCCACTGCCAATGGTAGTCCTGTGAAAATGAAAACAACAGCCAGAGTTGCGATGTAAGGGAGGAAACACTCAGTTTTGTAAATTGAGGCCCTGACTGAATGGGTTGAAAGAGTGAGTGCCGCCTGTTATACAGAGACTGGTTTCCAGAGCCATGAACCACCTATCAATGCCTCCGAGTGTTAAATCAATCACAAGAACACAGAAGTCAGAACAAAATCAAATCTAAACCATAGAATAGGGGGCAGCATTCCACCTCTACTGGATTCATACAATCTAAATGAAACAAATTACTTGCAATGAATAATTTCATTCATATAAAAAAGCCAACTACTAACAAACAGCAGGGGAAGAATACATAAAGTTTAACCCAACTGCTGAAATGATGTGAGAGCCGGTCAAAATAACACTGCTATCTCATAATCTTCTCGTGTGGTGTCGGCCTAGAGTTAACTGAGCCATCTTTGTGTTGACTGTGGCAGCAACCAGGGCTGTACAGTCTGTGTACGTTTGGATAGTTTATTACTGGCCAAATAATAATAATAATAATAATACAAAAAAATGCTGATGTTGACATCTTCAATTCAAAAACGTCAGTTTTAATTTCATCTCTTTAACATAATATATGGTAATGCATTAATTGTGCTGTTTACCTCAGCACATAAATGGAAGTAGCAAAGCAGGATGGTGGCCTCAGAGCAGGTGATGACCAGGATGATGAAGACAAGGAAAAGGAAGCCAAACATGTAGTACATCTGATGGGACCTGGAGGAAAGGCAGAAATATGTCCTTAAATGGACTGCAGTAAAGACAACAGATCAAACATATCACTGTATGAAAATACATCAAATTGTTGGTTTGCCAACATATTTGGTGATAGATACAGTAGATGTTTTTAAAGACTATTTTCTTTTGCCATTTTTGCCTTTATTGGATTTTCTATGACATGCAACAAATGTCCCTGGCTGGTTAGAATTTAACCCCTTGACATGTCATTAATGTCTAGTTCTGCCAAATTAGATTATTCAATTGGGGTTATCATATACTCTGTCAACGTTGAAGTTGATGAAAAGTCAGGTAATTTCTCTTAATGAGCAACTTTTCAGCAATAGAAAAATACAGTTAATTAGGATAATATGTCCCACTATAATCTAAAAAACAAGTATGAACAATGTATTTATGCTCGAGACACTTCAGAAGTACAGTATGAAACAACTATTTTACAAAAAGGTTATACTTGATTGTATTCTGTTCCATTTGTCATATACTTATTCTCCCAATCAAAATCAGCTTCCGATTAGGTGAGAAGTAAATCAATGGAGTTGCAGAATTGTGCTTCTTATTATATCTAGAATGGCTAGTTGTAATACCTGTTAATGTGTTTCAGGCTTTCAGAGGTTGTGAGTCGCATCACCATTTCACGATTCCCCACAGCTCTGACTAAAAACAACTGAACTGATACTTAGCTTTTCCATACAAAAACTGAGCTGGCAAGTTGTGTTTAGACTTTCTATGACTAATAACTGTTTCTTTATTCTCACCAGATGGAGTTTAATATGAAGAACAGCTGAATAAATATACATCCAAAAGGCAGAATTCCTCCCATGATGATACCAGGGAAAGGCTTTGTGTAGAATGACTGCTCTGGGACTTGACGAGGAATCTGATTGGTCCGCACTGGGTGCTCAATACCCTTAAACAATCAGTCACAGTGTAGAAAGAGAAGAGAATTAAACATGGGTACACCCTGAAATAGTTACTCCAAAGCAAATTATGACAGAATGCATTACCTATAAATGGATGTACGTTTATATTTACTTACTGCCTTCTTGAAGCCAAAGTATGCTCCTATAAAGGTAAGAGGCACTGAGATACAGAACCAAAGAGCCAATATGGCCACCAGGGTTCCAAATGGCATGGCTGCCGAAGACCCTTCACCCCACAGGATCAAGTTCATCACAAAGAAATCTGCAAATACCACCCTGAGCAGAGACAGAGGGGATGTAAATGAAGGAGTTAATGAGTGTTCCTCTCATGTTGGTAACCTTCTACCCTGGTGTTGTGTCCATTATTATGTTCAGCGTTTGAGTCAGTCTTACCCAGGACAGAGAAAGGCTGTCAGCAGAACGTTGGTCTTCCACTTCTCTCCTCCAAAAGCTGTCAATTAACCAAACATAAAGACAAAGAAGAAAAGGATTTATAGAAATCAAATCAAACTGGATTAGGAAAATAATCGCTAGCTGCAGCCCTACCTGGAATCATTTTTCTGCGTATTCTCTTTTTCCGTCAACATAAAACACTTCCCTTTTTCCTCTCTCACTTACATTTGTAGAGGCGAGCAGCCACATATCCAGCAGGAGTTCCCAGAAGAACCCAGAGAACCACAGCACATGTCATCAGAGCCCCACGGTTCGCAGGAGAGAGGAACCCAAGACAGGCAAAGACTGGAGAATGGGGAGATTACATTTTTACATTTGGCGCTAGGAGAAGTAAGGCCCTACTGATACTGGATCGTTTAGGTTAAATATTGATAACATTTTCATGTAGACAAATCATTTCAAAAACATAGAACATCCACAGAACTATGAGAAAGGTGCAGAATATTAGCATTGTTTTCCCAACAAAAATATTATGATTGTATACAATAATGTTTACAATTTTGACGGTTCCAAAATGAATGTTTTGTATATCTCCGTGGAAGACATCTGGTTCCCGATTCTTACAAGGCTAGTGAGCCAATAGTACAATGACGGCATTATCACGTGGCATCTCTCTGTTGTCAGTGATCAAGCTGCCAGTTAGTGTGGAAAAAAACTGATAAATGGCTAAGTTTGACAAAAAGCGCACCGCTTAATGCCAGTTCAGCTACAAAAGGAGTCAGTCTCTGCCACGCCTGGCCTCACTGACACTGATGTCTGAATGTCTTGAATATATACAGTTGTTTGAAGGAGATGTTTTCACAGCAATAAAAAATATATAATAAAAAGGGAATTGTGACCCGTTTAACTTCCTAACATTATCTCTAAGCAGTTTATAATACATCATGATACCTACTCATGCCAAGATTTATTTTGATCAATTTCCTAATCATTTGAATTGTGTGTTTTTCATGCAAATAACCACTATAGATGACCACAAAAGGATAACATTTAGCAGCTTTGACCATCTACACTGACTTCAGTGTGGTTGAAATGATTATTGGGATGGTGGTGAAAAAAAGTAGACTGGAGACTTGTATACCAGCTGCTATAACAAAAAAAACAAAAACAAACAATCTGTATCAGCCGATATGGCTCATTAACGATCGGCAATTGCATCAGCAGCAAAATAACGTAATCGGGGCTTCTCCCTATTTTTCTCATGATCTGATCATTGGTTTAAAACAGTGATAGGATCCAAATTGGGAGTTTTATGATCCTCTGCAACTCAACTGAACACAGTCTTACTCCGCTATTGTGCATCTGTATAAACCGGTGAAATTAATCAAAAAGTTTATTTATTTTAAAATAAACTTCAATGTTCTCTGGTGCACAAACTTTGCAATGGAGACACTGATTCTAAATGACCTCAACACATTTCTTGTTACTTATCAGCAGATATATACCGATACCTTGATATCTGGGATAAGCTCATTTTGGCTGGTAAATTTCTAGAATTTAACTTAAATATTAGGGTTGGGGGATTTGTTTAAAACCTAAATATAAATATTTATAACTGTTTAAATCAGTGTATAATCACCTGAAACTATGAATTGTAGTGTTTTCCTTAGCTTACAAAAAGCCATTTATATCTACGTCCTGTTGCACCTCCATGTTTCTACAGCAGCCCAGAACGGCTGGCGAGAGCTATCTGCGTTTGAAGGTAGGGATGTTTACCGAAACACTGTATTAAACGGCCCCGATCCTAAATTATTAAAGATTGTAGTATTTATAAGCTCCGGCATTACTGTTTTTTTATTTAATGTTTAGTTTTGATGCAGCTGTGGTGAAGTGATGCAGCTGTGTTGACGGGAACTACGCTCGTTACTGTACGTGCAATAAAGTATTTGCGAGTAAAAAGCCAAAACTTTATCAATACATCTTTGCAACAAGAATGAACATGACAGACAAGAGGGCAGAGGACAGGAGGAATGACTGATACTGACGGATGTCTATGTTCTTCTTCATGCAATCTGCAACTCACCAGTAGATGTCACTAAATCTTACACACTGTTGCTTTAAGATCTGTTACATTGCACAATGTAAATGTTCCCTGAGTTGTCCTGAAGAGAGGCAGGGCAGTACATAAGATATTTTGTGCAATTTTACACTATTTTTCAAAGCCGGAATAATAGACTTTTTGTAATTATTTGATACCATGAGATGTTGCATGTAAGGTGAAGAGTCAGGCCTGGAACCCCTGAATCTATGACTATTTTTTTTAAATTCTTATAAACAATTATGAAGATTAAAAAGACATACAAAGGGTGACGAAGGTCATAATGAAGATCTGGGTTCCAGAGCCGAGGAAAACAGACAGCAGCATTCCCTTCCTGGGAGGTCGGAAAACATCTCCATGGACCAACTTCCACCCAAACTCCTCCTGAGCATCCTCCTGGAGAACAAGACAGATGAACAGATATGACGACAACACACCCCTAATGTCCATCATCATTGTGTCACGTTCTAGTAGTGTCATAATTGCCATGTCTGATTATGTTGAATATGATAGTAAATATAAAGTTAGTTCATCATTGCTGCAACTATGAACTTTGAACTATTTGCAAACTTTTAGACCACAGCTTAATTTCCTTAATCAGAAGTGATCCACACAGACAGGTACTCACCACAGAGTCCATCTGATTGTATCGGGCGATATCTTTATGCAGAGTCCTCAGCATGATCATTGCTACCATTCCAGACAGGAACAACACAATCACCATTGAGTTCATTATGCTGGGGATGAAAAAAAACACCCAAGCCAAGTTAGTTATGGCTGTTTAACTAATTTGGCTCATTTCTTAATTCATGTTGTATCAGTGGGTTGTCTCTGTACTTTGAGACAACAGGTCAGCTAATAGACACCAGGGTTGATCAATGGTTTAAAGACACACAAACTGCTCAAACTGAGAGCATGCAGCTTAGAAAATCTAGCAAAGAAGGCCCCTATTGCTTAATAAGATCCAGATGCTTGCTTTCTCAGCACTTCCACATCTGTCCCTGCATGCTCTCAAACCTTGATGTGTAAACTGATTCCCACTTGACTTTGTGTCAACAAATTTTGTTCATGAACTTCAAAACATCAGTGGCAGAAAATGCATGAACATAGGCTCAAAACCACAATTACTTCTAGCAAACAAAAAGCATTCATACATTTTTCCAGAGTTGCAAATTATGGCAAAACAAAGGATGTCAAATGTGTGTCAGTGTTTTGAGTCTTACCTGAACCACTGGATGTTGGTGTGAGGCATTGACTCTAGGATATAGTCCCATCTAGATGCCCAACGAATATTCGTGTCTTCCTACAGACGCAACCATACACACAGTTTACATAGTTACGTCCCTTTACATCCAAATCTATGTATGTATGTACAGTTGTGTGAAAAAGTGTTTGCCCCCTTCCTGATTTCTAATTTTTTGCATGTTTGTCACACTTAAATGTTTCAGATCATCAAACAAATTTAAATATTAGACAAAGATAACACAATTAAACACAAAATGCAGTTTTTAAATGAAGGTTTTTATTATTAAGGGAAAAAAAAAATCCAAACCTACATGGCCCTGTGTGAAAAAGTGATTGCCCCCCCCCCTGTTAAAACATAAATTAACTGTGGTTTATCGCATCTTTGGAAAGCCGAGTTCAATTTCTCTAGCCACACCCAGGCCTGATTACTTCCACACCTGTTCTCAATCAAGAAATCACTTAAATAGGACCTGCCTGACAAAGTGAGGTAGACCAAAAGATCCTCAAAAGCTAGACATCATGCTGTGATCCAAAGAAATTCAGGAACAAATGAGAAACAAAGTAATTGAGATCTATCAGTCTGGAAAAGGTTACAAAGCCATTTCTAAAGCTTTGGGACTCCAGCGAACCACAGTGAGAGCCATTATCCACAAATGGCGAAAACATGGAACAGTGGTGAACCTTCACAGGAGTGGCCGGCCGACCAAAATTACCCCAAGAGCGCAGCGACGACTCATCCAAGAGGTCACAAAAGACCCCAGAACAACATCCAAAGAACTGCAGGCCTCACTTGCCTTAATTAAGGTCAGTGTTCATGACTCCACCATAAGAAAGAGACTGGGCAAAAATGGCCTGCATGGCAGAGTTCCAAGACGAAAACCACTGCTGAGCAAAAAGAACATAAAGGCTCGTCTCAGTTTTGCCAGAAAACATCTTGATGATCCCCAAGACTTTTGGGAAAATACTCTGTGGACTGACGAGACAAAAGTTGAACTTTTTGGAAGGTGTATGTCCCATTACATCTGGTGTAAAAGTAACACGGCATTTCAGAAAAGGAACATCATACCAACAGTAAAATATGGTGGTGGTAGTGTGATGGTCTGGGGCTGTTTTGCTGCTTCAGGACCTGGAAGACTTGCTGTGGTAAATGGAACCATGAATTCTGCTGTCTACCAAAAAATCCTGAAGGAGAATATCCGGCCATCTGTTCGTGACCTCAAGCTGAAGCGCACTTGGGTTCTGCAGCAGGACAATGATCCAAAACACACCAGCAAGTCCACCTTTGAATAGCTTAAGAAAAACAAAATGAAGACTTTGGAGTGGCCTAGTCAAAGTCCCGACCTGAATCCGATTGAGATGCTGTGGCATGACCTTAAAAAGGCGGTTCATGCTCGAAAATCCTCCAATGTGGCTGAATTACAACAATGATGATCTTTAATTTGAAATGTCTTTAACTAACATAACTACATGAGTGTCATTACGTTGTTTACTTCCTCCACATTCCAGCATGGGCAATTTTCAGTTTCTAGCCAAGGTCTTCTTTAGAGCCTAACAAAACAGCATAAACACAGAGACAGCACAATTGTACTAACCACAAAGTTGACAGAGTAAGTGTATGGGATCTCAAACACTCCTGTGTGTTTGTTTCTCAGGAACTTTGGCCCCCCAGAACAAGCAGGGCTATCTTCATTAGAGTTGTCATAGCTGGATGGAGAAAGTAAGACAAAAGAAAAAGATTAAAGAAGTAAAGTTTACCAGTTAATTTGCATATTGAGATCTGATCACAATACAGGCAGGACCTAAAAGAACGCTAATGAATACCGTAACATTCTACTAGTCTGTGGAATGAATGGCTTTCATACCAGTGGCCAGCACCAGAGGAGCATCCCCAAAAAGTTCTACAGTTGACCCAAATGTAAAATTACCCCACATTGAGCTGAAGTCATAGGTGCCTAGCTCCAGAATGCTTCTAACAAATGTTTCAAATGAACAATGAAACAATATAACCAATGCATAAATATATATGCAATATAAAGGGTGAAGATGACATCAGGATGACAAAACTGTATGACAGGTGGATGTAATATTAATCATATGTCAGGTCACTGGTTCAGGACAGCTCCATACCAGCTAAAACTGTCACCTTTTGGGTTCAATCTTGGCAGCAACCAATCGAGCTCCCAGTTGTTCATTCTCAACGATGTGGTAATGGATGGTGATGTCCACATGGTTAAAGATGTAAAAAGCATCCTTCTCATTAAAATTAGACTGGAAAACAAAATTGAGACACAAAAGGTTCAAAGCACAGACAGGGTTATAATGTGGTATTACAGTAACAACTATGTGTAGGATAAGAAGCATTCTGACATTGTGGGCAGAAACAAATGCAAAATGACACTGTGGCAGACAATGATGCATGCCGCTGACCCGTTTCAACCCCACAGCAAATCTGACCCATAGACACTAAAGATTAACTCGTTAAAAAAACAAGAACAAAAAAACTTTGACAATAGGTTGATAGATTCCATGCATAGTGGCCTTAAAAACCTAATGTTACAGTATTTAGTAGCTGCCAACAGTGTCAGTGTCACTGATGTAACAGAGACCACTGTCTAATTTTAATACAGATTGAATCTTGTAAATTACTAGTCTTTTGTGAATATGCTGGATTGATTAAATGTTAGTTATACTGTTGAAGAGGGCTTTGCGTGTGTCCATGTGCAACCCACTCACGTTGACCACGCAGGCATCTTTGGGTCGACCTGCTTCTGTGACGAAACAGCCAATAGGGAAACCAGGATTACAGAACTTCTGTCCATCTTCAACATCATAGCACCAAGTGACTGGCATGTTATCCACAATCCTTCACACAGACACACACACAAAACAACAGCCTGTGATGCTCACTAATGTACACAGTGCACTGACAACAGCATACTGAACTTGGTCTTTTACACGACACATGCCAGAGACTGACTTATAAGATGTTATAACGATAAAAAGTATCTGCAGACACATTTAATAACACAATAGCACCAAGCGTGTTATACACTTACCTGTTTAACACATCCCTTAATGTATTTCCATATGTATTCTCACATACAGTGGGTACGGAAAGTATTCAGACCCCTTTAAATTTTTCACTCTTTGTTTCATTGCAGCCATTTGCTAAAATCAAAAAAGTTCATTTTATTTCTCATTAATGTACACTCAGCACCCCATCTTAACAGAAAAAAACAGAAATGTAGAAATTTTTGCAAATTTATTAAAAAGACAAACTGAAATATCACATGGTCATAAGTATTCACACCCTTTGCTCAGTATTGAGTAGAAGCACCCTTTTGAGCTAGTACAGCCATGAGTCTTCTTGGGAATGATGCAACAAGTTTTTCACACCTGGATTTGGGGATCCTCTGCCATTCTTCCTTGCAGATCCTCTCCAGTTCCGTCAGGTTGGATGGTGAACGTTGGTGGACAGCCATTTTCAGGTCTCTCCAGAGATGCTCAATTGGGTTTAGGTCAGGGCTCTGGGCCAGTCAAGAATGGTCACAGAGTTGTTCCGAAGCCACTCCTTTGTTATTTTAGCTGTGTGCTTAGGGTCATTGTCTTGTTGGAAGGTGAACCGTCGGCCCAGTCTGAGGTCCAGAGAATCTTATTTCTCATAGTCTGGGAGTCCATCATGTGTTTTTTGGCAAACTCTATGCAGGCTTTCATATGTCTTGCACTGAGGAGAGGCTTCCGTCGGGCCACTCTGCCATAAAGCCCCGACTGGTGGAGGGCTGCAGTGATAGTTGACTTTGTGGAACTTTCTCCCATCTCCCTACTGCATCTCTGGAGCTCAGCCACAGTGATCTTTGGGTTCTTCTTTACCTCTCTCACCAAGGCTCTTCTTCCACGATTGCTCAGTTTGGCTGGACAGCCAGGTCTAGGAAGAGGTCTGGTCGTCCCAAACTTCTTCCATTTAAGGATTATGGAGGCCACTGTGCTCTTAGGAACCTTGAGTGCTGCAGAAATTATTTTGTAAACTTGGCCAGATCTATGCCTTGCCACAATTCTGTCTCTGAGCTCCTTGGGCAGCTCCTTCGACCTCATGATTCTCATTTGCTCTGACATGCACTGTGAGCTGTAAGGTCTTATATAGACAGGTGTGTGCCTTTCCTAATCAAGTCCAATCAGTTTAATCAAACACAGCTGGACTTCAATGAAGGAGTAGAACCATCTCAAGGAGGATCAGAAGAAATGGACAGCATGTGAGTTAAATATGAGTGTCACAGCAAAGGGTCTGAATACTTATGACCATGTGATATTTCAGTTTTTCTTTTTTAATAAATTTGCAAAAAATTCTACATTTCTGTTTTTTTCTGTCAAGATGGGGTGCTGAGTGTACATTAATGAGAAATAAAATGAACTTTTTTGATTTTAGCAAATGGCTGCAATGAAACAAAGAGTGAAAAATTTAAAGGGGTCTGAATACTTTCCGTACCCACTGTAAGCATTTAAGTCCACCTCACATTTGACACCACCACATCACCCACCACCACTTGTTCTATATGGATCAATTTTGTTTTGTTTGTTGTTACATTTTTAAATCGCCACGTTTGTTAGTAATATACTTATTTATTTATTCGATCCACTACCAGACCATCTCTTGCCCACGTCCTGACGCCGTCTCACTCCCTTCTTCCTCTCCTTGCAGTTCTCCTACAACTGCTAACGGCCAGTGGAAACACTGGGTGTTTTTTGAAATTTCATCGTATTGGATTGTGATGTTTAATACAAAAATAATTCTAATTTTTACAGAAATGCTTGAAGGCATCATAATGCAAGTCAATGCAACGTTAACATCAGCTGTTAGTTCCGTTATAAGCAGGATTGTGATGGGGAGAGACTGACGGCAGACTGTCACTGTGATTACTCTGAGCAGCATGCATGGCAATAGATTGCAATATAATAAGTGTCTCATTAAGTTAGTTGTTCCAAATGTTTTAAAGAGTGTTCCTCCAAGGCTGTGACATCAACGTCTGTGCTGCTGTTTGCCAAAGTAAAACTATCATGCGCCACATGTGAGTAAATGTGACCGGCAAATAATCGTAAATATGAGACTGACCGGCAGACGATTGATCGGTGCATCTCTAGTTAATGTACAAATTCGAAGAAATTTTGTTCAAGGTGAGAGATATCGCACACACAAGAATGGACCGGACGGACGGACAAATTAACCCGAAAACATAATGCCTCAAGCCACGGCAACACGGACCTTCAAAGTCCAAATTTTAGCCACCTAGGACAAAAACTGTTTAGTTGGAGTTTATTGAATTGTTTCAAGCTGCTTAGATGTTGCAACATTTCTTGTGTACTTTAGTCCAGTTTGACATGTTCTGTTGTATTAGTTCACTTGTGGATATGTTAAAACTATGGCTAAAACACTGCCAGTTTTATCTGCATCTTGCCTTTTTTTGAGCTAGCACACTTCCTTGTCAGCCTCCACTCATATCTACTTTTGTCCACTGTGCTGTTGCAGTATTTATACCTTGCCTGATGAACCACAGGGATTGTTTTACAACTCGGACTCCTCATAATCCCATGGCTGTCTCACACACCTTGTGATCTGAAACTCATTGTGTTGGCTAATAACACACTCGGGGGACAGTACGCTTCCCTTACTACTCCTTCCAACATAAAGTTAGGACAACTGATCAAACCAACTCATATAGTTTCTACTATTTATCAAAATGAAGGTTGACCAAAATTACAAGTTTTCCACATCACACAGTTAATGTGTTTTGGTGTATGTGCAGGTGTAAGTCTTTAAAGATTTGGTTGCATTTTCCTTCACTTTATGATATGTGTATGTCAGTGAACCATACATACCAGTGATGCTGGTAGTTGAGTAACATGCCTTTCTTGAGGAAGTCCAGTTTGGCTTTGTCTAATGGGTTGTTGGTGTTGTAGGTTCTGGTACACACCTTCTGACACGCTGCAGGTTTCTTAAACTCAAACTGACACACAGGACATAGTTAGTATGTGTATGCTCTTTGACACCATAACAACTGGGTTTTGTTTGTTTGCCATCACTATTAATAATCATTCTTCACTGTGCTACATTTACAACTAAACTCATTTGGAAATATCATTTTTTTTGACATTGTATTACATCTCATTGAAAGTGATTATGTGGATAGTTTTGTTTAACACACTGACCAGAATTTCAGCATGATAGCAATTGTGTGCTTAAGTATGCCTTATTCTTAACCCCTAACCTGTGATGATATTCATTAGCCTGGTGAGGACCTGGGAAAGTTGTTGCCTGTTCAGTCTTAGGGGTGGGTGATAGATCAGAAATTTTTAGCACAGAATTTTCGGGGAGTTATGCAGTGACGTTATTATATTAGGGTACTACAAAATTAATAAAGGATACTACACACAAAACATGAATCTACCAATCTTCACTCTATTGGCAATGTAAGGGGACATATCTTAAGAGAGTAAAGTATATTTAAAAAAAATGCAAATGTGTTTTCACTCAAATAAGAATGAAAATTAGGTCTTGACCTACATGTGTTTTGGAAGGAGGACCCTGCCCCATAATGTAAAGCGATTCATTTGTGGTATACCGCCCACCCCTAGTCAGCCTAATATAGTCCTAGAGCTTAAAAGTCCTTCATTTTTAACATCACATTCAGGAGGCCAGGTGAGCAACTTGGGATTCAGTGTCTCGCTCAAAGACATGCGGACAGGAGGAGCCAGAGATCGAACTGCCAACCTTGTGATTAGAGGAGGACCCACTCTATCCCCTGAGCCCCCCAGTTGTCTCAGCTATAATCCAATTTTCTGTATCTGGCCTAAAAAGAGTAGATTGCATCTGCAAACAACAACCTTCTGTGTGTATTTTGTGTATGTAAACTTTGCCATTGACAGACTTCATTGAAGAAATTCAACATCCCCTCAACAGTGAAGTGAATGAGTGAGTGTCTCAATGTTTGTTGCTGTAAAAGTGTGTGACTGTGTGTGTGTTTCTGTAGATGTGTATTACCTTGTATGGTGAGGGTTCAATCCTCTCCCCAAATAGAACCTGGCCCAGATTCTCCGATGGACGTTTCATTGTTTTCTCTGAGCAAAAGTCGAACCTACGCAAACAGGAGGCGACTGTTTAAAATATTGGGGCAGAATACATTAAAAACCATTTAATTAACATTACACAGTAGATTTCTAGATGAGAGAACTCAAAATGGATAAGACGTAGAGGCTCTCTGCTTCCATTAGTACAGACACACTGTTGAAACTCCATTGAATGAAATAAGACAACTGCTGCTGTGTTGTTTTAATCACGCTGAAATTATCATCATGCTTTCAACAGTTCTGATCATTGTTGGAAATTAACTTTTATTATTCCAAAATCTACCAGCCACTCAATACATTACCATTTACGTATACTTTTGGCTGGTGAGTGAAGCAAATCTACATCCAGTTATGTGCACAATAATGGTTTTCATAACCAGAATTTACTATTTACATTAAGTCTCATGTGATTAAAGCCATGAAAAAAAAAAAATTAAAGAAAAGAGTAAACTTATAGCATAAGTAAAGGTGTTCTCTGTTACAGTTTATGCATTTAATGGGTGAAATGGCTCAATATTTACCTATTTATCCACTTTAGCTTTAAACTGCAACAATAATTCTATAATGCTTTTGGACAAAACTAATGCACAGAGAAGCAAGTTGTGCAGCCTGAGGGAATAACTCAAAAGGGATAAAATCATACAAAAGCTACAACACAGACACATTGGTACAGTGTTAAGCACCTTGCACTTACGCAGTATATTCATAAGGCAGAACAGACTCCACTGAATCCAACCTGTTCACAAACAGCTCAATGGTCGACTAGAATTAAACAAAGCAGACAGACGCATATTAGCAAGACAGGAATATTGCTTCAATCAGGCTTTCATTTTCATGTTGTTAGCTATTGATTCTTGATTGCTTGGTATTGGTCTTTTTTCACCTTGTTGAGAGGACATTGCAATAACATTTTAAAAAACAGCTATGCGTCTTTCCAGAAACAATGTTCTAGATACTCTGGGTAAGTAAGAAAATGTGTTGTTTTTGTAATTTGGGTGAATGAATAAATCATGAAAAAGTCCAAAGGATAAATGCTTTATACATACACCACAGTCCCGTTTGTTGTGGTTGAAGCCCCCTCGCCAAGTGTATTGATAATGCCTGGTCACGTAATGCAAAGTGAAACTCTGCCGACCCTCAACTGGTTCTGCGCCACCGCAACACGGGCAGCGCAGACGAAGGAAGATCAGGGCTAGAGACTAATGGTGATAGACAATGGCAACAGAGGTTGCACTGAGTTACATTATGATGCCTTCATTTTGTCCGGTAAACGTGGCATTCCCAGGTAACACTCTCTCTCCAGTGTGTTCTGTGTCTACACCCCGGCCTCTTACCAGTTTGAAGTGCCTGGAAAACCTCTAAAGGAAGGGCTTCATGAGGCATCATGATCAGATGCCCGAACCACCTCAGCTGGCCCCTTTGGACAATAAGGAGCAGTGGCTCTACCCTGAGCTCAATACCGATGTCTGACCTCCGTAGCCTACAAAGGAAGCTCAATTTGGCCGATTGTATCTGCAATCTCATTCTTTCGGTCACTACCCAAAGCTCATGGCCATAGGTGAGGGTTGGAATTCCGCTGGACTGGTACATTGAGAGCTTTGCCTTCCAGCTCAGCTCCGTCTTCACCAAAACGGCTGCTAATGCTGCACAGGTTTATTGTACAGTGGGGAAAAAAAGTATTTAGTCAGCCACCAATTGTGCAAGTTCTCCCACTTAAAAAGATGAGAGAGGCCTGTAATTTTCATCATAGGTATACCTCAACTATGAGAGACAAAATGAGAAAAAAAAAAAAAAAATCCACAAAAATCACATTGTCTGACTTTTAAAGAATTTATTTGCAAATTATGGTGGAAAATAAGTATTTGGTCAATAACAAAAGTTCATCTCAATACTTTGTTATATACCCTTTGTTGGCAATGACAGAGGTCAAACGTTTTCTGTAAGTCTTCACAAGCTTTTCACACACTGTTGCTGGTATTTTGGCCCATTCCTCCATGCAGATCTCCTCTAGAGCAGTGATGTTTTGGGGTTGTCGCTGGGCAACACGGACTTTCAACTCCCTCCACAGATTTTCTATGGGGTTGAGATCTGGAGACTGGCTAGGCCACTCCAGGACCTTGAAATGCTTCTTACGAAGCCACTCCTTCGTTGCCCGGGCGGTGTGTTTGGGATCATTGTCATGCTGAAAGACCCAGCCACGTTTCATCTTCAATGCCCTTGCTGATGGAAGGAGGTTTCCACTCAAAATCTCACGATACATGGCCCAATTCATTCTTTCCTTTACACGGATCAGTCGTCCTGGTCCCCTTGCAGAAAAACAGCCCCAAAGCATGATGTTTCCACCCCCATGCTTCACAGTAGGTATGGTGTTCTTTGGATGCAACTCGGCATTCTTTCTCCTGCAAACACGATGAGTTGAGTTTTTACCAAAAAGTTCTATTTTGGTTTCATCTGACCATATGACATTCTCCCAATCCTCTTCTAGATCATCCAAATGCTCTCTAGCAAACTTCAGACGGGCCTGGACATGTACTGGCTTAAGCAGGGGGGACACGTCTGGCACTGCAGGATTTGAGTCCCTGGCGGCGTAGTGTGTTACTGATGGTAGCCTTTGTCACTTTGGTCCCAGCTCTCTGCAGGTCATTCACTAGGTCCCACCGTGTGGTTCTGGGATTTTTGTTCACTGTTCTTGTGATCATTTTGACCCCACGGGGTGAGATCTTGCGTGGAGCCCCAGATCGAGGGAGACTATCAGTGGTCTTGTATGTCTTCCATTTTCTAATAATTGCTCCCACAGTTGATTTCTTCACACCAAGCTGCTTACCTATTGCAGATTCAGTCTTCCCAGCATGGTGCAGGTCTACAATTTTGTTTCTGGTGTCCTTTGACAGCTCTTTGGTCTTGGCCATAGTGGAGTTTGGAGTGTGACTGTTTGAGGTTGTGGACAGGTGTCTTTTATACTGATAACGAGTTCAAACAGGTGCCAATAATACAGGTAACGAGTGGAGGACAGAGGAGCCTCTTAAAGAAGAAGTTACAGGTCTGTGAGAGACAGAAATCTTGCTTGTTTGTAGGTGACCAAATACTTATTTTACCGAGGAATTTACCAATTAATTCATTAAAAATCCTACAATGTGATTTCCTGGATTCTTTCCCCCCATTCTGTCTCTCATAGTTGAAGTGTACCTATGATGAAAATTACAGGCATCTCTCATCTTTTTAAGTGGGAGAACTTGCACAATTGGTGGCTGACTAAATACTTTTTTCCCCACTGTAATTGTCTTCACTTCTCAGTCCAAAAGTCACAATTTATTGAAAAAAAAAAAAAAAAAAAAAATGCAGTTCGGCATTGGTCAATTAGAAAATTTCACGTCTTAAGTTTCCTGACCACAATAACTGCAATTCACAATATTATCCTGCAACTCACTACTTGCCGGAGCCCCGGCCATTAGACCTCTGGAGCTTGTCCAGAAAGCTGCAGCTAGCCTGGTGTTCAATCGCCCCAAGTTCTCCCACACAACTTCCCTTCTCCGTTCTCTACACTGGCTCCCTGTAAGAGCTCACTTCCAGTTTAAGACTCTGGTGCTAGCCTAGAGGGCAGTGAAAAGAACAGCTCCTTCCTATCTCCAGACCATGGTGAAGCCCTACACCCCTGCCCGACCACTTTGCTCTGCTGCCTCGGGGCGATTGGTCGCTCAGAGGTCCCTGCAGCCGATCGACCCGGTCACGGCTGTTTTCTGTCCTGGCTCCACAATGTTGGAATGAACTCCCCACTGATGTCAGGACAGCAGAGTCGCTGCCCATCTTTCGGCGCATGCTGAAAACTCACCTCTTCAAGAAGTACTACCCTGAGCCTTACACTCAGCACTCATTGTATTCATACTAGTTTGTTGCACTTATTGTATTCGTTTGTTTCTGCACTATTTAACCTCACTTTACCTTACATTTTGTCAAGAAACAAATGTTTGTATTGCTTCACAGATAGATTGTTTTTCAGTGAACATCCTTTTTTGTGAAAAACAATCAATCTTAAATAAGGTAATCATAAATCATGCCCTTGCATAAACAAAAAATAGTGGACGTCTGTTCTTTCTTAAATATTTTTTTGTATTTCTTTAAAATCAAGCTCTATTTTTCACTTCTTGATAGCGAGATAGACAGCTTTTTTAAGTCACTTGTGACGATATACAGGATCAACTTTATGTTGATCCCGAGTGTTTTTTATTGCCATCCGCGATAAAATCCTATATCATTTTTTTTAGGGTGCAGACGTCACAAAACATAACTACAAGCTTCCAAAGCGTCTTTCGAAAATCTTAATCAGAACTTTGAAAGTAAAAAAATGACTTTTTATAAAGCCCTACATTTTAGACTGCATTACTGTATGTTAATGTTTTAGTTTTTATAGTAACAGCCACATGGCAAAAAAAATCTGCAATTGAGTTTCCCAGCATATATAAGTTAGTTTAAAAGCTTAAAATCCAAAATACGCCCCCTGACTTTGCAAACAATTTTCAAAAGTCATGACGACTTTTTACCAGCCCTTAGAGTGCACCTCTAGTATATATAGTAAGAATAAAATATAATTTATCAAGAAAAAAATGTATAGAATATACAATAACATGCGTTACCTGTCCTGTAAAGTGTAATATATAAATATTGTCATCTGCGAGAAGTCTCAGACGTGAACTGACCAAGGCTCAAGCAGAACTGGGCTTGCATGTTCATCAGCTGATCACAAGCCATGTGGGGCTTTAAGCTCCCTGCAACAAATGATTGAAAGGGTCATAGTGCAGGACAAAGCTCTCCCACAGGTCCTCCATGCAGACAATACAACACCTGTTCCTTACTAGGCAGGACTTTGATATTCTGGAATCTGTGAATAAGGCATTGAGTCCTCTCAAAGAGATATAAAAATGACCTATATCTGGATAAAAGATTTTGGCCATATCGCCGAGCCCTAGAACCACATCATCTGCAAAGAGTTGAGACTCAATTCAGAGGTCCCCAAACCATAGACTCTCCTCCCCCTGGCCGTGCCTTGAGATCTTGTCCATGAAAATCACAAACAGAATCGGTGACAAGGGAGCACCCTGGCGGAGGTTGACATCCATTGGAAAACGTGTTTGACTTTGGGCTGAAGATACAGACACAGCTATCACTTTGGTTTAAGAAGTACCTGATTGCTTGTAGTAAGGACCCAGTTATCCCATAAAATGGGAACCCCAAACCCAGTTTGCCACTCCACAGGCACTGTCCCCGACCTCCATGCGACACTGAAAGAAGCATTTCAGTTAAAACAGCCAGAGCCTTCAGCCTCTAAGGGCAAATCTCATCCATCCTTGGCGCCTTGCCACCAAGGAGCTTTTGAACTACCTCAAAGACCTCTGCCAGGGATATGGATGAGTCTTCCACAGTCTACAAACTCTGCCTCCTCCACGAGGTTGCGTTGACTTGCATGGTATGTTTAAGCTTTTTTCAGATGAAAATGAGAAGTGGACAAAAGTTAGAATGCTATCATGGTGTGTTCAAATGTAATCTTGTAAAATGTAGTTTTTGGTGAGGAATATATACAGTTGTTAGAAGGAGATGTTTTCACAGCAATATAAACTAGATACATTTTGACCAGTTGAACTTCCTAACACTAACTCTATGACGCTTATAATAGATCATTAAAACTACTATTGCCAAGTTTTTCAATAAAAATACAATTATTTATTTCCTATTCATTTGAATTGTGTGTTTTCTGCAAATAACCACTATAGTTGACAAAAAGTAAAATAAACATTTAGAATTGTATTTGGTTTACACTGACTTTGGGATGGCTGAAATTATGCCACACAGTTGCTATACTAGTGCATTACCCTGTCAGAAGCATTTATATTGGAAAAATATACTGTCATACACCGTTACCGTCCATGCTTCAAAATTATACCGTGCTATAAATTTTAGGCCAGCCCCATGTCTGTCATATTTTATGATAGAAAAAAGAGAAACATTTGATTTAGCGTTGTTGTAGTTAGTATATAAATGCAGGTTCATTTATGGTTTTGTTAGATAGCTGGAGACAGTTTTGCCCGCAGAGGCTTAAAGCTAGTAATTGATTCGATCGATTTGATTGAAACAAAAAATTTTCTTAGATAAAAAGATGTTGTGAATTCTGGAAATTATTACATCTTTCTATATAGGACTGAGCGCCGCAATGCTTGCTGTGTGTGCATGAGAAACAGAGTGACATCCTTTGGTTTACTAGTGGTAGTAAGTATAGTCAGTCTAACATGTCTAGGCACCCTATTAGTGGCTTGTCTTATAAAGTATGTTTGTTGCTGTGAGCAAAAAAGTTGGGTATCATTTAGTTTTTATATTCTAATTAAGCCACCAGGAGTCAATATAATTTGGAAATATCTGATACTAGATTGATGTCCAGAATATCGACGATAATTTGATCTATTTAGCTAAGGCTGTACAGTTAACTTTAGCTTATCTTTGTATCCGTTAGCTTTGCTGTTTTTTTTTTTTTTTTTGGCTAACGTTAGCAACCTTACATATAGTTACATAAAGCTAACTGTTTATAAAGAACTACTGTAAGCTAGCCCAGCTACTGCCTTTTGTGTATTTATTTAGTGGTTGCACTATATATTGGATATTCAGTTATTTTGTTGTCAACATCTGGCAGCTAACGTTACACAGGTGATCTGTGACATGTTATGTTTACCTTGCAGTCTGGGACTTGGTCTTTTCCAGGCTCACAGAAGTTCACGGGTGCCAGACCCGGGAGGTAGAAGCCTACCGCTCGAGACAGCAGCGCAGCTCCAAGCAGCCAACGCAACATCTTCTCACCTGCCAATTTTCACTCAATATTTAGACAGTTAACTTGCTCCTCTTCGCAGTTCAAACTGCATCTGACATCTACACTGGACAGCCACCAGCATCCGGTTCTGCAGCGGCAAACACGTCACAAGACGGAAGTCCTGCTTCGTGAAGTGGCGCATTCTCCTTCTTTCTTTTTTGAGGTATATTGGCGGTTGGCAAACAATGAATTGGTGCATTACCGCCACCAACTGGTATGGAGTGTGGATCAGGATGTCTAGTACTTACAGTTTTTAATACAAAATAAATCAACTAATTAAATAAAATAAAATCAATTTAAAATGGGCTCACATTTTATTAGTAATATTAGGTAGCCTAAGATACTGAAATATTATTTGATAACACTTACTTCTTGAGTTCTTTTGCAGAATGCCTATTATATCAAAATGTAGTTTTATCTTGCTGAGGTTTCCAATTAGCTGCCTTCTCTCTTGCTCATGTTCTATTGTTTCCTCTTGCCCACAATAGTCACATTTCCCTGTATCATGTTAGAAGTGGAGCATTGTGGGATCGCGGAGAAATAGTAGTTACCTAGATGTAACTCCAGTTCTATGTGCATAGCCAGTAGCGAAGCCCATTAGAGGGCGGAGCACATACGAAATACATACATGAATTTTGCAATGTTGTTGCAACAGTACTGTAATTCTTACAAAAATAATAATGATACAATCAACATCATCCTTGTGTTGCATGGGTTTTCTCCAGGTCCTCCAGCTTCCTTCATTTACATTGTAAAGACATGCATGTTAATTGTTGACTCTAAATTGCCCAGAGGTGTAAATGTAAGCATAATTAGCTGTCTGTCTCTATAGTTTTAGCCCTATAGTGAAATGGAGATCCTTCCAGGGTGTACCCCACTTCTTGCTCAACGTTAGCTGGGATCAAAGATAAGCGGTTGGTCTACGGGATGGTTGGATAATAATCATCATCTACATTGTCAGTGTGATGATTGCAAAATGCACATACATTGCACTTAAAGGTAAGCCTAGCTCGAAACAATTATTAGAAGAAATTATAACATTTTGAATTAATAATTCAATTTTTGGAAGTGATGGAAATGAGAGATAGGCCTATGTTTTTCTTACTTTAACAATGATAATTCTTGCAAAATGTGTGCAAACCTGCAAGAATGAATCCCACTAATTCATTATTTTTGACTGCATTATCCAGGGGATATGAAGATAATAAGGAATGTCAATAATTGTGTGTACGAGTGGCCAAAAAGACATTCTCACCCTAAGCATCTGGGCCATTAGAAGTCCCCTGTGAGTGGTACAATGTGAATATGGGGTTTTTATGGAGTGCTGTGGAAAAGTTAAAGGTCATTATGGCCAAAGATGAATGAGCTGCTCTCCAATTAATATATTGTCCTTTACCCTCCATCATTCTTCAAAACAGTGATACGAAAACACAACATCTAACTGCAGTCCACAGAAAGTGCGAGACAGGGATTGAACCGCCAACTTGTGGTTAAGAGACGACCTGTTCTACCTACTGAGCCACAAGCACCCCTAAAAGACCCAACAAGTTCTCATTAGTTGACCATTTTTTAAGTAGGCGTATACCTAGTTAAACTAATGCAGTCTAATAGAACATTGCTGTAATAAATCCTCCTTTCATGAAGGCTCTAATGTTTAGTTTTTGTTGAAACTGTTTTAGAGTTTGAGTGTTGATTGTTTGATCATATTAGAGGATGTAGTTTGACCAATGCTGCATACAAGCCTTCAACGATATGGTGCGTTGTCTACATATTGCCCATTCTGTCACAAGTCCATATCTTTTCCAGTCTTGACCACAACGCCAGATTTTCTTCAAGTTGTTTGGAGAAAAGTTGTCCTGACCTTTCTTTTCCCGGGAAAAGACACGGTAGTCAAAGTTGGTGGAAATGTTCAATTAAGAATCATCAGTAGAATCTTGTAGAACTCTTCATCATTGCACTTTCCCGTTGACATTTTGAATGACAAACGACAGGCCAATTACAACAGACAGACGCGCTTTATTAGCTCCAGTTTCTCTAAAGCTTAGTGAGCCGGGAAAGCTGTCACAGTGGACATTGTCACAGTCATCAGTATTGTGTTGCCAACACAATACCATGGCTGGTTTAACTGTATCGCTTCTCCCTTATAGCCCAATCATTGGATCATGTCTGTACTTTCAGGTTGAAAATTAAACTACAGTGTGCTGTCTGGAACAGCAAACAACTTTCTATGTGACATATGGTGGCCCTAAAAGCTCAGCCCACTGCAGATTAAGAAATAACATGCAAATAGACAAAACACAAAACTTCACAAATTTGACCGCACACACAGCATCTCGAAAAAACACTGTGAACAAAGAACAAAACCAAATGCAAAAACTCCCTGGAAGTAGCAAACATGACAACGGAAACTGTTTCAAGGGGACACTAAAAAGTGATTCACACGACTGAAATTAGGTTAGCCTTTATTATCATTAGTCTACTAATTCAAATAATCTGTAGAGAATAAACTTGTAATTGTGCTATAAGTGTAGCGTAGCTGCTTTAGGGCTAACATTGTGTTTCTTTCAGAACCCATAATAAGGGATAAGCAAGTTAAATTACCATAATTCTATCATTAAAATTTTTTTATTTATATATATACATACAGTTCATTTATTTATATTAAGCCCTCTGAAGCAAATTTGTGATTTGGTATACAAAATAAATTGAATTTTGATTTGAATTGACTTTGAATAATCTTCTTTAATTAATCAACACCAATATGGCAAGACAGTGTACACCCAACTTCACTCTCTCTGGGTTCAAAGCAGACTCTCCACTCAACTGTTGCACATGTTACTCTGAGACTATCCACTCTTTTACATTTTAGTTTTAAACAATCTCTGCACACAAACAGTTAAGCACCATTTCAGAATATCAGTCTAGAGTGTATTGATGAGGTGGACGCAGAATTCATTCAATTTATTTGGCCATAACTCTCGTAGTGTATCGATGCACATGTGCATACAACACCTTGATCAGGACCTTGTTTGCAGAGGTCAAGTAATGTGCATTACAACCATACAATTACATTATATGTCTGCTGGGGACTGTCCAGTTGTGTAAATAAATGTAGTCTTGTCCTCAATATTCATGTTTAGCTAGCTTTTTCATTCCTGCCTTGAATGTCTGGACATATCTCTCTGCCAGAACATTTGTTGATAGATATCTCGTGGTGTGCAGAATTCCATTCTGCTTGTCAAAAGTCCTCAGATGTGCGTGTCGCTGTTGGTTCAAGCAGACCATAAGCGGTAAACAGTCTACTCATCCTTGTAATGGTAGCTTGTGAGGTGCTTTGTGACATGCGAAACACTTACAATCACTTAGTGTATGAATCAACCATCACCATGTTGTTCAAGAAGGGTCTGCAGTCTATATGAGGTCTCTTGCAGGACTCACCCGGTAACTCCCATTGGTGTAGTCGTGGAACCTGCTGAGGCACTCTTTGGTCCACGGGGAATGTTTCACATTCCTTGCAAATTTTCTACACATCAGTCAAGGTTTGGCCACCTTACAAACTTGCGAGCAAATTATTTAGTTTTCACTGTGCCTTGGTGCCCAGAATACATCTCTTTTAACATGCTCAACACAACCTAGCTCTGTGGACAGCTCATTTCTCCTCATGAAAAAACAAGCCAAACTTCCATGACATAACAGTACACTTAGTATATCTCACTGTTGGTGCATGTTGTCCTTGCAACTTGTGCGACATTTAGTGCTGCACCTTGTAAATGCGCTGCCTGCATTAAGTGGACTAAAGCTGAAGTCCAGGCAGTTCCTGTGTAGCTGGTCACAGGCAAAGGACAGCAGGAAGGTCCATCAGCATTACTTTGCTCTTCTGACTTGTTATAGACAATGTGTGTCATACACTGACAATATAATTGCACACCACTTAATGTATGCAGTGGCCAGTGTCATCGGGGGCGATGATCAGTAACTACGTTTAAGTGCCTACCCCACAGATACTGGTGGAATTTCTTTACACAAAATATCAGTCCAAGAGCTTCCTTCTCCATTTTTTTAGCTGGGGACAGTATTGGGAGGCTCGTAGTCCATTTTTCTGAAGCTGTTGTAGAACCTCCTGAAGTTTGTGGAGATATTCCTACTCTGAGGGTCCCATAATGAGCAGGTCATTACCACTGGTAAGTCTTTCATCAAATTTTCCATAATCCACTGGCAATCCCCGGTGGCTGTTGATGGTAGTGTATTTTTTGGAGTCATCATCCAGCAACACCTGCTGTTAAACTGCATGGAAAGTCTATCTTAGAGAGGACCTTACCGCTACCAAGGGTTGCTAAAAACCTCAAATTGAGGCAAAGGGTAGGTTTCCGTTTCAACTGTTAGATTTGCCGACACTATAATCACCACATAGGCTGAATTACATGTCCCTTTTCTCAACCGTTCCCATTCACTGTGCTTAACTGGAGGTATAATGTTAGCTTCCAGCTTCCTGAGCTTCGCCTCTCCTCTGTCTTTCATAGCAAATGTGAGAGATCTGTGTTTTCAAACTTTTGGAGGTACATCAAGTTTAACTCTGATTGAGGCTTTAATGTCTTTAAAAGTTCCTAACTCCTCTCTGACCACCTCTGAGTATTTATCCAGAACCTTACTAAGCGCCTACGCTTTGTCTCAGATACTTTATCTGCTGCCAGTTTAGCCTCAGTTTCCTCAGCCAGTTTCTGCCACACAGTGTTGATCCAGTTCCCAAGCTTTTTTCCTTGTGAAAGGATTCTCCTTCCAGCCACAGTATCAAATCTCTAAATCAACATTAGCTACAAAGAATGTTTCTTCACACAGTTTAGCATCTTCACTTGTTACAGAGAGTAGCCTCCTCTGTGCAGCAGACATCTGAAATAATATCTGAATTATATGATCACATAAAAAAAAAAAAATCCAAAACAAAGTAACTACATTTTAAACACCACTGAAGGATAACTGAGTCAAATAACTTCAACAGCCAAAAACGATGGCAACAATAAACGCATCTCAGTCGTATGCATTATGTTTTACTGTCCCCTGGAAACAGTTTATGTTGTCATGTGAGCTTTCTGTATTTGGTTGTGTTTTCTCTTAAGACAATTAGTATGATTTCTTCAAGAGTTTTTAAGATCACCACGTCTGTTAACCAACATAATAGTGACAAACTATTTTTTAACTTGGAAGTTTAGTGTTTATGCCACATATAGTTTCATTCCTTTGCCTGAGATGTCTGGGAACTGAAAGAGCTGCTTTTGATTAGTCCAAACTCCTGTCTGACAAGGGAAATAAAACCTAAAATGGCCCTCTAAATCAGACCTGTTCTGTCAAGCATCGGTTCATGGTGTAAAATCAAACGAACATGGCAACTGCACACATGTTGCTTTTACAAAAATTAATGATTTAAAAAATATTTCATCATGTGAAATCATCAGAGAAATCAGCCTCGTTACGGAAACAAAACCTGCTGCGCTTTTTAGCAACGTAATATTCACGTTCTGTGTGGAAGTACTCATGACGAAAACAATTTAAAAAAAAATATTGGCTTAAAAAAAAAAAAACACCACTGGTGTGTTAAGGACTTAAGTATGGTTGACAGCATTGATATTTTATCAAATCAATCGCCTTACCAAGACAGTGATTGCAGATGGTTCAACCTACAATTAATTTCAGGTTTTAGCCATAGTCACTCCACGTGGGTCAGGAATGAAGTGTCCAAATCCTGCAGGACAGACATCCAGCTGCTATCCATCCATTCCACAGTGGAACTGCAATTACACTTTCAGTAGTCTGTAGAGTAAGGTAGTTTCATGAAAGTGCTCAAGCAGCTGTGAAGAACAGCAACAGGTGTCTAGCAACAGGAGATGTTTCATACAGTACGTCTATTTGTGTACATCTCTTTTTGTGTGTCTCTGTAAAACAATGTCCAGTCTGGTAAGGAGTGTTCTCAAGAAGCCCCCCTTGGGCTGTCCTCTGGACATCTTTACAATGTGCTTCAGATATCACTGTATGGTATTACAACCAAACATAATGTCACCTGGTGGCAGTCAGTCAGTATCTGTCATGGTCTCGGCTGTGCATGTCCCTGGTCCATTTGATCATAGTCTCTGGAGATCGATAGAGGAAGATCAGTTTGCAGTAAAGTTCCTCTTCTAGCTCCAGCTCTCCTGTCTCACGCACCTGAATCACACAGAAACAATAGCTTGTGGATGAGGAAATTATTTTCCATGACACTTCCAACAATATGGCATCAACCATGTGTGTTTTGAGGACCCATTATTAAAAAGATATATGCTAATGATCATAATCATGGAAATATTCCATAATTCTTGGTTCAAGAACTGCTAATTAAAATCTGGAAAACATATTTTACTCAATTCCTGATATGTGTGTGCATGAGTACAGTAAATACATAATGTGTGTGTTAATATGCACACACGAGAAAGATGTCTGTGCAGAGCTTCAGAATGCGGTCCACACAGGGCAGCTCCTCAAACATGATGGAATGGGAGATCTCACTGAAGAAGCCACGCACAAACTTCCCAATGACTAAGACCACAGACACATAAAGACCCATGATCCTGAAAGGAGAGAAAAGAAAAATAATATTTACAATGAAGAAGGGAACAGTATGGATATCAAGAGCCGAGTCTCGGGAACGACCCGCCAATCTTTTGATTTAAAGTGGACCCGCTCTACCAGCCACAGCAACCCCCAGTTGTAGCCGAGGGTTACATTGCGCCTGCATTTTCTGATGGTAATAAAATAATAACACAAAGGCTCCATAGCCTGCACACAGACGGCAACGACTTTATTACTACAACCTTGTTAACAACAGCTCACTCCTTCCTACCTTCACAATAAAATCCCCAGACACGAACACAGTAACAGTGCTTATTAGAGGGAACTTCAAATGATTCAGAGCCATTATTAAGAAGCAACTTAAAAAACTTGGTACTATGCAGTATTAGCCTTGTTAGCACTATGTCATTGGTTAAACATAGCGGCCCCTGATGAGAGATTGGGGACAGATTAGATTAAAATATCCATTTTCTACATGTTTAGATCATGTTTATGCTTTTTGAACAGGTGTATTGTTGAACAGGTTGGTGTAGTCAACTCAACTTTACCTGGTTCACTTCACTATCTGCCTCTCTGATCTGTTGTCTTAAGCTCTGGGGTATGTTTATTACCAGGTTGCAGTTACCATCCCTAAATTAAATATTTTTCTTATTCATAGCATTTTAGGCGGTCTTTTGCTATGTGATATGACCACACATGGTCATATCGCGAGTGCGATGATAGTATGATTGATCGGTCAGCACTAGTAGTATGGCTCGGGATTCCCCAGGTAGAGCTGAAAAATGCTGCTGGGGAGAGGGACGTCCGCAATGCTTAGCCTGCTGCCGCCACGACCCGGTTCCAAATAAGCAGTTGAACATATAAGAATGGATGGATGATTTGTAGACTCTTTATATGCCTGTGCATCCCCGTTGTTCAGTGAACGGGGCTCTGGTGATTATTCCTGGATTTTAGCTAGAACCAAAGTGATCCTGAACCTTGGACCATCTTTAACGTATTTTACATGGCTCCTTTTATTCGATGAATATTAAAAATGTACATATCCAACCCTTGTAAATGTTTGTGAGTGTGGGTTCCTTACCCATATCCAGCCAGAAAACCCAGGCTGGGTGGACTGACTTTGTCATTGAATATGACTATGGGTAAAACCCCACATGAGGAGGATGCACAACCTGCAATGGCAATGTCCCACCACTCCTGGTTCCCACTGCCATTCAGTGACCTGTCACTCTTCAGGGACAGGGTTATATTCAGGTAACCATCTTCATTACCTACAAGACAAACAATCAGCTGTGTTAAAACAGATAGTTTAAGGTTTGAATACAAAACACAAATGCTTTTACCTAGTCTGAGACTATGTATGTATAGTAACTGTAATATAAAGATTTTTTTTTGGGGGGGGGGGGGGGGGGTGTCCTTATCGGATGGGAGGGTCCAAGGACAGATGATGTCGTGTAGATTGTAAAGCCCTCTCAATTTGTGAATTTTGGTCTCTATAAATAAAATTGAATTAAAAAAAATGTAATGCTGGTCATTAACCTAATGCAAGCACCCAAACAGGCACTTTACCAGCATTGTGATATTATTGTTGTGATCTGTGACACCAAGTTGGTAAAATCCAGTTAGAGGATACATTCACATGTTAGACACTGTATGGACTGGACAACTTTTGTCAATGATATAATTACATTTTCATGTTAACCATTGACCTAATGTTTCCTTATGGAAAACCTGCTTGTTGGAACTATTACTCTCTACTGTACTTTGTGGAGAGTAACCATAACTGATTTGGGTATTTTGGCTGCCCTTTCCATGACTGGTGGAAATGATTCTGTCTGTAATATGTTTCATGCTATGAAAAATTGCATACATTTACACAGTAACTAAATTAACTCTGACCTTTATATAGTTGATTGACTGGTTTGGCTTCAGCTCCATTGGGGGCACGGATGTAGTTCGGGAGTATATTGGGAACATGCCTGGGAAAGAGACAAGACACCCATTGTAAGATACAACTATGTGTATTATCTAAAACACAAAACACTAGTGTTTACATAAACATCCTTCCAGGGGGTATACCTACACAGGCTTGGTGCGATTGCCAACCAGTAGTGAGGCCAGATCTGCTCGGACTGGGTTTCCAGGTTCCAGGGCTATAGAGTGTTTGTCAAATGTGTGTTCAACCGTCCCTCCTTTACCTAAGTCCCTGTCAGAGACAGAAACATTAAGAAAGAAAGAGAGATGGATACAGTCAGCCTTTAGAAAGTAAAAATACATAATGAAAAGTAAAGGCCATTAGATGTAATAGCTATCCACAAAATATTACTTTTATTATCTCAAAGTATCTCATAGGACATTTACACTCTATGTGGTTTGTATGTGCTACAGTCTATTTTAATGTTGGTATTATAAATTAATGGGCAAAAAATTGTTTTGTCTAAGGGTGGTGGCAGAATAAATCAATGTTGTAACATACTATAAAAAGCTGTATCTTTTACATGGCGGCTCTTTAGGTCATCACATACTCCTGAAAGCTTGTCCGACTTAATGCAGGCTATAATTTGTAATCATCAGTATACTAATACAGGGTACACTGTACAGTTTACTTTAGTGCAATGGGTGCTATTCTTTTCATGTTTATTTATTGGGCCTTCCACCACGTTAAAAAACTAGTTCACATTTAATGAGTTTTACATGTAATAGCAATTACATTTTCCGTTTTCATTTAAAAAAATGCTGATACCATCTTGGATGACTGAACCTGCAGGCCAAACGAACTGAAATCCTACTGCACAGTTAGTTGTTGTTGTTTTCATTTTTGCCTTTCAGCCACATTCCCACTTCCCTAGACCAATGCATTTGTATGAAGCTTTGTCATTGCCATTCTCCACCTGTCCGTCAGATAAACTCAGACTGAGACGTTACAATGACTCTGTGAACCTAAACTGCTCGCTGGCAGGTTTTCTTCAACAAACCCTGAGTTTCTGTCTGTCTTACAAATCCAGAGACACTGAATTATTTTCTCATTGATTGTGTATTGAAGCACATTTGCCCACATATTCTAATATTACAACACTGAATAGAACTTTATTGTGTAAACTTATTGAAACTCTGACTCAGGCTCTTTTTCAGAGATACATTTGCACGGTCCATATATAGCCTACATGCATTAATATCTCTATGTCCACTGAATTAAAATGGAGACCCTGCCTTATTTACCTGTTGCCATGGTGAATCGTGGTATCGGAGCTCCATTGATGATGGCTTTATTCATTCACTACGCACAAGCTTAACTCAGAGTGAACAAATGCAGAGCTGATTGAACAAACTCTGATCAGCTTTTCTGGAACTGAAAACGCAGAGTTTCCCATTTAAGGGTTAGTCAACTCAGAGTTCAAGGTTAGACTCAGAGTTTGTTAAACCTGCTTTCTGAAACAGGGCCCGACTCACGTGTCTAATTCTCCAATCACCATGTCAGTATATACATATATAATGTTGCTTTGTTCCATTGCTTTCTTTTAGAGTTCAGTTCCAGCTTGCTCTATTTCTTGCCTGGTGTTTCATGCTTGCCTCCTCATCTTTCACTGCGTTTGGGTCCTTCTCCCATTGCCTGCTCTCCGATTGTGACAGCCCGGTTGTCTGTATTTGGGTCCTTTTCCCTGGTGCCCACATTAACACTCCAGCCCCAGCCTGCCATCTGGTGTCTATACTCGTCGTTTTTCAGTCCCCAGGCCACCCGCCTGAGAATTCCTGCTCCTTTACTCTAAGGCCACTCATCTTTTTTGTTCTTCCCTCTGACCCACTCCCCACATCCTGTGACAGAAAGCTTGTCGACTTACAGCTTTACACATTTTTGTATACTGATATACATCATTGTGCAACAGCGCATTCTTGGGCAAATTCACAAAGATTGGACTGCAGCTGCTGAAAGCACCACGAAATGGGCCGATTTTGCACCAAATGTATGCATAACACCTGATTTGAATACGTGCAAATAGCACAGAAGTACTGAGACATTATTTCCTTGGCAGCACAATTTGGGTTGCATTTCATCCTTTGCAGGTGCTTGGAGCTTATTCTAGTCTTATTCGTGCAGGTTTTGCGGAAGCTGTGTAATCCTTGAATCCGTGAATTGTCAGTGTGGTATCACTGTTCCCAACATCATATCTGTGTAAGCTGTCTTTCACATCCCTGGTATAAATGAAAACTAGGACAAGGACTCGCCTGGCACAGAACCTACTCTGTGGGTTGTTTTCTCTTTCCCTGCATCAAAAGAAAAAATCCTGTGAAGGGGTGCTATTGTTTACAAGAGTTTGAGGTCACTACTTTACAGTTGTACCTCAGCAGTCAGTTGTCATGGTCAGCTGTTCTTTGTTACCTTTAACATGCTAATTTAGGAAATTTGACAATTACCCAGTTAGTTTGGTGATAATTATGTATAATGTATATTATAGTATAATGACATTTTGTTATTAGGAGAGTAAAGGTTTTACCTCTGGAAAGTCCAGGCCAGGCGTAGTGTTAGGTCAACAGGACTTGCAAGTAGTTCTTTAATGACTTCCTGTCTGCTGGGAGGGCTGATCCTCCATACGGATCCTGAACTTCCTTCAATCATGGCCGTCACGATATCCTCATAACTGTAGAGAGTGATGAACTGCATGGCTTTCTAGATGCACATACACACAAAATTATGCATGAAAAATAGATATACAGAGAGACAGCAACTCAAGTAGGATATACACACACACACACACACACACACACACACACACACACACACACACACACACACACACAGTTCCAGCAGAAACAGTCCTGTTAATTTGAGCATCTGTGCATGCTAAAACAAATAATTTAGTCCAAATTATGAGGAATTGTCATTTGAACTATCAAAAGGGATTCTTGGCATTGAACCTGAAACATGTATAACTCATGTTCATGTCCACAGAATGACGTAACTGTTTAAATACACTAGAGAATGGCACACGTAGCCTGACAGAACTATAAAGAACCTGTGTGATAATTGCTTTTATTTACTACAACTCTAATAAAGCAGGAAAGAAAGACAGTAGCAGCACAAACAGACAAACATCAATCAAACTGAAATCAGTACGCACCGCATTGTCTCCAAATTCTTTGGTGAGTTGGTCATATTCAGCCTGTGTAAAGGGCTGGATGGACTGCTGCTGCACACTCATGGTAAATAGGGACTAGACATACACATAGAAAAAAATACATCAGTGGATTATGCACATTTTATCTACCGTGTCTCGCTATGTCATTTGCACCTATATTCAATTTGACTGTACTATAGGTAGACTGTAAAGATCCATTGCTACTGAATTGATTTCCATCTGTGAATGACATTTGGTCTAATTTTTGCATACTATAATCTGATCTGGGATTTGGATATTAACCCTCCTTCTAGGACGACTGACAGAGACTATTGGATTTCCCAATTTACTGGAGGTAGATGTACCTGCCAGATGATCAGAACAAGTACAGCCTCAAAATGCACAACAGAATTCCATGGAGTCACAAAAACGTCCATGTCTTTCAAACTCCAAATCCCTGGTTTGTACTGTAACACTGGCTTTCTGTAGTTTTAATCTGAATCTAGGATAACCCTAATTAAATGGTAAAAATGTACTTGTATAGAGCTTTTCTACTCTTTCTGACCACTCAAAGCATTTTCACAGTATTTGTCATCAATCACCCATTCACACTATTCACATTCACACACGGTGTATGTATGGAACCGCCGATCCTCTGATTGAAGGACGACCCTGCTCTCCACTTAGCCATAGTCACAGCCCCATCTGTTAATGTGATTTCACTTTAGAATTTAAAATTTGAAAAATTCATGATTGCATTGGCAAGCCATATGGTGCTCAAACATAGTCAAAGTTGTAAGTTAAATATTAAGATGCCGGACATGTTATCTGACCAGATAATTGTTTTGTTGCTGCTGTTTGCATTTTTCCTGATGCAAATTCAGAAACACACTACAGGAATGCACTACTGTTTCATTTATTACATTTTTTTTGTCTTGTTTTTCTGGTGTTGCAAATCGGCAACAACTGCATTTCATTTCGTATCCCTGTGTTGCATAATGACAAAAAAAGGATCACTGAATTCTTGAATAATCATTAATATATCAGTGTTTATTCCATTTGTCTAAGCAATTTATCAGTACCCAGAAAGGAGTTTTGGGTGGCTTGTTGTCAAATTGTATTAAGCAGCAGCTCTGCTATTGATTTAGATTCGTCAGAACATTTTAAGTTGATTTTTTTCTGTTTTAAGAGACAGTAGAAGAGACTGCAATATGAAATGTCGATTACCTCATATCCTCCCAGCTTGACAGTCACGGTGACATCAATGGGGTGGTTGACCACACCCACAACTGATCTGACCAATGAAATGAAGAGAAGGGGGAACCAGATGATGCAGATCAAGAAGAAGATGATGAGTCCACCCATGCCATATTTCACTATCTTCTTCTTCTTCTGTCCTTTGGGCTGTGGGTATTTCTGAGGGTAGAAAATATAATTTGTTTTAGAAAATAAATATAGTGCTGCCACTGCAACTCGGCCATGGATAAGCAGCGAAAAATGTTTAAGATATTTGTATTTAATTGGGTTACTATGTAATTAACATGACTAAAAGTTTTAAATGCCACCAGTGGCCCCTAGAGGCTGCAATGTTCAGATCACCCTGCAGTACAAAAGCTGACAGAATGTACAAAATCTTGCTACACATAGAGCCTTACAACAGGGTTACTTCACTGAACACCTTTTAGCTGGAATTCAGACACTGACGGACATCTGAATCAGTCCATCTTTCTACACCTGATGTATAATTGATCATGCATCATGTATACTGTACACATGTAACTGAAACCTGGAGGTCTTTTAAAGCTTTGAGTCTGTTTTTCTTCTTTCAGATGTAAGTATGTGATTGTGTATTGGGCTGAGAATGCTGAAACACTTCTGGGTTCACAGCAGTACTGTCACTTTACAGATCCAGTGTTGACACTGACAGAGGTCCTGCTGAGCTGCTTTCAAACCAGCCAGTGTAGACAAGGTGGTGCCAGTTGTAGGGTTAAAAAAGTCTATCCTGAGACTTAAGACCATGGGGTCATTCAAATTGAAACGTCTCACATTGATGATAAAATCCACAAGTTTAACCAAATGTGTAAGGTACAGTCACATTAGTCATCTGTCAATGAAAAATTGCCCTGCACTCAGCCTAAAAAAAGGATGTGATATACGTATTAACTTAATATTGATCAGTGATCAAAAACGGGATCGTTTAGTTTATAGTTTGTAGTGTGATATACTACAAAAAAAGATAATAATAATAAATAACTAAAATGAGTTCTTCTTTACAAACACTGTGCATCACTGTTTCTGGCTGACCATAGAAATTCACGACAGACTTAAACAAAAGTCAACTTTAAGGTCCCTGGAGCCCGCCAATCGATCACAACAAAACAGGAAACATATGCTGAAGTCGTCAGTCACATGGGCTTCCATTGAAGTGAATGAGAGTCTGAATATTTAGAGAGACTGGTGCTAGTGGGGTTTGGTTTTGATAATGAAAACATTTTGTTGTTACTGATTCTGAAGAGTTACTGCCTTTCCCCTTTGATTGAATTTGCCTCCCCAAGTACCCTTATACCAGTCATTTGTTCTGGTATAATCATTTCAGAATACTCATACACTTCATACCTTCTCTGTCTCACGGCTGCATTTAATGATGAAGATGTTGGCATAAATGTCCTCCACACACATCCAGTTTGGCAGAGACAGGGTGGTGTCAGTCCAAACCCAATCCATCACTGCTCGCAGCTCCACCAAGAATGGCACCAAACGGAACCTACACTCACACATAAGCACAATATTAATAAAATAGTGCCAATATACTATATGCTGATTCTTGACCTATTTAACACTCTGTGTCCTGTAGTAATGATAAAGGTTAACCTTATCTCTGTCATTACAGATACACATACTGTTTCTACTGGATTGTAGATATCATCCTTAAAAGAGAACTAAAAACAAAGCTGCAGACTGGCTTTGTGTCCATACCCTTGGAAGAGAAACAGGTTGAGGTGGTTGTATTTCTTGGTGAGGATGTTGCCAAGGATACGAGTGGGGTATCCACAGCGGATCTGATAGGCTGACAGGCCGAAGTAAATACACTTGACAAAGTACCAGAGCTGGGCCACAAAATTCTGATTGAACTTCCTGAACAGAGAGGAGAAACAAGGAAGAATAATTTCTTAATAATCTAATTTGCAGTAGTATGCTGAAGACTCAACCCGTATATGTGGTTTGGTTTTATCAGAATGATGCCTTTTTTACCAAGACAACCCAAATTACAAGTCACTCTCTGTGATTTAGTTCATTGGTAATAACCAGTTAATACCATCAATACTCCAATAATAGAAGAACTACATGATATATTTTGACTTCACCTTTCAGTCACAGCAGGCAAGATGAAGAACATCCACAGGTGGATCCCAAACACAAGAATCACCTGGAAGGAAGGAACGACAGGAGACAACTCTGGTCATCCTAACAAATGGTGCAGGCCACTCTTGGCCCCTCCAAAAGATACATAAATGCTAATAATCTGAATACATGAACTCAACCTGGAAGATGAGTTTTCCCAAGACAGCCTTGCGCAGGTACAAGGCTCTGTCGATGATCATGGTGCTGAACTGAAGGAGCAGCATCACCAGGAAGGCCTCAGGAACCTGGTCTTCTGACAGGGTGGAGGCTATATCAGCTGCTGCACTGTGTTTCTGAAGGTGAGAGACGTGTGTGTCATGTTGGATTTTCTCGATAAAATATTTCTATTTTCAATAATGTAAATCATTGATAATTAATAAATAATTACAAAATGACAACTTCCATCCATCTCTCACCCCAAATGCCCAAAAGCCAAAGACTATGATGATGAAGTCAACAACATCAGTCAGAAACATGAGAGCATAGACATCTGTGGCAGCCCGATACTCAGCATGGAGAATACCCCTGAAGAATCCCTGCGTTGGCCTGTAAACACTCTGAATACTGCAAAGGAAAACAAATCGGCATGAAATAAACCATTGTATTAGTGGGAAAACTAATGACTCAGTAACCCATTATACTGTTTTTAATCCCTCCTTGGATTGCAACTAAATTATTTGTATAAATATCTGAATAAATGACGGAATAATTAGCCGTTAATGTAAGCTATTTTTATAAATGATCTTACAGGGTGACTTGGTGACTTCGGCATATGTTGACATTATAGTCTCTATATCCAACTCACCCAGAGAGCAAGACTTGTTTTATCTTGTATCCCGCAGCCAGCAATCTTTGACTGGCTGCCTCTCTCCTATTGCCTTTCTGCTTCTCCTTCACTGGTTCTGCTTCACAGGGATCTGCAGTCTCAACTGTGGGCTCCACTGGACCAGTCCAAACCGGAACCAAGGACATGAAACACATTTTCTCTTTGTTACACATGCTATGTTACTGTGTTGTGGTCCAAATGACAAAGCCCAGAGATAATCTCAATACACAGATATCTGCATATGAATGCTGTTGTAAAATCCTTGTAAACACGGCCTCATTTGGCTTATTGCTTAATTTACTGTTAAGCTTCCAAAAGTAACATTGGTATTTGTAACAGATAGTTATGAAGATTCCTGTAGCTCAGCTATTATTTATTCTTTATAATAATTCTAATTGGGATACAGCTAATATCTTCCTTCCACCTGAGAGACATGTCCCACAAAGGTGCAGCTTTCAGACCACTGAATGGTATTGCACTGAACCAGCACCAATTTCCCAGAGACAGTCTGGCCTCACAGAGACCAAAATGAATGGTGCACTCAAGTACTTTTCATCAGCTTGGAACTTTCAAAGCCACTTTGACTATAGTTAAAACAGTCCTGGGTAGTGACACAGGGACATATGAACACAAGGCTTTTCCAAAATGATCTGACCCCACTGTCGATGTTTGGGAGGATCTGACGTCTGAAGGCAAACCTGTTCCTATGTGCTTGAAATAGCCACACAAGGCAAAGAGAAAAACTGCCATCATTGAATGGGGCTAGACACAATAATAAACAAATTCACATGATTGTTCACACGAAAGGTGACAGAAGTAGTTGTGGGAATGAATGAAAAAAATGGAATGCAGCCGGTGTCAATGTTATGAGTCACACAGTCCACACATAATGAAGCCACAAACCTTTGCTGAGTTGTTCTTTGGCTTTTTTAGGTTTCTTGCGGAAGCGAATACTGTTGCTTTTCTTTGGGACTTCCTTTATCACCTGCTCATTGTCTCCCAACATCTTATTCTCCCTCGGACTGCTGGGAGGATTCAACCTGTCCTTTAGCCCAGATGGAGTTTCATGCCCATCCTTTGACCCACTGGGTGTTGGTTCAGTTGCAGGAGGTTGTGTGGTAACAGCAGCAGAGCTGGTACTTGGTTCAACATAGTCCACATTATCCTAAAGTGATAAACAATTGATTTTAAAAAACTAGGAAAGTAGTCTAATATCTTTAAAAATAACTCTGCTAATAGTATTACATGATGTCACTGCTTTAGTCAATGGCCAAGAACATATTCTTTGTTATTGATAGGGCAGTAACCATAGCAACTAATATTAAGTATGTGAACCAACCTTTTGAAGTTGGTCCAGTTCAGTGGATGTTGAGCTGACTCTGCCCTCCTCCTCTTCTTCTCTACCATCCTTCTTCCTTCCATCTTCATCTCCTTCTCTATTTTTTCCTTCATCCTTACAACTTTCTGGTGAGGGGCTCTGCTCCTCCAGGGGGCCCTCATGGTCCCACAGGCCATAACGCTGTACAGACACACACAAGTTGACAGACAAAAATACAAATGTGGGAGGATGAAATTGTGCTGGATGAAGTAAAATTGAACTATAGCTTTACCCTGCATTACAAGAACAATTCTGTTTCTCAACATCAATTGATGAGAAGACGCTGAAAGTAAAAAATGCTGACTTTTCCTCTTGGATAGCCGTAGGCCTCTAGTTTCATAGCAGTGAGCTACAGCTGTATTTGCTGAACGCATATGTGGCCAAATAAAATAATGAAGGGGTTTTCCCTTTACTAACCATCTCAGCTAATGATATTAGTTTTTGATATTCAATATATTTAAAAAATGTAAGCCCTCTAACATTTCTTTATTATCATATAGGGACTTAAAACATACATATTCTTGTATGTTACATCAATATATTTTGTTTATGTTTCTAAAGCAATTTACATGTTTTTGGATGTCGTGGCTTTATTCAACTTAATCTAAGTCTTTATTTATCATATAGTAATATTTATTATGTTGTACCTACTTAACAGTTTTATCATTTTATCCGTCTGCATGTTCTGTCTAGAGGCTCTCCAGATAAGAATGGAGAGATTTGCCTGTCACAGTTGGTATTGCACTTGTCAAAGCTAAACAGAGTAGGCAGATAATTCATAAAACTCAACCAGAGATGGATGTTGATAAGCTATAGCTGGTGCAATTTGAAATACAAAAGTCAAATGAAGGCTTTTTTTTGTTAATTATTTCTGAAATCAAGGAAAGGAATAATAAATAATGGTTTTCATTACTGTAATCACTGTGAATACTAACTGACCATGAGAAGGGATCTGTGGAAGAACAGAGCCAGTAGTTGAAGAAGATCATATCTGATGTAGTTGTCAGTCTTCTCCAGGCCCAGGATGCGAGGTGGGAAGAAAGGTTTGTCTTTATTTAAAGTCATCTCATAAACACTGTTCCAAGGAAAAAATCCAAACTGGAAAAGGTATTTCACCACCACCATCACCTGGAAAGAGAACAACACAGCAATACAGCCATGTCAGTCCTGAAAAGAGCACAGACAAGGGAACACATCACAGGTAATATCTCATGTTGTAAGATGAACGTAGGACGTAGAACGTAGAACGTAGAATTTAAGAGGAGATGCTTTAAAGTTTAAGATAATGAGATCAAAATTGTATGGTTGAGTCTGAGTCTGCCTTTCACCATGTCACAGCAGCCCTTCTTGAATACAATTGTTTCATTATTTACAGTATAAATTGTTATTGTAATTATTGCCAGTATTGCAAAAGGAACCTACCCAGAGTGTTATTCAAATCAAATAAATCCTTTTTGACTACTGCTTGTTGTCAAAGTTTAGGCACATCCTCACCCTAAAATCATTATAAAATCTTTTATTTTAAAATCTGTAATCATTTATATTCTTGGCAACTGGGGTAGTCCCTTTTTTGCAAATATCTGAAATGGTCGTGGTTGTTTAATGTATAGTTATACTGAACAAATCAATATCTTTACTTGCAACTGCCGACCTCTATACCTCACATGAACAATAGTTTATTATGCCTAGGGAATAACTTTGGATTTGGCTTGTACTGGATTTTACAACTTTTGGGACCTAATGATTCAAATAAGGGCTATTCAAGTGTTTAGCCCCCAAAAAATAAAAATCCGCATATTAGCCACTACAAAAATTGGCATTACATCACAGCTCTTTTCCTGGTGGCTTGGTTAGCACTACCCCCTATACTCATAACTTTCATAACCATTTCTTATAGACACTAGATGTGTGTGAATGCATGCACACATGGTCGAAGCTATTGGAAATTCCCACTTATTACATTACAAATTGATAAAATGACAGTGTGTTATGTGAAAGGGGGCACAGTGGGCAATGGGCACCCTGCAAGAATTTTCACCAACTCTGCAGATCTCCCTTGGCTCCACAGAACTTTTTAGCCACTTTCAGCTCATTGCTTTGGTTTTATGGCCGACAACTCTATTGTGTTGGTTCAGGCTCAGAGTTCTCATTGTTTCTAGAAGCAGCAAGCTGTTTTCAATTAGAAAAACTCAACTTCAGCTTATGATTTGATACAATGTCAAATGTTGTGTTTACAGCTTGTTTTTGCACTTGTATGTCACAGAAATAAAGCACAATGTAAATTTTGATAAAAATGGAATGATTAAAACCATATTTGGAGTTTACAATTCAAAGAAATATAGAATAATATCTGCATTACATTAGCACTTAATGGAGAGAAACGGAAATACAACATTATAGCTGAAATTGAAAAAAACTAGGAATTAATATTACAGAAGATGAATGGTTGCATATTTGGAGAACACAACAGTCTACAACATCCTCACGTACTTTGAGAGAACATTGTTGGATTAATTAGGTTCACCAAAAACTCTGAGAAAATACTTGTTTGCAGCACAACCATAGTGGTTGATGTGGGGCAATACATATAGACCATTCTCATGCATTTTGGCTTTGTCCTGACATTGCACAGTTTTGGGGAAATATTCAAATGGTTATTATCAAAATTAGGGGCTGATATACGTCGGACCTGTATACTACTGTACTTTGGTGATATGACAGGAGATACTGTGTTATGTGAAGACAGATATCTGCTGAGAGTCTTGTTGGCAGCTTGTAATAAGGCCATTGTGAAGAGATGGTACAAAGCAGAACTACCAACGAAAGATGGATGGCTTAAAATTGTGAATAAAATATATGATATGGAACTGTAAATCATACAATAAGAGCGATGTTGAGAGAAATGGGAAAAAAGTGCGATAATGACAATGACATGTCAGTGACAACATAAGCAAATGTACCACTGAATATGAAGTCATAGGAATAAATAGGTATTGCGGTGGCAGGGAAATCCAGATCTTCTCATGTTGTTTTCTTTCTTTTGTGTGTTTTGTGATCTATTAAGTATAAAAAAATCTGTTAAATCTTTAAAACATTTTCTCTCCATTAAAGTGGGGCAGGATTTAAATCTGTGATTCTGATCAGAGCGCAATGCTATTTTTTCAAAATATTGTTCTGTTTGGAACCCGTTGCGTTGGTATCTGTCATCCATGCAGTGAAATATTGAAAAAAATAGTGCACAATTTTCCTGTGATGCTTTATGGTAAATAAGTTAGTTAGTTTCCTGAGTGCGTCTGTGTGTCTCTCAGTGCTCATACCTCTGTGTAGACTATAGCAGTCATCCAAAACTTCTTGGTTGGTCTTGGAACAGCCAACATAGCCCATAGGAACACAAGTATGGGGAGGAACAGTGATATCACAGAGGCACTGACCGCGTTGTTTAACACTATGATAAAATAGCAGACTAGTTCTGAATTGGCTGCCAGCAGGTTGTGCATGGCAAACAGTAGCTTCAGCAGACGGCTCTGGTTGTTATAGAACTCTCTGCTCTGTTCTAGCTCCTCAATGAAGAACTGCCTGCAGAGAGAGAAAGGGAAGTCACAACCATAAATTTGTATTCAAATATCATTATTATTAATAATTATCACCAGTCTTTTAACAAATGTTAAAACCAATGGCAAGAGCGATGAAATAAAACACAATCTGAAATAAAACTATTATGTTCCTTTCACACATTCATGACGCAAACATTGTGGTATTACTGGAGGTAGGCGCAAAACACTGTGAAATCAAGGTTGTCATGTGAAAACCTGTAGCTACTGTCAATGTGGATTATTGTTGGCTTTATTTAGTCATAAGTTTCTTTATCTACCTTTCTCCCAGCAGCTCGCTGGCTGTTCTAGAGTGTCTATGTTGTTGTTTGGATAGCGCTGGTACAAGCTCCATGCTACTGGATGGGAGTTCTGGACTCAAGAGGTTCCCAATGCTGTTGAGCTTTGGCCTGGGGGTAGACCGGTCTGTTACACCCCTGCTATCCACGTCGAGGCAACTGAGAGAGATTGAAACACACATACACATACAATGTATGAGTACATAAAAACTAAGAAAACTGAGGATCTAAAGACCCCCTAACTGCCAGCCTATGCAACAGGTGGGCACAACAAACACACTGTTAACTATTCTAAGAGCCTTTACATATCTAGTTGGTAAAAGAAGACACTAGTGATACACTCTTTTCCACACTAACCTGTGTCTGGTGGAATCTGCATCAGTCTCGTCCAAACAAGTCTCCAGTGTGGGACTCTCACTGCCCTGAGATACCTGGTCATCTGTGGAGTCTGCTGTTGTATGCTGCCAATCAGAGGGAGACAGACCTAACTTAAAGTGTGTGTGTGCGTGTTTGTCTGTGCTGAATGTTCAATTCCAAAAGAACAATGTTTGCTCAACAAAAATCTCTGTGTTGTGTTTACCTGTTGTATCTTGTGTATGATGAAGTAGCGTTCATTGCACAGAACAGTAGATGTCTCTCTGTACTGTTTAGTCAGCAGGTTGAGCCACTGAGTCAATCCATCCACCATGGCCAGAACTCTTGCCAATAAGAAGCGCAGGATATCCAAGATCCTCTGAACCATTTCACCATGACCTGCATTATCAAGACAGATAGAGACAGGGGGAGGGAAAAAAAAAGGTGATAAACTTTTACTGACTGTATATTTAGCAGGATTCTGAGAAACCTCCATCTACTATGTATACTTTTTCTATACTTTGAAAAGATTGTGGACAGTGACCTCTGAGGCCATTTATAAATGCATGTACAGGAATTACAAGGAAAGCAGTTTACTGTCAAAATATTCAAACATTTCTACTAGTTTGGTCTTGTAAATCTTTTTTGATAATGGCAATGGTAAAAAAGGTGTGCTGTTGCGTGTGCACTGCTGTCTTTGTATTGTCTAATGAATAGGGCTATACCAACCTAATGGAGTTCAGAATCTGAACTAATCAACTGTACTGGCTTTATGATGCCTAGTAAAATTATATTCAGTTTAGGCTCTTGTTCAGTATCGCTTTTACTGAACACAACCACTATACTTAAAGTAATCATTAGTTACTCTCATGATCACAATAACTGACTCCAAACACATTAATTACTAGCCATATTTCAGTTCTATTGTCAAGCGAATTTCAAGCAATCTTTTGAAATGTTGCAGAAATGCAAATTTGGCGCGTTTCCATCAACTGTTTTTTTTAGCAAATAACTTGGCTGCAGCATAGTTTCGTCACAAGTTGCCGCTTTAGTATTTGCATTACTCTTCTCCGGCAGTAAACAGAGTAGAACAGGAAGAGGTTGCGAACGGTAAATAAAATAAAGAATAACAATAACTAGAAAATTCCTAGTAAATTCCTTTTAGATTCATACTCTTGGATTGAATCTTGTATTTGTGGGGCTTTT